CAAGTGAAAAAAATGGTGGAATTTTCTACAAAATAATCCACCCAAATATGTTACATAATTCTGTTTTTATGGGTGTATGGATAAATGTGTGATGTCTTATGGTTGGGAAATTACCAGTAATAAAACAATTGTAACAATTCACCACTTTTCAATCGCACAACAACTCTTAGATTTACTGTGGAAACGAAACAACAAAAAACAATAACAAAGGGTGAGATCTAGGAAATCATTTCTGATGAGATTAAAAAGAGTGTATATACTATGGCATGCAGATATACCATGTTGGTAAGGTATTTAAAACAGGTAATTTTTTAACCACTCATTACTCCGGAATGTTTGTTTTTCTTTTTCTTTTTCTTGATTATTTATGGCCTGCGCGATGAAAGAGCCTTCACGTATTTTTTTGGTTACACATTACAGGGACTGGTCGAAGAACTGCCCGCGGTCTTGTAGGCTGGTCGTTCAATATTGTATAGAGCCAGCCACTGTAGTCAATCCTCAGACCGCACGAGCGCCGATTGAGCGAGAAGAGACTTTTCAACCGCGGCCCGGCCAGGCCAGGCCGAGCCATCGATCGCCGCGCTTCCGCCTGAGTAACGTCACGGAAGAGAACGATAGAGAGAAAGAAAAAACGACGGACCGTCCCCCGTCAAGCAGGATTGTGTCAGCTGGCTCGCCTGCGATATCGCCCCTCAGTTTCCGCCGGTGCACGGACCGTTAGATTTGCCGCAATAAAACTTCGCTTCGCTCGTTTGCGAGCAGGAAATCGCTATCGAGTTTGACTTAAGGGCGTTTTCTGGTCTGCTTTTGTGTCCTGGTGTTGGGACTGGCGAAAAGGGAAAAAAACAACAAAAAAAGGAAATAGCCAAGTGGCCGGAAATATGTAATCGTCTGGAGTTTGTTTTTTGCCGGAGCGCTTTTGTAGTCGCTATCCGATTGCCCTGGAGTTGATACAATATTATTGTGGTGCGGCCGGTCGGTCGCTACACTGATTTGAGTTATTAATTGCTTGGAAAATCACTCACTCGTATCATAGGCACAAGGTAGGGAACCCGCGATCAATAGTGAAGTGCTGTAGGGAAAAACTTATCGCGTACATAATTGCATCTTACGCTCATGCCTGGTTATAACCGACTGCTTGGAAGTTACACCCAATATACCATGTACATGGTTTAATATCGTAGGATAGTTCCAGGAACTTATTGGATAGAAAAACGGGTGACATACACTGTTAAACCGAATGCCATCAACGCACGAAGTAACATCAAGTCCTTTTCATTATTTAAGCCCGACTTGGAGTACACGCAGATTATGCATAAGATCTTCAAAAACTTACGACAGGCATGCTTCACGACATTCACTGATGATGCGATCGGAACTGTTTCATTACAAAAACGAGGATTTGCAACCACTTGATTAAACAAACAAAAAATCGTGAAAAGGAGGCGGGTAAAATGTATCACACCAACATTTTGAAAGAAAATGCGGACTTTGTGCATTAATTATTTTCACCCCAAATTTCCCGTAGTTTCAATCTCCGAATGGATGAGCTAAAACAACCGCAGGGCGCGTCGCACGCACGCATGCCCCTGCCGAGGATAATAATTAAAAACACTGGGCCCATTATGATTTCCTTGAAGGGGAAAAGGATCTTTCCACATGGATGACTTTTAATCGTAGACGGACATTTTAAGCGCGGGAGTTGCCATGCCGCCGGGCTCCGGCCATTTTGTCAGCTGGTTGGGGCTCCTTGCTCGCGGTAGAGCTGTACAAATAACGCCCATGCCAAGCCAATTTGCGCGCTTCGGCGGGTTTTTCTGCCCCTCTGACTTTGCGGCTTGTTTGTTTCTTGGGACTTCGGGGTCCTGGAGTCCAGAGCTTGTGTTTTCAAGGGAGCCTTACGTTTGTATCGGTTCAGGAACTTAGCAACAACAAAAAACACAAGAAAATACGAAGAATTATAATTGATTATCTGTCCCTTTGTATGGCGGTTTAACCACTCGTCATGTCATACAAACCGTCCATCATATACGGTATCTTTATGGGAGAAAAGTACACAAGCACTCGCTCATCCTTCAGTGTTTGCACAACTCTCTTTATGTGTCTTCGAGACGGCTAAAAAGAAAGCCTAATTAGATTACAACCTGAAAACATCACCACAAATGCATTTTTCCCCTCAGATCAGTGATTCACTTCCTCGTCCAAGCAGAAAAAAATACGCACAAAGGATAAGCATCAACAAAGCTGGATGTAAAAAAGACACACACTTCCAATGAAATTGAAGATTTTCTAAGCATGGATGAAAAAAAAATACCAGTACGGTTGAAAAGAATCGACCAAACGAAAGAATTGTGTTATATCCCGCAGCGAAACTTCACAAAAGCCACAAGGATTATTATGGTAATTAAAAAAAAAAATCATGAAATCACCAATGATTGTTAATAATCTGCCCAGAAACCTAATAAAATGCGGCATTTAACCAGATTAAAGACTGTGTTGTTGAAGGTTTTATAAGATGATGTAAGCAACCGTGCGCATTGTGTGGACAATGCATGCAGGCTTGCACTTCACGCAAGATGCATGCAAGCATTCTGCAAAAAAAAAAGGTCTGCTGAACTACGGTACTTTTACGCCGAGGAATCGTCGAAAAAGCAGCAACCGCTGCCGCGTTTTTCCTGTTCACATGATTTCCCTAAAGAAAGTCAAATAAAAAGTTGAAGACCCATCCGCGTCTGGTACATCTGATTGACAAGGTTCACAAAATCTTTTGCAAACATCAAGTGAAGTTTCGTGGATACCGTTACTGCTCACTGTACGAGACCACACGCCATTTTCAAACCAACGAGCACATTTTCTTGTAATACATGTAGATCGATAAAACACATCGATGGAGAAAAAAAGGCAACTTTTAGATAGCCTCACAGAAGACGAGATATAAATGAACGGACAAAGAGATGATAGTTTTGACAAAGAGCAATATTGTGCACAAACAATGTTGCAAATGCGTATTAAGGAATTTACTTTAAAGGTTTACTATGCCTTACACAATTTTACACATTAGCCATAAACTTCCTTCACAGGTATTACATCTAAGCACGGTTCTATACACAAACGGGGCACCATTTTCAAACGTTTAAAAAAGAAAACGACAGGAGTTTTTAACAAGACAAGATTTCCTTGCCGCGGGCAATGCTTCTTGCGAGTTCTTGTGTCTAGGCGACAGCCGGACGCCTCGGCGAATTACCGGGCACGCCATCTCCGTCGTCTCCGCTCACAGCTTCGTCTTCGTCTTCTTTTTACCATTCTCCCTCCCTTTCCTCCTTTTAACGCTATTCTCACCACCTACATCAATAGCCTACCAGGACCTCTTTTTCTTTATTATTCCGCGAGAGGTTTTCCAGAGTGAGAGACACACATCCTAGGAAATTGTCCATTGAGGAATTGTTTCCAAGCGATGAAAGGAATCATTGATTTTCATCTTTTCCGTTTTTTCCGAGTGCCGGTCCATTTTTTTCCTTCTCGGGCCAGCATACTGCCGCCGACCCGTATTTGACAATCTTCCTGTTTTATTCAGCAAATCTTGCCTCGGGCAACAAAACTATGATTGGAATGAGTCTTGCAGCGTGATTTGACAAAAAAAATGCCGGTCAAAATGGCAATTAATAGTCTAACTGCCATTTTTTGTGTGTTGGAAATGCCAAAGCCATTAAAAAAAAAGAAAAAAGGATTGCTCATAAAAAGTACCTCAGCCCACTGGTATGAAAAAGGTGTTTATTGCTAAAGGTTGGTTACTACATGTGTACATGTTTGTAAAAAAAAGTTTATTTTAATATTGTGTCACAGAAGAAACTGAGAATATTGCACCATTCGTTGTGTAACTCAATTTCAATTTTTTTTCTAGGACCCTAAAAAGTCTCTTCAGGTCCCCTGAAATGTGCACAATAAACTCGTAACACGACAGACCGAAAGCTCAATCCTTCGCTTTCAATGGGAATACTTAAACTAAGGTATTAACCAAATTGTTATCAGGAGCCTCTAAAAAGTCTTTTAAAAGCATGAAAAATACATTCTCAGGAAATTCATACTGTAGTAATATATGGACTGCAGCATGACATCACATGCACACTCAACAAATTTTCCCGGCTAATGTAAACCTCCAAACTCTGATATTGATATTTTTTTCTGCATTTCAAAACTTGCTGAATACATGTAATAAATTACATGTAAACCTGTCTGAACCAAAACTGCTATTCTTGCTACATTACTCACAAATAGAACATCGTCAAATATGACAGTGCAAAAGTACTGATTTTTTTCCCAATTGTTTTATTTATAACACCGCTACTATGTACCCCCACGATGAGTTTATCAGCTCAAATTATACCATAGAAACCACAGTAAATATTTTTTTCTCGCTTTTGTTGCAGCCAAAAGCACAAAATGCAGTACAAGGACATGTATGCTTTGCAGCAGCGTAGCACGGTTATTTTTTTATTGGGGGGTAACATTTTTTTTGAAAAGGGCACTTGCACATCCGTGCTGGAATGTACACCGTTTTTTTTCCCGGACACTTGGCCTCCGTAAAATCAAACAGTGGGGGGCTGTTCAAACCGACGATTATGCACACTAACGGACAATATATGGTGCTTTTAACGGCGATACATGCGCGAAATTAAAAAAAAAAGGCACCCGCACCGGCACCGGCCGATGGCACAAAAAAGGCCACCACTAAAGGGCACTTGTTCAGAACAAAGGGCAATTGTTACAAAAAAGGGCACTCTTTAAAAAATATTGGGGTGGGGGGGAAGCGCTGGTGAAAAAAGGCATTTGAATAGAAAAGGGCAGTCTTTACAAAATATTGGGGGTAAATACCCCCCCCCCACACCGCCCGCTGGCTAGCCTATGCTTTGAGGCGCCACATAATGACAAACGGATTAAACTCTCCACAATGAGAGAGGGCAGCCTTTACAAAGGATGGGAGATGCACTGATAAATCAGGCTAAAGAATGAATCCTCCTTCAACTACTTTATTTCTACCACAAGAGGGCGCTTTTCAACATTATAAGCGAGCTTTAAAGTCCACATTATCCGGAACAGGTACATTCTGCAGGTCCAGCGTTTTCTTGCCACCCTTGGACACAATCTGCAGTCTCAACAGGCTCTGATGGGAAACTGCCGGCTCAGGGGGTGAACTTTTGTTCATAGAGGGCGCTGTTTCATCAAGACTGGTTTCCACGGTGATGCGGAGCTGGCATCCTCTCTCGATTAGTTGCTGTTCTTGTGCGGCTGCTAGTTGGTTGACAACACGTCTTTCCACCTATCAATTGGATAGGACAGAAAAACACTAGGTTTAAATGTGCACATTTCAACAAGCAGGCACATTGTACTGCAATGAATAGAAATTTGTTGTATATCCCCACATCAGTTAACTTTTGTTTCTTATGTAAGTCGATTTCCCTACCTCATGTTTGATCGACCTTGCACCATAATGCACATCATACCCATCAGCCAATACGTCAAGCACCTGTCTATCCCAACTGAGATCAATGTCATGTCTCTCCATGGCCTGTGGTGGAGAAGAAACAAAAGGAACAGGAGTGAACAAGCATCTCTATACGTCAATCATTTCATTCCATCTACCGTTCATGCACAGAGCCAATCATCCACAAACACCTCTCAATAACTCCATAGTAATCTAACCTTCTTGGCCCAGAAGTCCAGCTCCTTGGTGACCAGCTTGATGAGTTCAGACCGAGAGAACGGGAGGAAGTAGACCATCTCATTGATGCGGCCAAGGAACTCATCCCTCCTGAAATGATGCTTCAGGATGGGCTGCACCACCTCCTCCTTGAACTTCCGAGAGACGGTTACCTTCTCAGGAATCTCAAGGTCACCTTCAAAGATGCAAAATAATTCAAGCATGAATTATCTGAAACTAAGGCTCTAGAAGCTAAATACACACTGATATTTCTGCCAATTAGCCAGCCTGGTCAAATAGCTTATGCTAGCACTCAATTTATAGCATGGTTGCCAATCATTCACTTCTCAACTAGTCAGCCAACATATCAGGCCAACAAACAAGACAGTCAGAATTGTTTTCTGTAACTCAACCAATATTTTCTGGCGAGTCAAGTCTAGTAAATCCACAAGCAAGCCAACTTGTCAGCCTAGGGCCAACAGTCCGATAAAAAAACAAGCATTTAATATCACTAGCTGTAAATAAGTATGCCAGTGACAAATGTTGGCCCGCAATCAGCAAACCTTGGCCAACAATCATCTTGTCAACCAGCAGGTCGGAAGTTATTGTCAACAAAACTCCACTGCCAGCCAGTAAGTGTAAAACAGAGAGCATGCCAACCTCTAGAGCCAGCCAGCAAGCCAGCTATCCAGCAAACCATTCAATTTTAGCCAACTAAATAAGGCAACCAGGTTTGGCAAAAGATACAAAATTTTGATTGACATTGACACATAATTGACAATAATTGATATTGACAATTATCCCCAACTCATCTGTTTACCCAATTTCCCAGCATGCCTCTGTTTTGCTATCTCCTCTGCCTCCCGTCTAAGTTGCAGTCCATATCTAGCAATCTCATCGCTTGCTAAGTTAGAAGTCATGACAAAGATGGCATCCTTGCACTCAATGGTTTTCCCTTTGCCATCTGTCAAACGACCCTGGATGTCAAAGAAATATATCAATAAATAAAAAGATAGCAAGACCTATAGCAAATACACTCACTTAACATACACGTAGGTTTAATGTTCTTAACATTTGCGTGTATGTCATAATTGCGATGATGTGCTGGTCGTTCTGTGTCTGGCCGTGACGATCCAAGTGAGATGTTGCAACAGAATTTGGACTTATCATTGCATTTCTGCATGGGGAGTCCCCCTAGAATGAAAAGACCAGGCCCCAGGAAGAACAGTTCATTGTCAACGGATGGGTCTACCCTTGTAGAATGAGATAGGACTAAAATAGATAAGTTACCTCATCAAACAGCTGCAGCATGATAGTTAGCACGTCAGGGTGCGCCTTGTCTACTTCATCAAACAGCACCACAGCGTTGCTGCAAGCCTTCAGTTTCTTAGTCAGCTGACCGCCTTGCTCATGCCCGACGTAACCAGGTGGGGAACCGATGAACTTGGCCACTTCATGTTTCTCCTGGTACTCAGACATGTCGATCCTGATGAATCCCTTCTTGACGTCTTTGTGGAGGTACCTGGCGATCTGCTTGGCAAGCTCTGTCTTTCCTGCACAATGAAATGTACCGGTGACAGTGCTGTAGTCAAAGTCCATCAAATCGCAACTCACATGAACAATGACCAAGGAATGCCTTTGTAAATATCAGTTCATTTGAACAGCTTGTGACTTGACTTGGGAATGTTTGTGATTAACGTATTAGAGGACTTGCCTAAAACTCTGAAAAATTAACAAGGAAAAATCTCTTTTGTTATCAATCCAAGTTTACTAAGGACTTCATTAGATATTCTTAGACTTTAGTATTCATTAGATGTTGAAAGATGCTCTTACCAATGCCTGATGAACCCAGGAACAGAAACACAAGAGGATGGTCATCGTCCATCCACCCATTTTCTTTCCTCCTTATTGCTTCAATAGAGCAACAAAAGAACAAAAACGACGCATTATTACAAAGCATTAAAGGTGCTTTCACAAATTGTTACATGGTAAGAAAAAATACTTTTCATTGGTCAAGTCAATTAAAAAAATATGAGAAAGGGTGATTGTGATCGTCATTTAGGTTAAGTTTATGGTTGTACTGACCAGATGCAACTGTTGCTATAGCCCCTTCCTGACCAATGATGAATTCCTTGAGTCTTTGCTCCAATGGATACCTCCGCCTCTCTTCTGCTGATCTCTGTTCCTCAAGCAATTTAAACTATTTAACAAAGAAAGCCAACAGTTGGTTAGTGTAGTGTCCTCTCAAACTCTATGGACTCACAGCCATTCATTCCATACTATTCCCTTCAACCTAAGCTTGAATTGTTTTGCTAGATGATGTTGAGGTTGCACATACATCTTTTTCGTGTTTCTGGAGTAGCTCCTTGATGACAGTACTTTTGGCATACTGTACTGGGGTGTGGCCGCTGTCGTTTTCCTGAAGGGGATTCGCTCCTGTTACAAAAGAAGCAAAACAAGATAAACAATGGTTGATAATATGTGCTGCTTTCTAATGGACAGTTCTGGATTTGGACACAAGCCTGGTCAATCTCTGGTTCTTGTCCATTTCTCATAATAGTTGTGACAAAGTTTGACTTGATGCCATGATGTACAATGTAATTGATAAATGTGTCCTCTTTCATCAACAGTCAGGAAGGGTCCATTGAGTCTTACTCAGTAACCTATTTCCGACTTTAAGTTGATTAAAGTCACCACAGCACTTCTTCTGTCACCCTACCTGCTTCCAGAAGCATCTTAGTGATAGGAAGGTCATCAACCAAGACGCTGTAATGTAATGCAGTGCATCCTTTGAATGTTGCTCGGTTGTTTAGTTTGTCACTGAACTCATCCTCCCTTGTGACAAGGACTGTGAAAGAAAATCGGCAAGAAGCAAAGCACAATATTAAAAGGTTAACCTGATGAAAAGGTAAAAAATTGAAATGCCTAAATTGAAGCTTCCACCTAATCATGTAAAAAGCTCAATATACCCAGATCTTACATCCAGTTTTTCATTAGGACAGTTCTACATTCCAGCTTTACACCCACAGAAAACTTTACATTAAATTATAAAAGCTTTGGTGCCCCATATTCTGGTTCTCTTCTTCTCTCTTATCAATTTTCTTAAGCGGAGACGAGCCCCCAAATCCCTCACGAACCATACAAGTACCTACCATGTAATGAATTGATGCCCTTGTTCTGTGACACATTCCACACATTTGTGAAGTCATCACCAAGATTGGGATCAGCACCGGCCTGCAATAGGGCTCGTACCACACTGGTAAAAGGCAACAACAAAGTGGACTGTTACCCTCAACAAAACTCAATACATTGGATTGACTAATATAATAAATTGAAATGATGACATTTCAACTTTCTTTAATGTAAACATATTTTCTTGAAAACAGCATAGCAATAAGTAGGAACAACTTAAAAAATACAGGACCATACAATATATATCAGGCAATATAAAGCATGCTGCTCAGTCACCATGTGCCTGCATACATGTAGTACATCTCTGCTGAGGAGATTACCGCACCAAAACCATTAACGTGTACAATCTCTATGTTTTTTACTTTCACAGCGTGCAAAATACAGGAAGACTGAGATGTACAGTAAAAGTCTCACAATCACCTTTCATTCTTGTTGATGGCCGCTACCTGCAGGGCCGTCCAACCAAGTGGATGACGCTCATTGACATCTATGCCAGCTTGGATTAGCCTATTTAGAACCAGTTTTTTAATGTAAACGGATATTAAATGTTCATGAGCACAGTTGTTTATTCAACAAATCCAAATGACTTGTGTCAAATAGCCAGATTAACAGGAAAATATGGCCTAGGAACAGCAGGGCCTACTGCCTTCCTCACGTGCTAAAATTAGGTTTCAAAGTTTCATAAATGTCATAAATAACACAACATTAATGAATGCTGATTTACCTTTTAACTTCTGAAACATTGTTTCTTCTTGCAGCTATGAACCACCTCTCTTTCACTGCAACAAAACGAGGCACCTTGTGAATATTTTCAGTATACACTTAAAACTAGATTCGAGAAACATTCCCAATTCTGTTATAAAATACTTCCAAAATGCACTCAACTCTGGCATAAGTACTGTGTACACAACCAAAGAAGTGGCGTACATGCGTAAGGATTCTACATTCTTCACAAATGTTTTTCTTCATGTTCCCCGCTCATTAAATTGAAAGAATCTAGTTTGACAAAGTTTTCACATTTCTTACCCGTATCACTAATGTTTGATTCAGCGCAACGTGCATGCGCCAATGCAACGCCGCAGAGACCCGTCAAAGAAACGCCTGCGCAACCTATCGCAATCGCCGGTCTAGAAAAAGTCACGGAAAAATATCTTAAAGGCGTCAGTGAGCGTCTAAAGCCAAATATGCTGTAATTTGAATTGTATTCTCGCAAAAATATTAAAAGTCTCTTTTTTTGGGTACCGTTTGCCACGAAATTCGCTTGAAATCGAAGGACAGCCCGAAAAATTCGCAAGCGTATGGAGGCTGCCATTTTGAGAATAGCGCCCCCTAGAGGTGTGAAATTGGTCAATATCACTTTTCTGTAGAGGGCGTCTTTTATCTCAAGTTATCTCATTTTTCTTGAAACTGAGGCCGTGTCCGAAACGGGCTTCCAGAGCTACGGCTACGTCTATTGTCAGCGCGTCCCCGCGTATTTTCAATGGGCGCAGACCTAGACCTAGCTCTAGCCAACTGATTCGGATGCAGCCACAGGCTGCATCCGAATCAACTGTGTAGAGCTAGCTAGGTCTAGGTCCGCGCCCATTGCAAATACGCTGGGACGCGCTGACAATAGACGTAGCCGTAGCTCTGGAAGCCCGTTTCGGACGCGGCCTTACACAGTAGCTAATTGGCCTATTCAATTATTTTTCACACTGCAATTAAAATATGTAAAAGGAAATTAAAATGGACTTTGTGTAATTAAAGTGGTACTCGCTTGAAAGCGAAATTCGCAGGCGCATGGTGGAGGCAACCATTTTGAAATAGCGCGCCCCCTTGACGTGAGGTTTTTTAATATCCTGTAGGCCTATATTAATATTATCTCAGTTTCTTCGAGCTAACCGTAGCTTATTGCCCTGTTCAATTATCATTTTGACACAACTTAAATGTACTTTGGCCTTATAGCCCGTGGGGGGGGGGGGGGGGGGGGGGGGGGGGGGGGGGCAAGGGCGGATCCAGAACACAATTTTTTTTGGGGGGGGGCCAAAAAAATTTTGGTACCCCAAAAAAGTGGGTCAAAAAATTAGGGCATGGGGTTCGGGGCCCGCTAAAGGGCCCCGAAAATTTTTGGGATTCTAGATGCTCTATGGTGCGATCTGAGGCAATTTCTGACCACTTTAGCCAATGTTTTTTGAGGAAAAGATGGTGGTGTACTCATTGCCTGCCTTTATTGCGACGTCACAAAAAAAAAAAAATTGGTTTCGGGGGGGGGGGGGGCATGGCCCCCTTTGGCCCTCCCCCCTGGATCCGCCCTTGTGGGGGGGGGGGGGGAGGTTGTTTCAATCAAATAATTTGGTTGCTTAAACTTCACTAAAGTAGTGGAGATATAGCAATGCACGTAGCTCAGTGAAGGCCCTACCTTGCCAATGGAAGTTCTGCAAATAATCCCTGGTAGACCTATTAGGCTTTAGTGCTCTCATCTGAAAGGCTTAGATGTTCGCATTTTGTCAGTGGATGGTATGCTAAATCTATTCTATCAATCATTTGGGCAATTTTTAATAGGCCAATGCCTTTCCGAAGTATTGATTTGTTTCGGAGGAAATCCGCCCTGCCCTGCAAGCGGCAGCTTTTGAGGACCTGCAACACAAGATAGATTTACTCGATTAATAAAAATCATTCTGGAGAATCTAGCGAGTGTACAAAGATCATGTTGATACTACATTGCCCTTAAGGGTACTAAGCGTGTTGACGCTACGGACCTCTGCAAAACAGTGATTAACCGAGATTATTGTCGGTAGGCCTACACTGCGGTTACATAATACAAGGAGTTTGAACCAGTCCGATGTTCAATTTCCAATTTATTTATCGTGTTCTTATTCGCTCAAGTCATTCCTGTCTGCGCGGTTTACATTCGTGATCAGCAACTGAGAGAGACTGGGGACGATAGATAAATATCATCACAGAAAAATCACGAATTCTTGATCACCAAGGAGATTTTTCAAATGTAATCAGGTTTGTTTAATAGCTTGAATCAAAATCGGAAAATTGGAGCGGTGGGACATTTTTTCTTCAGTAAAAGGCAAAGTTTTAAATGGCATCTTCTCTTTCACGTCGACCAAAAAATTGATTATCAAAACCCTTACTCGGTCGGTTTGAAATTGAGAAGATATACAATTATACACGAAACAAACAATTTCATGGAAAAGCTTGGCCATTTTAAAGGAAATCTACGAGAAGTGACAAGAAAACTATTTAATAATCAACCAAAGATGCAGAAAAGAAAGGGGGAAACACTGACGACAAATGTATGCATTATTTTTGCTATTAACTATATTATGTACTGCAGTGAATCTATGTTCAAACAGAAAAGACGAAAGGTACAGATAAGCAAACAGACATTAATAATGTTGAGCTTACGCACACTGACATTCGATCACTAATTATACAGTGCACTATATCATTCCAGTTTCGTGGTCAAGAGAACAACTGCCTTAAAAAAAGTCATTCTAATTTTGGGAGAGGATGGTATAAGGAAAGTAACCGTCTCATGTTACACATGGGAAACATTTGTACTCAGATTATTATGTAAAAGTCTTCACTGATTTGTCGCAACATTCTTACGGCATATTATGCCATTCAGTGTAGGGGATGTCGTCAAAACTTACATTGAGCATATATATTTCTCCTGTATCCACAAACGTAAGTTCTCGGAGTCCAAGTTGGAATAAACCAATGCAAACGTTGACTCCCGTTGGTCAAAAAATTGTTGTAAATAGGCCATTTTCTGATACAAAGCTGAAATGTTACGCCTTCTTAAAATTGCGGACGATATCAGTATTTTAGAATAATGTATACAGCACCCGCATCCGCTCAAGATGGTCCATTACTGTGCCTGGTTTTGTTGAGCGATCTGTAGAAAGCCTGTGTATTGACAACACTGTTTTGTCCTTGATTATGATAGATGAATCTGGTGTATCATCATAGTGTAGGAAGTACTTTAAAACGTTCTGATTGCATGCCCTCATCGTGACAACGCAGTGAGCTGGTATTAATGACAAATCCTGTAAATCATCAACATAATTTGTCGCAGCCAACCGATCTGAGATAGCTCCGTGAGCCTAAAGACAGATAGCCCCTTACAGTAATTCGGTTTGATTTCAACGACCTTTAAGCTTTACAAACGCTAACCACGTACTTCCTCTCATTGCTTTGATATTCGATCACATCCTACCGCCCCAGTTTATGAAGAAGGAAGAGGATAGGTGCAGGTTGTAATAGGAGAAGAGCAACAGATCCGAGCTGAACTCCAAGATGGGTGGCTTCAGATCTCCAGGACTGATATGCGATCCAGAAACTAGTCTGAACTATACCGACGATGTGGAATCGGCAAGGAAGATATTGTATACAGCTGAAGATGCTGTCATTGTCCCCATCCTTATGTCTGTGATCGTTGGCCTGGGCCTGCTGACCAACTCAATCTTCCTTCTCGTTGTGATACGCGTGCATCACATGCGAACGGCCACCAACCACTACCTGGTCCAGATCGCCTTAGCCGACATCATATACCTCATCTTCGGGGCTGGGGAGAAGGTGGTCCGCTTCGCCGTGTCGCCGGTGAACGTCGACATGAAGTGGATGGGAACAGCCGGCTGCCTGCTGGTGCCGCTGCTCCGCTCCCTGGCCTACTTCGCCGTCCTGTTCTTCATGGCCTTTGTGACGCGGGAGAAGTACCTGGCCATCTGCAAGCCTCTGAAATACCGGGCCATTAACGGTGGTCAGCGGGTCTGGACGACCCTGACAGCCTGGGGCGCGGCTCTTCTCATCGCCGCCTCCTTGGCGCCGTGTTCCAGCGTCTTCTCTCCCTACTGTATCACTTGGCCGTCAGCCTGGATACCCTCAGACCTACCCAGCCTCGCTGCCCAATGCAGACCGGTCTCAGAGTGGTTGAACACCTACAACGACGTCATGCAGACATTCCCGTTCTTCCTTGTCATGTTCCTGACCCTCTCCATGCACATTTGCATCATCAAGACGCTGCGTGTGCAGGTGGCAGCCCAGACGGAGGACCTGCAAGGACCCATAACGGCTCGCAAGATGCAGACTCGGAGACAAGTCACCCGTATGCTGGTGCTCAACGGTATACTCTTCTTCAGCCTCCTAGCGCCGTTTGAGTGTTGCTCTATCGCCTCCTCTACACGAATGTACACCACCCATCAGTTGCTGACATCTGACCAGTTCAGTCTTCTGCTACAGATCGCCAGGACCTTAGCCTACCTGCAAGCTGCTATCAACCCACTTGTATATTACCTGCTTCATCCTCGCTACAGAAAAGCCTGCGTAGAGACTTTCTCAAGGGGTGGCAGTACAAATAGGCAATATGTGAATACTACGGATCGCTCCAACGTCATAGCGTGGCCAAAGAAATAAAGCAACGGTTGATACTAAAACAATAACATCTATTCAAGGTGTTATTAATCTGGAAGATACTCTCTGGCCAAAAAAATATTCTGGCTAGAGGGCACTGAGAGGGCTCTGAATTTGTAGTCTTATAAAGATTGTTTTTAAGATCGAGAAAATATCAAACAAAGCGAAGATTAAAATGACCAATCCAAAGCGTAGCAATAGGTATAGAAAATGTATGAAAAATGACGTATGCAAAAATATACGGATTATTTAAAGGTTAAACTGTATAGTTTTGTATAAAGAATTCAAAGATAACTCCAATCGGATTGATACATTATGTTGGTATATATATAATTCGAGGCCTAATAAAGAGTGAGTTCAGAAAGATGGATACCCGATTTCGAAAAAAATATTAAATATATATTTTGAAGACATGGAGTTTAAACAGTACATCTTGGGAAGCCACTAACTGTCATCTGGTGGAATGGGCAGCACAATAAGACAACATTTCCATGCAAAAGGAATAACAAAATGAGACGGAAATGGTTTCAGTAAACTGTATTATGTCAAATGTTTGTAATCTATCAGATCTTCAATAATCAGAAACATTGTTGAATTAAGAATACTATAAGTAAAGAAACAAAACCTGACATGACTATTAAGGGTTTAAAGTTTAAATGTGTGTTTTAGCCTGATTCAATGATAATATGATTTTCAAGATTTTTCTCTCTCTTTTTTTTGGGGGGGGGGGGCTCTTGTATCTCCTGAACCACAAAAGCAAAATTGATGAAACAAAAAATTAGATGATTACTAAAACCTTGTAATAATTATGTGTTTCTTTCTTTAAATTGCTTTATACTTGTATTTAAAGTCAACGAACAAAAAAAATCCTTTTTACAAGGTACCCATCTTTCTGACTCACCCTATAAGAGTGTTATTTTGGAAGATGCGCGCCATCATCGACATGTCTGGAAACATAATTTAGAAAGAGGAGAACATCCCTCGTGGATGAAATAAGATTTTTCTTCTGGGACCTAATTAACCACATTGTTAATATTGCGCACAAGCAACCGGGAACTTGCCCGACGTAATACCATACCGGAACTGGTGAATGACCATGTGTCATATATTCATATACTTGACGGTATGGAAGTGCGTTTTACGGATTCTCAGCTGTTGATGATAAGAACAATTTCCAGACAATGGGCAGTTTCACAGAGTCGCAAAATAATAAGAGGAGAGGACGTGATTGAATTTCTTTGCCCCTGCTTGTTTTTAAAAAGCACAACTGGCAGACCGGCGAAATGTTCCAACATACATAGCAGACAGTCCTCGCAATTTATTAATACTCATTGCCAACTTTCAAAACAACAACGAAATGTGGCCAACTTTGTTTGAAAATGTAAATATTATGTTGCTCATAAATCATGTTTTAAATGAAGCATGCATATACTGACCACGCAATCGGTGCTTTTCAATGTATTTCAATTGGAAACAAATATTAATCATAATTTGGTACGCCATTTAACATTGTATATAACTATTTTTATACTTAATTTCTGTATATTTAAACGTGAAGTTAGCAATTTCAGACTCCCTGTACTGTGATTAAGCTTTTATTTATTCTTATATTACTTGTATAAGTGAAAAGGTGAACGTGTTCTATTATTCTCCAAAAATATTCTGACATTGTTGATTGTGTTGCAATAATTATTCATGAAATTGTTGACTTCCCAATGGTCCCGAACAATATTGCGTCCTTTCGCATTAAGGTCGGAACAGAGGGTCTCCAGTTGCTTAGAAAGAAATCGTTCTATTCGGGAGGAGGGGTACGGGTGGGGAGGGGGCAGTTGGGGTAAGGCGTCCTCTAGGTGGCGCTATTCGTTGTAGACCTGTACGTGTATTAATAATACTATGGACGTGTCCGCCATTCAGTGACATCCTCGGCATTTCTATTGGGCTTTTTATGTCTAATTATCGAATTGACATTTGATGTAATGACTTAGATGTTTCCCCTTCCCCTCCCTTTCCTTCCTTGCTTATTTGAAGATCTCCCTCATATAAATACCCCTCGGCTGAAAAATGACGATAACACACGATTTTGTTTGTCTTGTCTGGCTAGTCTCAAATTTACGACCGGCACATACTATTCTTAACTGAGGTTTGAGGGGAAAAAAATGAAAAAAAAATGAGACGTGCCTGGGCTCAAAATGTTCCCATGTTTACCTGGATGCGAATTCGTGTTCATGTGCTGCACTCTTGACTGACTCTAGAGTCGTCTGTGTTTACCGACGGGCCCATGCCCAGAAATGATGTGCATATCGTTCTGTCACATCGCCAAGCACGATTAACTGCGACACGGCTGGTCGTGGGGGTTCGTGCTCGCCCCCGGGTCTCGGATCACCGTTCGTCTGTGGTAAAGTCACTTCTGCGGCTCGACAAACGATGATTACCATCTCGGTTATCCGTTGACATTATGATGCCACACGATTGACCGGCTTGTGATGTGGCACATTCTGAAAAGCCAAAAGCGGGATTGGATCGTACATATTTTCGAGTTTAAAAACCCAAAATTATACAAAGAATTATTTAATATTTTTCTGGCATTATAAAAATAATTCAATGTACACATCGAACGAAAAAAAACCCGACCCACGTATTGGAATAATTATCACTTTACAGATGTCGAATTAATTTCCCCATTCAGATCTCCGTAGGCTGATGGGACCGGGAACCAGTCTAATCGCAGGGTGGATCCGTGTTTATGTTTAACTTATAGCGACTGATATCTAGTCTATTACACTGCTCATACACAAGAGAAACCCGGTAGAGTAACTTGATTTGTTTTAAGAGTGCAAGGTTTATGAGTCCAAACCCAGTTTTCGCAAACAGTGCAATGATTTTATTGACTTTGATGTGAACCATGATTACATAACCATGATGATAAATAACCCACGGAACAAGGATATGGCCATTTACATGAACACTGTAATGGGCTCATGAATGATGAGAAGAAATGGGATCCTGTTCTACCAAACTGAATTAAGAACGACGCAATATATCGTTTGACTTAGTGCTGCATGGACGGAACATTTAACGGCCTGTTCTTGTTAGAAACCTGTCTTTTGCAGCGTACCCGTTGCTAAACCACAGTCATCATGCATACGTGGAAAGGACTGCCATGAAACTGGAACTCACCCCAAAAGATAAAAACCAGTCTGGAATTATTTTAAGGGTTTGCGGGAGGAAAGAGGACTTCTCCCGGTTCGGTCGCTTGGTGGCGCTACAACAAGTAGGCCTAGCTCCTCTCGTTATAAAATTGCATGTTATCGGGTGACGCCGACTGCCAAAAGGGTCAAACTAAAACGCTATTACACTTTCCCTTTAAATGTGAAGGGTTTTTAAATTTTCACAATAGGGCCTACTCTGCACAGCATGAGGAAAACTCATTAGATAGACGCTCGTTTGGCTGCTTTGCCTGGTAGTAACCGGCATGGAGGGGGAGGGGGGCACAGTTGGCTTGAAGGCGTGCATCTGGCAATGACACACTAATCATCTTAAGAGTGACAATATCAAGAGACCTCTTGCACTTTCAACGAGGTCTTAAGCGTGGACCTAAGGCGGGAGTGCACGTCTCCCATTCGTGCGTATAACTGCTTCGCCGTAATGTAATTCAGTCTGTTAATCATCAACGCAGGCGCAGAAATTGCCAGCGAGAGAGAAAAAACAACAAGAGGACAAAAGTGCCGAAAGATGGCGGTGTGCGTCATTATGGGCGGAAACCTGATAGCACAAGAAACATAAGCCAAATCGGTGGGGAAGGCAGATTTCGGATGACAAATGAGAAAACTGAGATCATTTTGTGAACAAATGTTTAGTTTGTGGCACGTTCTGCAACATGTGGGGGGATATAAGCCAAAACAGCAAACTTCGTGCACTGATTTTTTCATATTCTAAAGAAGAATAAAATCGAATATAATTTTCTTTACGGTAAACACTCATTGGAAAGCTTTAGTAGCCTATTCAGCGCATTCCCATTATCAGTTCAGACTGAGGACTTTACTTGAATTTACTTTTCTATTCTATCAAAATGTTGATATAACCGATCGGCAATCATTGGCACCCATAAGAAGAACGAACCAATTTTACCCATGAGCCTCGCTGCCTATATCTGCTCTCCCGATCCCATGCATGCTGCAACCGGGCAACACAAAGTTGTGCGTGCCTGCTGCTTCGTAAATTGTGGCTAAATGTGGTAAATGAGAGCCCGCATACATTATTGTAGAGCGTAATGACGATTCCTTGTCCCTGAAATATGACAATAGAATAGTATGATTTGGAGGCTATTGATGTAAATTTAGAGGCCAGACATTTCCTTGTCGTTTTCCATATACTTATACCTTATCCACGCTTGGAAACTTTAGTCGAAAGTTTATGAAGTGTTTGTATGTGTTATCATATCTGCTTAAAAAGCGTCACATGTGGTAATAAAATAAACAGAATTGTTCTTACTGTTTTCCCCCTTTCCGTTCCGATTTTCGATATTTTTGCTCGGGCGATATTTTCAAATGTTACTTTTATGAAGGTGAGTATTCAATTTCCCATCTTTGATTTGCCAATTTTGTCACCTTTTGTTATTACATAAAAGTAGTGGTGAAGAATACTGCTTTCGACCCTTCAATCAGTTTTGGATTCGAACAAACCAAATTTATACCATCCCCTTTCAAAGTGATCCCGGTGCGTTTCTTGTATCCGATTGCGTAATTAGTTTTTGTACAAACACTCGCATACTTCGATAACTTCATACCATTTCGATGGAAAACAATGTACAGTCTTATCATTTAGGAGTAGGATATGGCATCATAAAGTCACCAAACCAGCTCAATTTTACGATCGGGTTGCATTTGATTTGTCATCCATCAGTTACGTCATGGAGAGTCCAGTGGGCAATATGCCGACTGACGATGCATGGAATGCACGACTGGCTAGGAACACAGTACACCGGCACGGTCGGGCGACATCTCCGACGCGATCGAGCCAGGGTAGTTTGCACAAAGTGAGCTAACTTGTCATCACAGCTGCTTGTGCCGCGCTGCCGAGCACACACTCAAGTCACGGCCGAGTCAGAGAGTGCTTGTAGGATCGGCAGCGTGAGGTGGTGTGCATCAATCTAAGATGCACTGTCACTCCTATATAAAAACCCAGAACCTCTAAAGCGTACAAAACAGTTGTGATTCTGATGGCCGCATAATTATGATGCACCCTGGGCAGGGTTAAACACCGTGTATTTCAAAACCGACTTGTGTGAGTACTTTTAACTTTCAAAAGATGGATGCGACACCGTCCAGTTTAAGCTGCACGGGTGATGAGGAGTGGGACTACAGCAATCTCTCTGTGCCGTCTGGACTGCTCCATAATCCCACGGACACTGCTATAATAACCATCGTCAATCCCTGCATCTTAGCTCTCGGTCTGACCGGCAATCTGGCGTTCCTCTTCGTTATGGTCCGAGTATCTCGGATGTGGAATGTTACTAACATCTATCTCATCAACATGGCGGTGGCGGACACGGCCTTTCTGACAGTCGCCGTGTCGGAGAAACTGGCCAGCTACTACACCAGCCCGATCAAGGGGGACCGGTCGGCCTTTGGACCGGCCGGCTGCATCATCACATTCGTGCTGCTCGATCTCAGCTACTTTGCCTCCGTGTTTCTAGTGACTTTGGTCTCGCTGGAGAAGTTTTACGCCATCTGCCGGCCCGTAAAACACCGCATCATCGGCGGCAAGAAGCGCACGACTCGCCTAGTAGTCGGGGCCTGGCTCCTTGCCTTGGCATTCGCCTTGGCGTTGCTACCAGCCTGGGTAGTCTACGTCAAAATCTGCACCATTTGGCCGGCCACGGAGGAATACCGCGACTTTCCACGGTACATCGGGCAGTGCAATGCCATCACGGAATGGTACGACGAGTTCCACAACGGTTTTCAGACAGTGCCGTTTTTCCTTGCCCTGGTATCCAACCTAGTCTTCTACGTGAAGATCATCCAGCGATTGAGCACTCGGGTCAGCAGCGTCTCACCTGAACGAAGCGCCCGGAATGCCAAGCGCCAGAAAGTCCGTAACCAGGTTGCAGTCATGCTGATTGCTAACGGTGTGGCGTTCTTCGTGTGTCTTGCACCGTTCCAGCTTACGTCTTTCTCTCTGACCATCAGCGGTCTAACGGGGAATTATCTCCTCACTCCCGACCAGATCAACACGCTCGTGTGGGTAGCCCGTATCTTCACCTACATAAACCCCGTAATAAACCCCGTCATATACAACTTGACAAACAAAAGGTACAGAACTGCCTTCTATGAGGCATTCACTTGTCAGGCTTTAAGAAAGCGCCAAGATGAGACAACTGGAATCAACGAAGACACTGTATCTACATTTAACACTTAGAAGATGCTACCCCAAAATAACACAGAGATATAAAAATGTTATGCTCGTGTATTATGTAATTTTCTAATAAATCTGCAATTTTTTTCGCGAGTTTTTGTTTGCATGATTGAGAATCGTGCTTACTTCGTGATCAAAATTTGAACACAATGAAGTAAAAACCATGAGCTCACATTGTGACTTAAACCTACATTGCTTTAAAAGTTTAATCCTAGTAATGTTTTAACTACATAATTTAAATCAGTTTTACATCAGGTAGGCATAATACAGTTTACAAGCAATCTGGTAGCAGAACAAAATAGGGTCGTTAACACTGCACTTCCTATCAAAATAGATCAACAGTATAAAACTTTACTAAAATTAAGATGAAGGTACCTTCGTTTTTTAGTCTTTTTAAATTTCTTTCCTAAAAAAAAACCCAATTACGAGGCGCTTTTTGATTAAAAGAGTCACGCACTAAAACGTGAATGCGATGCTGAAAACTTGGGTCCTATACAAAAGGGGAACACATAAGACAATGCTAAAACTATTAAATTGATAAAGAGTTGCTGGAAGTCATTTTATGCATGTGGTCTACACAATGGGTGAGATTTAGCTCATTCATTGACGTAGCGGGGTAATCATATACGATAGCACTGCCCAGTCCACAAGTGACTGTCATGTACAAAGAGGACCCTAGGCTGGCCTTTTGGGATCATCAAATTTGATTTGCTAGAAAGAGTATACCATTATACTGGTGTTACGTCCGTTTACTGCTGGGCCAAAAAAAAAAAAAAGCTGTGCAAACAAGACGAAGGAATCGAAACGATTATCTGCACTTACTTCTGCGGAAATGTCAATCATAAAACTCAAGTTTTAATTAAAAATCTCATCATTGGCTCTAAGAAGCAGCACAGGGAAATCTCCAACACATCTTTTTATAAAATGTAAGTCGTAATATTATTGTCCCCCACGCATTTGCTTGCTTGCGGGTATCAGTTCTCTTTGAATTTCCAAGTCAGTTGACTCAAGAGCTAACTTGATAATCAAGATAAGTCTAAAGGCTCAGACCATGGGTACGAACGCGCGAACCCGAACCGAGGTTCGTGTCAATATTTCACCTTCGATTACTTAAATGAAATAGTAGACAGGGTTGGGAATGGAGAAACGAAAATTGACACTTGTGGGAACAATCGATGATTATTCAATTTGTGTGTTTCCAATAGGCAAGGGAGTGTAATCGCTGCGTGACTTTTGTCGATATTATAATCAGTTATATTTCAGTGTCGTTTAGACATTAGAATTTGTCATTTCTCCACATCCTGATGTATTACAACTGAAGTGTTGTGTTGTTTGCTATGTCAAATTATATTACACGTCAGTAAGTTGTATAAAATTATATAATCATTGTCTTTTTTAAATTCAAACATGTAATCATCGCATACATTGACTGTGTAATTATTGATCAAGATTGCCATGAACAATTTAAATTTTGACATTTGGAATTATGGCAGAATTTTATATGTATGCCGCATGTATCATTCACAACACTTTTGCTTAAGGCTTGCCGAAATATGGCTTGCCTAAATAAAAAAAAAATAGTTACCATGGCGATGCTATATTAGACGTACAGTGTATATGGTTCCTAAATATTTCTTCTCTACAATCCCTAAACGTTTTCATATGAAGGTTTATTGTTGATGTTGATGTTTATTGTTATTATTGGTGTTCAGTTGAATCATGTGCATCTTCTAATAAAATATAGTAATTTCGCGTGCACCGCAGCTGCAACACCACCACAGTACTTAAAACAATTAATACAAAAAAATAGTACACGGTAAATTGATAATGTTCCTGTCGAGAATACTGTATATAGCAAACTAGACACTGTAATTATGAGTATTTTTCAATTCATATTAAATGTGGCAGCAAGGGCGGATCCAGAACACAATTTTTGGGGGCCAAACAAATGTTGGTCCCCCAAAAAGTGGGACCGAAAAATGACGGCGCCGGGTTCGGGGCCAGGTTCAAAGGGCCCCGAAATGTTTGTTTGGTTCTAGGTGCTCTGTGGTGCGATCTGAGGCAATTTCTGACCACTTTAACCAATTATTTGTGAGGGAAAAAATGGTGGTGTACACAGTGCCTGCCTTTATTGCAACGTCACTTAAAACAAACAAAAATTGGGTTGGTTTGGGGGTTGGGGGGGGGGGTGGCCCCCGTTGGCCCCCCCCCCGATCTGCCCTTGTGTGGCAGAATGACGGTAAATTACCAATGCAAGTCATGTTTGTATATATTGTGTAGGCCTACACTGCTATACTAATTTCAATGAATTGTATATATTACAAAATAATAGTGAAAATGCCTGCATATATGTTTTCAAAAGGCTCCGATAGTATCTTTTTTTTCAGATTAGTTTCTACGGGGTTGTAAAACTTGTATCGTTTATAATGCGCTCTTTCAAGGAATCCCGACTCGTAGTAAAAATGAAGTTTCACTGTCTTGCAAATGTGTATATTGCAGCTGGTCTTTCAAACAGACCGTACAAAGTGCCCGTGGCAACCCCTCATTCAAGATGAACAAAGAGGGGCAAACCGAGCAAGCGGGCCGTTGCAAATTTGAAAAGGGGAAGGACTGGACCTCACTGGACCTCATCGGATGCTACCCTTTCATCTCCTTTCTTTATTCCTCTGTTTATTCATATTTCACAAATTGCAGTAAAGAGGGATTATCGATTTAAAAACAGTCATCTTTTACTCCTTAATTACTCAAAAAAAGAAAGAGACAGATAAGTGCTTATTATTACTCGTTTGTAAATGACCGTGTCCCCCAGGCCTCCCTCGGATCCAACCATGCATATGAGCCATGAGTCTCGGTCATGCATGGACCTCGGTTTACCAACAACTTCAATTTTGTAATTGTCCTGAGTAAGGAGGCACAGCGTCCCTAACCTGAAATTTGTTTCCGGCCGACCTCATTTTTCGCTTGTAATTTTAACTAAATTGCGTCTGTTCCTCGGCACTCGAAGCTGTCCATTAAACTCGACCCTGGCAGCTTTCTCTCCCTTACGGCATTTCTTCCATCGCGAAATTAAAGCCTTCCTTTCTATCCTGCCACAGTTGCACATCCTTGGCTCTTACCCTTTGCGGAGCAGCTAGGGAGATTAAAATCAAAACTCAAGTCCCCTAACCTTGCGCCCCTCTAAAACCTGCTCAAAATGTGTTTCGCAGGGCCGGAGTCATGAAAATATTTGCTGTCGCCCTGTGTTTCCCTCTATCATAAAACCATAAATCTGTATGTTCACATACCACAGTGAAATAAGATGCTAATATTGACTTTGCCTGCCGCGCAGATATAAAGTAAGGCGAATTTCATCTCAATGTTTTGATTGGGTTATTCTGGATGCCTGAACTCCCTGTTGTCAACATTCGTCAATACATCAGTAACACAACTGGCACAAGCGTGTAACAAATAATTTGAAAAAAAAATATCTATACATGTATATGCCAGAAGAAAGATTGAGATAAAATTAATCAAAATGAATCAAATCTTGCAGTGCATGTCACTGGGAGTGAGTGACATGTTCAAGTAACATGACATCGCCTTTTATGAAGACCACCCGTGGCTATATAAATAACAAAAAGGTAGGTTAGTAGAAAAATCGTTGCATATCCTGCAAACGTGCATAGGAAATCAAACGCTGTCCATTTAGTACGATCGCCTTTCATCATGGGAACGTCTTAGAGCATGCAGAGAGCAAACGGCCTATAGGCCTAACTCTTAAGGGGGATTTCTGCAGCCGTACATTTGACTTCATGAGTTGAAATACTGCTAGAGTTGGGGCGGAACAAAGCCTCTCCAACCCACCTCCCTTCACATAGGCCTACTGATTGTCGTCCCTACTCGGTTCCCCAACTGCCAAAAAAGATCCTCAAATTATGATGGATTGTTCACAATCATTTCATGCCGATCGAACCAAACGACCGAGACTTTCCATTACATCGGCCATCCATCATAATACGATTTATGCTATATTTTTATATAAGGGGAAAATTACTGCCGGTTCGGTTTAACAACGGAGTCTGCGACGAGATTACAGTCATAACAGAGCACAAGCGTACTGTTAATGGCTTTTTCTCCCATTGCGTGTGAGAAGGGAGATTATTTGAAGGAAATTTCCTGATGCTTTCAATGAAAGCATTTTGTTTTGTGTCTGCATCATGCCGATTAGCCCATTGACTACAAAGTGCATGTATGCATTTCACTCGAGCGGAAGCTGCTTTGCACGAGAGTGGCGAATTGTAAAAACGGGTTCCGAGCAGAAATGTTGATAGAAGGTTTGAGGAAACACTGTCATCCGTTTGTCTCTCAAGTCAGTATAAAGAGAGGCAGAAACAAGATTGTAGGTGGCTAGATATAAACACGTCAGACTTGCTTCTAAATTCACGTACACTCTTCGAGTGCTTCATATATAGTCGCGGAATATCAATCAATAATACCGACAAGCCAACATTCATAGAGCTAGAAGGTCCTACAGTGAACCTCGATCTTTCGAGGGTTCATTCCCAATGCCATTTTCCATTTCCCTGGAATTCATTACTCTTTGTGATGTCGTCATGAACAAGACAATTAAAATTATGGTTTTTCGAAGACGAATTATTTCGAGTATGGAACCGAGTATAGTCTAACTGAGTACATACGAGATCGGCAGAAAGCACCCTACCAGGACCGCGGTCCTTTATAGATAGCGAAGCTTTTGAAAATATTTTGCCGAACGGAAAATAGAAATTGTGACAATCTTCTTGAAAGACAAGCCTAGGCAAGCTGGTCCCAGACCAATTTGGTCTAGGTAGTCATCCGAGTCGAACTTTTGGGCCAAGGTAAGGCTTACTAAGCAAGTCTAAGTCACAAGTCACTGTCAGTTAGATACGTACAAAGAGGACACTAGGCTGATTTTTTAAACCACTTTTAAAATTGCCTTGCCGCAACTGACTCTCGAGCTTTCCAAAAGGATGACAGAGACATGCCCAATGTTTGACCAATATTTCAGTTGTGACCGATTGCGATATCTCCTCTAGGATAGTTCTTCCATTCTGCAACAGCAAGGTACAATGTATTTACTTTCTTGATGCTACATGATCCCATTGTTACTCTCTCAGACTCATATCTTGCAGCAATTTGCGTTTCAGCACGCGCATGACATGTTCAAATTTACCCGCAATCGCCAAATAGGCTTGGCGGATGTTGGATCATGATTTCGCTGTGTGATTGTGCTGAAGAGCCGAAGTCCAACTTTCAAACATCCCCACTTCTCAACTGTTTCCAGTTGCTAAGACACTGATTGCTTGTTGAAAAAAAATGTTTCAAGACAAATACAAAGCCGAGTGTCATCGTTTGAAACAGCAGCTGTCCAGCTGAAACAATACAAAACTTGGTTTCAGGAATGATTTGAAAATGGCTTATCAGCACTGTTTGTAGTAAACACCATTGATAAGGCGCCCAAAACAGGTGATTCATTATTAGCCTCAATATCTTTCACAATTTAAAAAAAAAATGATAACCAACAAGCTGGCTATAAACATAAAGTACCAATGAAAAAGCCGTAGGCATCAGTAAATCACGTATTTGCAATGAAAGGAATTACAACCCCGACCCTGCATTTGATTGAAAACTAATAAGAAGTATTGTGGCCGCGTTTCCGTACATAGATCAATCAGAAGGGTTAATTAAGCTGAGTAAAGTAGTCAAGCCGGCCCGTTGACCACCTCCCCTTCCCCACATGCAACTGTCCCTTGGGGAAAAGGGACGGTTGAAAACAAAACGGAGAAAAACGTCTTGCAGGGAACACTTGAGCCTAGGAGGAGTGGGCGAGTCAATGCTGAGGAACGGGGAGGGAGTCATGCTCCAACTTGAAGAGGTCTATCATGATGCCTGCATGCGAAATAAGTTCCATGCATCTCCCCTGCCGATGCCCAACCATCCAGGAATTCATTATACTACGGAAACTACTTCATTATGCGCCAATGAACGGAAGGATAAACTTGACCATTGCCCTCTACAAATTAAATTTACTGATTACCAGCTCAAAGTGATTTTGCGACTTCGGATCTCGTTGCAAAAACTTCAGGGAACTAATAAGTGCTGTAGATGGATTAATGGTTTGTAAATAAATGTTTCTTCAACCAAAATCGCCCGGGGCCCCGTGTACATGATGGTTCACTCGGGTGCTCGCTTGATGGCGCTCTACCATGTCCATACAGCAGGCGTATCACAGGGGCCTAAATACATTGACCTTTACAAGATAGCGTTTTTTTTGTGTCAGTTCTGTTAGTATACCAAGTCATGAATGATGTCCTTGCCGAGACTCATCAAGTTATGTGGCTGCCATTGAAATGTTGGATGCAAATAGTTATTGAATAATAAGTATGGTGAATGAATTTGATGAAGGTATATAGTTAAAATAATCGTGTTAGTATTACTATCAAGTACTTTTACATTTCGATTTATGCAAAGTAAATTGAAAATCGTATGAATACAAACCTAAATAGCATGGAGTAGGAATACATAATTCGAAGAAACATTAATCGGTTTATCAGACATAGTGCTTGCTTTGATGTCTGAACTATCAGTTGGATATTGTTTAATATAGGCTCAATGTCTCCCCAGAGAGGATTACAACTAATGGCGATAAGTATTATCTCTTTGGTAAGCTGATACACAGTGTATCATGGCAATGTGAAATTGTTTTGGGAGCAAACATGTGAACAGTGTGAGGTTGTGCCAAACGACTGTGTCATCGACCGCTGCCTGGGAACAGTATTGAACACTCTTCTTACATGTACATAATTGGCTGTCGTCTTCATCTCAGCTTTGGGTAGCAGTGATATGACATTAACACACACCGGTAATTGGCAGGAATTACACGACTGGACACTGTTGATGAGTTTGCACAGCACTTGACTAAAGGAGTCTGATAGGTGTTCATCGTTAGCGCGGTGCAAGTTTAACTGTCACTTTTTTGGACTGGCAGTGGTTGCTATATAGCGTGGAACATGGGATGCGCTTTCGCGTTAAAGGAGTGCACAATAAGTTGCTACCCCAAAGGTGAACCATTTTGAACTACGTTTTTCAAACGGAGCTTAGATTTTGCCGAGACTGCTTGGATCATTCAGCATGGGTACTGCCGTGAGCAACATTGCCGAGTCTTGTACGCCAAACACCACGCTGGACCTGTCGTTTGACGAAGCTTTTGCCGAGGAGCTTTCCTACACCAACGCCGATCGAATCATTATCACAATAGTGAACCCATGCATTCTTGCCGTGGGTCTACTCGGCAATCTAGCCTTCCTCTTCATGATGGTGCGTGTACGCCGCATGTGGACCGTCACCAACATCTACCTGACCAACCTGGCCATTGCCGACACCTCTTTCCTGGTCATCGCGGTGTCGGAGAAGATTGCCCGGTACCGTGCCAGCCCCGTGTCAGGTGATCAAGCCATCATGGGTCCCGGTGGCTGCATCAGTGTCTATGTCCTCTTAGACGTGGCGTACAGTGTCGGGCTCTGCCTGGTGACTCTAGTAACTGTGGAGAAGTACTATGCCATCTGTAGACCAATCCAACACCGCTTGGTCGGCGGCATGAAGCGCACTAAGAGATTGGTGCTGGTTGTCTGGGTAATCGCTTGGGTCTTCGGTCTGACCCTACTTCCCTGTTGGTCAAATTTCGTGGGCTTCTGTACAACCTGGCCAGAAACCGAGGCATTCTCTAACCATCCGCAAGTCATTGGATTCTGCCAACCCGAAGCTGCTTGGCTGATTGATGTCCACAACGGTGTCCAGACGGTGCCTTTCTTTGTCTGTCTGATCGTCAACGCCGTGCTTTACATCCTCATCATCAAACGCCTCAACACCCGCGTCGGGGTGGTGAATGACGACCACTCTACCGGGCAACAGAGGAAGAATCTCCGGCAGAAAGTGCGCAACCAGGTGGCACGAATGCTGATCGTCAACGGTGTTCTCTACTTCACACTGATGGCCCCTTTCCAGTGCACCTCCTTTGCATTCGTCATCAGCAACTCGACCGGGAATTACGTCTTGGAACCGGAACAGGTCACAAAGCTTCAGTGGGTGAATCGCACCTTGTTTTACCTGAACCCGGCCATAAACCCGTACATTTACTTTATCACAAACCCCAAATACCGCCAGGCTTACGTGCAGGCTTTCACCTTTCGCCGCCCAAAACGTCGGGCTCGCTCTGCCACCGTGATGGATGAAATGTCAACTTACATCCCGTAACTCCGATTTTTTTTTCTCGATAGTTTAAAATAAAAAATAACTGCCGCTAAAAGATATTTCAAAACGGTTCAATTCTCATTGTCCTTACCATTTAGAATGATGATCAAAGGACTGTACTCGATGATAGAGCTGCGATTGCAAAACTGAATTGAAATTTCGAAGTTGATCTGTGTAAGAACTAACCTACTTGAAGTCTGTTGTATATTTCTTAAATGAAAAGTAGCGGTATTCCTCATGACGTACCCATAGCTACTGTAACAAACTATTTCGGTGTTCTTATTATAAGCTCTTTTTGTACTCTCTGTCAGTAGATACATGTAGTTATACGTCGTTACGGACGTTTTTATAAACTCTAAGGCGACAATACGTCCTAATCTAGTGACAATACAAGAATATAAACTTCCCGTTTTTTTTCCCGAAGAAACGTGCGATTGTAGAGCTATCCACGGTTATCTATGGTAATACACGTCCGTAAACTGACACATGTTTCACCCTTTTTAGAAAAGGTGGTTATGATCTTACAGCTTGTCGCCAAGATGTCTTACCTCTGTTTTGGTGTTGCGGTAACTTGTTTAGATTCACTGTGTATGTTAATTAATCTGCACAACATTAACCACGTGATAATCACGCACTACTTAGCAACAGAATCAATAAAGATTTTCAATTACTGTTTCAAGATCAACAAGTGCATTGTATCGCATTCATGGGCAAGACACCCGCCCAGTCGCACCAGCGTGCACATGGCAGATTCAGCCTCAAGAGCCATTGGAAAATCTATCAAATTCTAATTGTGTGAGGAACCTACAGGGACTCCTTGGTAACATACGTTTGTCCAAGCCCAAGACAGGGGATGGTATAATCACAGAAGCAATCATATATGCAATGTGTAGAGAAAGTATAACGAATAAAAACACAAGCAAGAAGCTTGACAGACCCAGTGACCCTCATCCTCCACCAAATTACCACTGCACCCAAACTTACACTTATGATACTTTCCCATAACAATCTTTCTCCGCACCCACTCAAGCCATTACAACACCCACTACAAACTCAATCCATTTACCGACGATCCCCCTATAGTCATCAGGCAAAACTACGCCACAATTATTACATTAGCTCTTCAACCCCCCATGCAGGAACTGCATCTTGACCTTTCAAACGCCATGGCAAGCGTGCCTTTTTGACATCGATGTGATTTCATCACACGGGACCCGTGTACTCAGCGCTCGTGTGAAACAGGCTTCAGGCCACCCTAAACGAGTTTCACTGTACCACACCCCGCGCACAACTCGGCCACATTCCCCATACCATCGTCAACCCTCAACCAAATGATTTCATACCTATCACAGCCAAACTCCAATGAGAGCATGAGTCCGTGAACAAAATGCGCCCCCATTTGTTCGAGCAATTTGATGGATTCAAGGGACAAAGGTCGTAGGTTGAAGTTTGTACCCCCCCCCCTCCCCACAACACCTGCATTTAGCTGATTTGGTGTCCAAACAATATCGGTTTAATATCACCCAGCAACTATCATTTTACAGGGATTAAAATTTATATCAATTTGGGTAGTAATCTTTTGCTCCTCATGGTCACTCATTGGTATCAGTGCCACTGATTAAGCCCATGTTATTTCAAGTAGCACACCGGCCCTAATCAAATCTGAGATAATTCGCACTCAAATATGTACCTGGTACAGAAGAAACGGTTGTGGCAACATGACGTTACCCATTGTTTCCAAAACAACATTTTACTTGTGGACTTTGATTTTGCGTCTCTTTCTGACGTGAACTGTGACGAATTACACCCAAAGGTGCCATAGATTTGTAATTTATGGTTCTCAAAATGGGTTAAAGGATCGGTTGTTCTCTGCGCTGTCGCCCTCAAGGAACACAATGCACCAAGATTGAACCAAAACGAGAGGCACTATACCTGATAGCAACATGGCGAGAGAACTCTATACGCCTGACACTATTGTTAACCTAACCAGTGAGTCCGATGCCTTACTGTACACTTATAGTTACACGGAGACCGTGGTTCTGACCGTGATCAATCCCTTAATTCTCATCGTCGGTCTCTTTGGTAACTTTGCCTTCCACTTCATGATCGTTCGGGTCCGTCGCATGTGGACGGATATTAACATCTACCTGGCCAGTCTCTCCGTCACTGCTGTGGTGCTGCTAGTCGTGCGGGTATCTTCCAGCCTCGCCCGGTACAAGGCCAGTCCTGTGCCCGGCGACTCCATCTCATTCGGCCCCGCTGGATGTACTGCCGTCTTCCTTTTGATTGACATATGTGACTGGGCTTCCTTCGCCTTTGCCGCCACTGTCATGAACGTCCTGTACCTCGCCACTTGTCGGCCTCACCTGTTTCGGCGTCTCCGGGGCAAGAAACGCGCCGGTATAACCACAGCGTGTGTTTGGATCGTATCCATCGGAATCGGTCTGTGTTTCTTACCAGCATGGTGGGATTTCGTCTGGTACGGCCTGATGTGGCCGGATCAGGAGCGGTACCAGGACTACCCGGAGCTTATCGGGGTCTGTTCAACCTCCGTAGATTGGCTCATCATAACTCACGACCTTATACAGTCTACCATGTTCTTCATTTCTGCAGTCGCCAGCTTCGTCATCTTCTTGGTCATCCTCATAACCCTCCGTAAGCAGTTCCAGTCTGTCGGACCTTCGCCAGGTGCCGATGCCGGTTACCGACAGAGGGCAACGACACAGACTACCAAGCGCCGTAAGGATCGCAGCCGCGTGGCACGAATGATTGCTATGACTACCCTAGCCTTCTTCGTTCTGCCAATGCCGTACGAGTGCACGGTATTCGCCCGATCCATCGTCAAGCTCACCGGCAACAGTGTCCTCAATGATGAACAATACAAAGATTTACTGTTTGCCTCGACTACGCTGATGAACGTTACACCGGCCATCTGCCCATACATCTATGTGCTGTCCAACCCCGGCTACCGCAGTGCATTGGTGGAGGCTTTTACGAAGAAGTGTGGAAGTAGAAACAGTCGTTTCGTCGTGCGAGGCGGCGAGATGTCAACTCTTGCTAAGTGAAGTTAGGAACCAGTTTATACATATTAAAATTCATGTTAGCATGAACGGACTTTTTACGGAAAGCACCCTTATGTCTTATGCGCGGTTTAAGCCCCTTTCACAAACTATCCAATACCGTAGTTGATATCGCTTTAGGATGGTCTACCTTAATCTGAAGCCTGTTAAACGCATGAGTTGGAGGCTCTCGGTTAAGTTAGCATTTAATATTAAAAAAATTCCCGTATCCGTTTTCATGGAACAGATTAGGACGTCGCTTTATTATAGTTCTCATATCGATTTGCCTCTGAAGTATGGTCGGTCTGCCTGCAGAAGAAACTGCATGCCGAAGTATAGATGGCTAAATTAAATTATTCTTAGTGTGTATTGTCTATAGATTGGTTTATTGCAGTTTGTGTAAACTTTTTCCGTTAGGTTTAAAACGTTTATCTTTCGAATTCACTGTTTCTTATTCATATTCGTCCATCAACTTCGATTTAGTTCACTTCCAATGTTTAATTTCGTCTCTTGTCAGACAATTTCAAATTCAGCTAAGCAAATTCAAACAATGAGCACACGTTTTCGTCCCGGAGTATTTGATTTCGTCTCGTCCACGCCAAACCTTGTTATCCAGATAATTCGTGACTATTGATTTATGTAAGACGGATTCGATATCTGAATGCTGCCATTCGGCAACAGCTTAGACGAATGTTATCTACAATAACGAATATTCTCGACCCGGTGACTAACGAGGGTGACCAAACTTTGAAAATCCCTCAATTTGTTTTGTTTAAAGTTTGAAATTTATCTCGGCTAAAATTGAATGTTAGAGTTGGTGAATTTGAATGAAAGTTAATGTTTTAAAATAGCCGGGAAACCTATATTACCTGCATGCAGCCCCCTGTAAAGGTAAACTGTAAGAGGAAACACTCTCACATCTTCTGGGATAGCACTGGTTCCTTTACGCCGTATACTTCACGTAAAAACGTTCGTTTCAATTTTGCATACAAACAATTACAGAGTCCCATACTCTTGTATTTATCATTATACGTACAGTATTCATAACGTCTTCAGGGGCCACCATGGTGTGCAGTAAAAGTCGTCCCTAGAGGTACAGATAAAGACAAAAGCGTGCATCTTCAAGAGTTCTTAATGGTCCCCCTCGAAGCAAACATGCAGAGTTGTCCATTCGGTAGAGGCGTGGCCGCCCTATAGAGGTACTGATGACGACAAAGACATGCGAAATATCTCTTGGGGCATTTCGCCTGTAGAAATACCGATGACAACACAATCATGCATCTTAGGATCTTTGTTTATGACTAGCTTTATAGTGGCGAACATTCGTTTAATAGTGCAATAGAGGTACTTATGGCAAGAAAAACATACACACTTCCACTTCCTCACAAGAGCAACAGTGGTCGCTAAAAGAGGTACATGAACCTCTACAAGGCGCCCACCATTATTGCAGAAATGGTCACCCTAGATGCATGACGAAGAAACTTACATATTCATGGCATCTATATTTATTACATTTCTTTAACAAGGGTATGCCAAAACAGTTCAAAATTGGTTGCCATTGCGGCCCTGCATACATACAATATAAATGACTACAAACATGTAAACAAATACAATACATATACAATACAATACAATGAAATAAAAGCATATTGTATTAATGTATATTAATGTTAAGCAACTAAATACAATGCATTTTTAAACTATTTTAATATTATAACTACATACATGTATATAGGACAACCACTGGGGCATATTATGAGGGTCAACCACTAGTGCAGTATATTCTAAAAGTCCCTGTTCAGATTGACTCCGCATCCTGGTTCTATTTGTCCTGGTCATCTTAAGCCGCGGACACCTTGGCAAAAAGTGTTGGCCCTCATGACTGCCATAACTTGCAGTGGCGTAGCTAGGTCAGTTTTATTGGGGGGTAAACATTTTTGGAAAAGGGCACATCCATGCTGAAATGTAGACACGTTTTTTCTTCGGCCGGACATCTGGCCTCTGTAAAATCAAATAGTTGCGAGGGGTTACCAGTGTCGATGGGGCGCTGTTCAAAACCGAAGATTATGCACACTAACGGACAATATATGCTTTTAATTCAGTGCGATACATGCGTGAATTACCCCCCCCCCCCAAAAAAAAGACACCCGGAACGGCCGATCGCACAAAAAAGGGCACGACTTCTTTTTAAAAACGGGGCACTTGTTCAGAAAAAAATTCACTTGTTACAAAAAAGGGCCCTCTTTACAAAATATTAGCGGGGAAGCGCTGGTGAAAAAAAAACGGCATTTGAATGGAAAAGGGCAGTCTTTACAAAATATTGGGGAGGGGGTGTACCCCCGCTGGTTACGCCTATGACTTTCGATTGCGCCCTTACACCACAGTCATGCAATTGGCGTTAAAGATCATTGCTGCTTTGTTGCTGCATTGTAATTTTATTTATTTATCACTTTGTAAGAATTTAAGCCGGAAGACATAAACAATTGAACTCTGGGTGCAGTTTGCACTGAAATCAGAGCAAATCGGTATCTTTCACACAGTAGTATTATTGTGTATAAAAGCAATTATATTTGTTTATTAGGCGTATTAATTATAAATGATATATGACTTTTATGCTTAATATATTGTTTTTTTTGTCAAATGCATAAGAATATAGTGTTTACGAAACTTACTGTGAAATAAAACTTGAGACGGTTTTAATTAAACACAAATAAATGCAATATCATTATCATGAAATGTTAATTTTTAATTTTATTTGCGTGATTAAAATTAAAAGTATACAAGGCTGTAATTCTCAAGCAGCTCAATATCTTCAAATGGCATTCCATGCATGGACAGCTATAAAAATGTGTTCTTTTCGTGAAACCTGCACACCTTCTGATGGAAGGGATGAATTTCAGTAATTTTGTTTCAGATGAGTAGAACAACAGTCATGTTCTTTTAAGTCATACTTCACTGGTGTATCAAATTTGATTGCATCTTAAAAGTTGTTTTTGAATCCGGGTCACTTTTTTCCTCACCATGGACATGATTGCGTACACATTCTATTAACGCAAAGTGTAGTTATGTTCTAAAAACAAATTGAATGTCCACACCGTTATTGAACATAATCAAAATTTAAAATATGAAATGCAGTATATACATCATACATAATAAATGGCGAATTGAGTACCTTATCTTTTACTTTTTTTTAGTTAGAAGACCTTTCGGCTTTCCAGGCTTTCCAATAAGTTGCTGCTCAGACAAAAATCTGCTGTAAAGTTTGGAAAGGCGCGTCTCCGTTCTAATTCCTACAGTATACGGTTCAGTGAAGTTTACATTAAAATGTATCAGCCCCTTGGGATTTGCTTGATTTACATTAATGAAATGATTTTTTTTCTCTCTTTTGGAGTATTTGTAACTCTCTTAAGGGGGGGGGGGTTCTTTTAGGTGTATAACCTGCTATAGGATCTGATATTATTTCACTAAATCATTCGATTACTAAACGCGTAGGCGGAAATTTCCTTTCAATGTTTACTGAAAAGCGCACGATTTTTGTATTACTATACCCAAATAATACATACCGCAATCCGTCTCAGGGACTGCTCAACCCAGCCAGCTACAAAAATACTTTATAGTTGGGGCCTAACCCTACTTTCATCCATGCTGGACGATCATCATCGTCGCTGTCATAAGGGTCATTCTCCATTGCCAGGGCTTTGTGTGCCAGGTTGCCAAAATTTATTTTGAGTTTGCACAATTGGCAGAGTTGGGGAATTCCTCGCTGCTCATTTCTATCGAAATAAGGGAATTGCTTATGACAAGTGATACACTCTGTTTCAGATTGAGGCAAGAACAAAAGTTGAAATTCGGAAGGAATCACGTTCTTTGGCAAATGCGAACTTGTTTCGCGACTATCGCAAGAGCGAGAAGGAAGCGAACGAAAGATGTCGAGGTAGCTGTCCGACGCAACGCGCAGTCGATCGAGGGCTTGGCCTTTGCAAACATGTTTCAACTTACTGTAAAGTTTGAAGATCCCCATAACGTCACATGCTGCGTATTTCAGCATGACGTCACTCAGGGGGCGCTCAAGCCAGGCATCCGTCCCAGGCAACTTCTTATCCCCTTCTTCTTTCGCTTTGATGAGGTCTTCATTCTTGACATATTTCACGAGGCAGAATAAGAAGCTCTCGAGAAGAGGTTGTTTTTCCAAAATTCCTGCGTCTTCTGTGGCCTCACGCTCCATAATCTGGGAAACATTAATTCAGATACTTTTCTTCAGTGATATTCGATTCCCCCTTTTATTCATAACCGATATTCGAGATGAACTCTATGACGGGACAATGCCTGTATTGCACCCCCCCCCCCAATATCAAATGATCGCCGTCAGCGTATATATCCTGTAATCGGGTTAAAGGCTTCCACGTATTTAATCGATAAGTTACATGACCGGTTCTCTGAATTAATTTTCCGAACAAAAATAGAAAGAAAATGTTGACTAAAAGAAAAGAAGATGGAAAAGGAAAGAATACACATGGACAGATATAAAGGTCACTGCAGGGGTGCAAACTTTTGACACAGCAACCATGTGCAAATTTCTTTAAAACATGTGAATTATTATGGTTTCTTCGAGAGAGAATAATGTAATTTGCCTAGTTTCTCTGTTTTTATTTCTTAGGCATCTAAGAAAACATACGCCCCAATGTGTAATTCATAAGGATATGAGAAAAGGCGTAGAGAAATGTATATAAGCCAAATGGTATACTAAACCCCCCCCCCCCCCAAAAAAAAAAAAACACCAAGTACCTGCAAGAGTTGCAGGTCCAGCACTTTGACAAGCTTGACATTATACTGATGCATGAGACAGTCAGAGTCCTCACGACAATCGAACATCAACTTGTTTCGAGAGTAGTCATCGAGAATGTCCCGGAGACCTTTATCGAAAACGCTCTCCCCCAGCGCCTGAATATCAAAGATGTATATTTGATTTTCTGTCGCTATGGAGACCACCGATAGTTTTCCCTTTCGGCTCAGGTATTGACCCTCGCAATCGACGGCTATCAAGGAGCCCGCCGTCTCGCGTCCCTTGCCAATATCATCTATGGCCGGTTTTATTTGCGACTCCTTGTCAATCAGCTGGTAACTCAGCGAAGTAGGCCCCATACATCTGTAATATTAAGATAATTCTTTTTGTTTAAGATAATGTTAGGCACATGTCATGACGGCCTCAGTCTGTTTGAGAGGTTTTCGGCCCTTCGAACACAAAAACGCCAGCAGAATTGGAGAAATTAGACAAAATTGTTAAATGTCATCCCTTCTTATTTCCTTAATTCTCATTTCCTACCAGCCCTAAATGGGCTCAAGAATAAAAAAAAAAGTACTAGTACTGACACTGTTGAAATAACAAAAAAATGCCAAATGGAGTAAATAATGTGAAATAATACAAAATAGGGGCAATCATGTGTGTTAATATAGTTATGGAAACAATAATGCCAGACTTTTACGCGAAGTACGGCGTACTCCAGAAATTGAACGGTGTTGCCTCTCATCATCATATGAGGGGTCTAGGTTTATCTTTACATCAGGGGCATTGCATGTCATGGCTACCAACACAACAAAAACGTCAGCTAGCAGCATGGTGCAGATTATAAGTCTTCTACATCTTGCCGGATACCATTGGCTTTATTTTGTTCAGCGATATCACCTCATGGAAAACTCGTTGCAATAAACGAAACTTTAGAGACAATACGCAATTGGCATCATTTAATTTAGCCATGTATTATACGGGTGTGACAAAAATTGTTATTCAGATTTTTTTTATGAGAACCATAGAAGTATAAATGGACGCCCTTATCCCCGTGCATTACCAATCATTTTTGCCTCTTGCCTCACCCTTGGTTCTGCACATTCTCCCACGACTTTTAATGTTTTTATCGGTGCATTGGAAATGGCTAAAAAAAGCACCAAAGCCACTCCTGAATTAAAATTAGATATAAAGTTATAAGTGGAATTGCCAGAAATGCACTTAAAAAAAAAAATCATTGATGCATATCATAAACAGCGCCAGCTAGTGTCCGATGGTTTCAAGAGCCCCCAACCTCATAGGCTGAATTTCAAACGACCCTTTTAGTTAATTTTTTTCTTATACAAATGTATTATTATTCATACAAAACTCGTTGAGAAAAAAATGGTCTCATTCCCCGCATTTTGTAAGCATCCAAAACATGTATGAGTAATATGAAAACATTTGGAACACGTTTGAAAGAAAATGTGTACTACAATATGTAGAGGTTTGAGAGATAAATACATACAAGCAAAGCATGCAAGCAACATATCTGCTTACTCTGATTTTCCTTGATCATTGCTGTAGTCTTTCGAGAATCCTGCTGTGGCCATCGTAAAACCGCTACTGTATTCCTTCACAAAGTTATATCAAACAAATTATCATAAGGTCATTTCGGTGTGAATCCCTTTTAAATAAAACAAAAACACCGAATATTGGATTGGAAATTTCTCCTGGATCATTGAATGGAATGCCACAAGTTTGAGTGCTTCTCAATTTAACTAATAAACGTCACCTACACCTACTGCATCAACCAGCATAGTACACTGACTAACTCAAGCTTCGGTCGAACATTTTCATTTCCTCTTGCGTAAAGTTGCCTTAAACCTAAATCACAGAACATACACATGTGTCATAACTTTGAAAATTAAGAGAAAAGAGAAGACAAAATTCAAAGCCAGGTAAAACCAATCGGCATCTTACCTCTATGGAAATGAACTTCAACAAAACAAAATGAAGATACGAATAGTCTACTTTGATGAAGCAAACATCAAGGTAAATATGGCGGTCGTTGATTTCGTGCTCAGGGAAAACACCAGCCTTTATTCTTTAAAATGTCACTCATGACGGCATCTAGTCAAGTGAAAGCCAAAAATATGCACTTGACAAAAAGCGACGAATGTCACTGTGTGCCGTGACCCTTAATTTTAATCATGGCTCCATTTTTTTGCAGGGGTGCACAGTAAGTTGAATAATTCTGTACCCGCTAAATTTTCAGTCGATTTCGGAAGTTAGAGTAGTTTATAGATTTAATTTCACTGCAGTAATAATATTTGCAAATTTGTTATGACAATTAGATGCACCAACTATTTTTAAAGAAAGAAGTCGAAGTTACTCACAGTTGTTTCGAAGTATTTTTCGTTTTATAGTTTGGCACGCATGCGCAATAACTTGGTTGACACACCCCCACGATAGACCAATCACCACTCCGCGCACTTAGCATTGTAGTTGGTATCAATCGTAACTGTTGTATGCACTTGAGACAAAAATCATTAGCGTCCATCGAAACTTCTTCGAATTCAATCACTACTGGATTTGTTTGTCACAAGCATTTTCAATGATCGAGATTTTTGTTATCTTCATGTTTTTATATGCACTAATGGGTATCCAGGTGAAAACCCGTGCGAAAAGCGGTCAACGATTAGACAAGCAACAATATAACCGATATGAAATTGCTACCGGGTTTACAAACATTACATCATCTTTATTTTGGTGTCACGCGCTCGGCGTTGCGCTGGTTCCCGAGAGCTCGCTTTAGTCGGGTTACATTTCACGCGAAAATGGGCACGAATTGATTACCAGACTACCAGCGACAGTTGTAACTTTCCGTATGTGTAACCTGTAGGCCGTTTTCCGATCGGAAGGTGAAACTTGGCCTAAAAAGGAACAATTTTTGTGATAAAATGAGTGAAAAAAACTGAAGATGATGTGCAGGCTTCTTCAAAGCATACCTAGAGGTAACTGGGACAGTATAAGAAGTAAAATAATGCAACAAAAGGGGTCAAGTTTGACTTGTTATTCTTGTTCTGGTATTCTAGTATAGTATTGAGAGTCCCAAATTTTCGGACTAGTGACTGTCTACGTCTACCGCCCCTGTAAAAAATAAATAATGTCAATGATTAAATGTTAATTTGATATCATCAAATTTAACTTAAGCATAATTAAAGATTTAGTAATTAATGGCATGATTATTAATTATATTATGATACAATGAATTATAATTATAGTATAATTACTGTTAAGCCATATTAAAAAGGCGTCCGGGTTTTTGAAAAAAAGGAGGAGGCAAGTTTTTTTTTTTTTTTTTCAAGATAGCCGACAACCATTGGTTTTTACACTGTTCAAAGATACAAAAATATGAAATAGATATGCTGGACAAGAGAATTAAACATATTTACAGTGTTTTTAGTAGTTTTCTAGCACGGTTTTACAAGAATTAAAAAACAATGCCGCGCGGGCAATCTTTTCCATCCACGTCACGTCGAGGCTGGTTTGGAGATCCCAGGGACCGATAGAGTCTAGAATTAGAAGTTTTGACTTGCAAGTATTTTTTATGATGGATCGATGGACATTTTTGCTTTTTCCAAAAAAAAAAAAAAAAAAGAAAAAAAAATCCAAGTGGCTGCCAAAAAGGAAGCGGGTGCGGATGCTAAACACGTTTTTTGGTTTTTTTTTTACTGCGCCCTTATATAGGTATGCACATTTTCTGAAAATGAGGCCAGGAAAACTTTCAGTGTAAATCACTTTACTTTGTTTTACAAATTTAAATGCAACACTAACAGTTTATTTCAGCAAAAAAACAGAGAATTTTAAAAATTTAATTTATCATGTTTTTGGTTACATTAAAAACGTTATATGAGCTTAATTGAGCATACAGTTCGCCAGTCTCTGTTTCCTTAATACTAGTACTAGGCTATTACAGGAAGCTATACTCCGCTGAAGGTTTTTATTGGGTTTTTTTGTCAGGCCCTATTTATTTTTTTAGAAGTTTGATAGTTCCAATGTCATGTTGTTTTGTTAAGTTTTTTCCTCATTATATGATTTGATACATTCTTGCTTTCCCAACATGGACATGTGTGAAATCTTTTTCAAATCTCTGTGCCTCTTTCTATATTTCACGAAATCTCTTCACTTACCAATCAATAGGATTGCGTCACAAGGCTCAAGCCAATGCGACCCATCCCCCCTGGACTGGGAATGGCAGCCAGCAGAGCCGGCGTCAGGAGGAAAACGTCCGCAATGAGCTGGTCTCAGCCCCCTTGAGTAGTGACGCATCGCAAGCATCTGACAAAAGGTACCAAAAGACTCAATAGTTCAAAGAGTGTTGCAACGAATTCAATGCAAGAAATGTTGCTGATTGCAATAACTACTCACCTAATGATTAAATGTTAGCGCATAGTACAAAATGTGTATGTGAATTGTTTCCAATCTGGCTGATGAGAAGTAATTGGAGTTTTAACATACCTGGAAGAGAGTTACAAATCCACAAGGTTACAAAAAAATAGATACAGCCTTTTTTTTTACAAGGATAAATGATAAAAGTTCATAATTAATTAAAAGAAAAAAAAAGAAGAAAAACCTCCCCCTTCAAAAAAACCCCAAAAATGGCTTTACGGGTAGATCGAGAATGTATGTATGATGGTAATGAGTCTTCATGTGAGGTTGTAACAACGTTACCCAATTGAGACTATGCACTCGATTCTGCCCACAAATCAACAGAATCTTAAAAAAAAAAATACTGTGACGTATGACAAAGTGTTTATTAACGGCAAAGCCATGCACAAAATGTGTTCTAAGCTCCCATTGTTGATGTCTTAATCATAATGCAGGTCAGCCCAACCATTGCAGCACAGCAGGAGCCTATTGGGACTCACTCACTGGAAGTGGGAAGATGGGTGGAGAAGCTTCACGGGTAACGGACAGTGGGATTCCTTCAAGAAGAGAGGCAGCAGCTACACATCGCATGATGCCCTCGAATGGGTAAGGCGTTGATTTTATAGACCTTTTTTTTGCGAACCCGTGGTCGGCATTTTTTGTCAATCACATGTTAATATGTATTTTGGCAAAATCTATTTCCTCTCACAGTCTAAATTTCTACCCTTCAGGCAACCCATGCAAAATGATGATCACTGTTGCTATATTGCCTTTGTGGAAATGTGTTAATAAAAATCAATGCAGTCAATGAGATCTTGCAACTTTTCTTCGGATCCCATGATTTCCTCCGGGCTTGTTTTGTTTCCACTTCACACCTATGCCATTAAAATTGAAAAACCTCCTAAGGTCTTGAAAATCCTAGAATTTCCTGCGTTTTTTTAGGGTAATATCATTACTGCTACTTCTTTTTTTATTTCCATGAATGATGCAGGGTACAGCCCTTGTATTCAGTCTTCATCTCTGTCGAGTCCTGACAGCATCAACCCTTCCAGAAGACAGCAGTGGAGGAAAGAAGCAGATCCTTGCGTCGGTGGCAGACAGATTGCCAGGATTGTGGCGCAAGCACGTCAGCCCTTTGAGCCTCCTCAGTCATGACGAAGGAAAGAAGACAAAACCCAAACAAGATGAAAATCATCATAAGGTGAGATTTGAGAGAAAAAAATCTTGAAAAAAGAAGGTCTTTTAAGTTCAAAAGACAAGGTAATGATGACAGACCTTGTAATTATGAGCTTGACAGGGTCGGCTGGCAGGCACACATCTGATTATAGCAGGTCTAGTATTGCAACCAATGGTATAATAGTGAGACTTATTCACTACAAACTCATTAGGCAGATTGGATAAAAAAATAATGATGCTAATGTCATGGAACGTTGTCAACCGCTTGATCTAAATGGGGTTAATAAGGATTCTGTTATCATCTCATGAGTGAAATGTTAAAATATTTGTATTGTAATTTATAGCCCGATATTCCTGAATCGACTCCTGCGACACCGCTAACGGCTGCTGTCGCTCAGCTCCAGGCCGTGACCAACCAGAGCTTGGGCCAGGCTTACAACAGCTTGGGTGTGAAGAAGGCCCAGTCAGGACGCCTGGAGGAGGCAGTCAGTCACTTTGCCGAGGGTTGCAAGGTTGGCTTCAGCAAGGCTACCTTCAACTTGGCCGTGTGTTATGAACAGGGCAAGGGAGTGGCTCAAGATCTTGAAAAGGTAACTTCTGTCAAAGATTTTTATGGTCTCCAAATAATTTAATCACTCCATTTTATGTTAAAATGAACATTGTTTTGTTCATTCTCCATTGGCATGGTTGTCTTCGCATGAATATTTTAATATGACACATTAAAACAAAACAATTGTTTTATTTCTCCAGGCAGCAGATCTGTACAAGAAAGCTACAGCCCAGGGTCACCCACTGGCCAATTTCAACCTGGGGGTGTTTCACATGACGGGCAAGGGAGGCTTGCCACAAGATACATCCCTTGCATTGGAGTTGATTGGTTCGGCAGCGGCAGCAGGTGTCACACAGGTGAATTTAGCATATTAGCACCTGTACTATATTGTATTATATTGTATTACATTGCATTACATTGTATTACATTGCATTACATTGTATTACATTGAATTACATTGTATATTCATTCCCTGGTGAATACTCAAAACCATAAAGTTTTGGGGGTTTTGATGGTACAGGGAGTAACAGGCAAGGTGGTTTTGGGCAGTACATGGACTAATGGGTTAAAAAAAAAAGGCCCACCATAGGGACTAGACTGAAGGAATTTCATGCCATTTGAGTCCAGCAATATTAAATTTGCGGAAAAAAAACAGGACAAAACCTAATTTAAAGAAAAAGTGGTTCTTGTGTATGTGGTTAAATTTGGTTTAAATGAGGACTGTAGCTTTACAGTCTACCGAGGGAAATGGTTAACCAAGCAACCTCATTAACCAAGCGTATCTGCTAATATCAGGAGAAATTTGAAGACAAACATTTTCTCAATTTTATAGGTACTTGATATTGCGCCAATCCAATGAAAGCGCATGAATAATTTAACTTAACCAAGTATGTAACATATTTTTGTTGCAGGCAAACAGATACCTTGGTATTCATTTCCTTGAAAACAAGGACAACAGAGATGAGGAAAAAGCAGCCACATGTCTTCAGAAAGCTGTTGAGAAACAGGTAAGCTGCGGAAAATAGCTCTTTCTAACCAGTTCAGATCCCAGCTAGAATTTTCCCCAGTATTATTTATAGTACAACTGATGGGTCAAGGATCCAATTGAAGACTGCTTTCCTTTTTTGCTGGAGCTGACGTGCCAGCCTATTTGTTCTGTGTCTGAGTCACTGATTGACTGACCGAGTCGAATGTAAATAATGGCCTAAACTGAGACTTTCAGGTCCAGCTTGACTAGGCAAGCCTAGTCTTGTTTTCTGCTGCCTTAGGCTAGTTTAAGTTGATAGCCACAAATAAGGTGGCAAAACTACTTTTGAATAGCAGGTTGTTGATAAAGTTATCAGTATCATGTTTTGAATGAACTAGATCCCTAAGCTTATTTCCAAACACTTGATTTACAGGACACTGATGCACAGTACTATCTTGGGCTCTGCTACGAACACGGCTGGGGTGTGGCCACAAATGGCGCCAAGGCAGTTTCACTCTACCACAAGGCAGCTCTGAAAGACCACCCAGAGGCCCTCTATAGTCTGGCAAAGTGCCATGAACTTGGCATTGGGGGTGAGTTGAGTTTTGGTTTGTGTGTTCTGAAGCTACTGCAGAGACCGTGCCAAAAAGTATTGGCCACAGAAGTTTGTAAAACGTGTGTAACTTTTATGAAAAAGTAAATGAATTTTTATTAATCTTGTGTAAGCACCTCAATTTTTATATCTGGGGGAAAAAAAGCTATTAAAGACTTTCCAGTGAATTGTCATTCAATGCCATTATTATATCTCGTGCTTCGCACATTACAAATGTAATCTTTAATAATGTACAATTCTATGTAACATTAGCATAAATCCATGCATTATTTTCCTCAGGATTGCCAGTCAACAGAGAGTCAGCTTTACAGTTTAACGAACAGGCAAGCAACCTGGGTCATCTACGAGCTTCAGAATCTATGGAGCAATTACTATGCAATCCCACTTCTGACACCACCAAAGCGCCACAGATTGCCATCCATACGGGGGCAACTGAGACATCAACAAGAGACCACGATAGCTCAAAGATACTGCAGGCACATGGGTCAGTGGAGAATAACAACAAATCGTTGCACGTGTCCATCTCAGCTCCTAGTCTTGGACACAATGAGGGGAAAGCCGTTCAGGCCCCAAGAAAGGACAGTATGGGGCAACAGTTTTCATACAGAAATAGCAAGGTCTCTTTATCACACCTGAATCTACTCCTTCCATACTACTTCAGTCTGCCTTCCATACCATCTCTGGCAGGTGCGGTGACTAATGCAGGTCAGAGTTCAAAGGTCAGTTTTCAGGTCGGAGATGACGAGAATGCCGAAGAGGAGGATAAAGCAGACAGTGCAGCATATGGATTTGTTGACAATAGATTTCATGCCGCAACTCCGTGGCTCACTGTGACTTGATCTACGTCACTCCAAAAATCATGTATATTTGAAACGCACAATGGACTAATGTGTATAGTACTTCTCAACAGCAAGATTCATAACTTAAAGTTGCAGGTGGAGGGTGCTGTTTTATTGTCATTAGAACAGTTTTGTTTTAATGGATCGCATATTGTGATTCAAAAGAACACTTCACATTACAACCTGTACTTGAAATGTATGCTTTTGAAGATGATACTCACTTTTGCAGTGAATTTTAATTTCTATTTAACTGATGCTGTGCATTTTTGTATTATTTATATGCCATTTGTATTACAAACCAGGCTCATCCAACAGTGGGTGTGTTATGCGTACATTAGTGAAATAAGAACGTACGTATTAGTCCTTATTTTGTATAAATATCCCTCACTGTATTTCGTACAATATAAATTGTATTTAAGGGCATAAAATAGCCTCATAATTCATAATGAACAAAGAAACAAAAATGTCTTATATTTTAATTTTTTATTTCTGAGCAGACTGTGAAAACACACTTAACAAAACCTTACAGATGTTGTAAATGTACTTGTAGCAAATTTAAGGCCAGAAATTTCTCTTGTGTCAAACAACTCGTTAACAGCTTCTGTATACCTTTAATGTTACAAGATTTATCTTTTTAAAAAAATAAAAGGTTCGTTACTAATTGCAAATGAATAGAATTTTCTGTTTGTCTTTATTAATTGTTTCAGAGTACAAAAACAAAAAATCACTTTCCACTAGTCAAGTTGGCGACAACGACAGAGATGTATGACTGGGTGAAAATATCAAAACTAAAAATGGCAGTCAATGCGACAATTTCTGTGGCAGCTGTGGTTCTACAGCATACTCAAATCATCTTTCCTTCTGTCCTCCAAATGCGCTTCCAGAATCTTGCCAAATTCTTCTCTCCTAAGCAGCGTGTAGGCCAAGGGTAGGATATTCCTGATGGTCCCATGCAAAACAGACGAGCCGTACATGAAGAGATCAATGCCCAGCTCATAGCCTTCCCCATAATCGCACTCGTCATTGGCAAACTGCACAAAACTAATGATCTCATCCAGCGGTTCAAAGTTCGTGTTGCGTTCGGCCTCGTTCTTGCTGTCGGCAATTTTCTTGAAGATTCGTTTCAGATTGGCTGTGAAAGGGATAAAAGTTTGACACATTACTACAGCTCATAAATTGTATTGTTACCTTGTAATGTTTAGATTTAAGTAAAGTTACTTAACTACTTCAATAAATGAGATTTTTTTAGTGTTTGAGCCTAGAAAATTGCTGTGTCAAAGTAACCCCAGTTGCTAAAAATATGGTATACTTACAGTCCCCATATTCTTAAAAAAAAATAACCTCTCATAATTATTATCAACATTCACAATTCACCCTGAACAGTCTCTGTTTAAGACAATAATGATCAATAGTAGAATTGCTTAGTGCTAGCATGACACTGTTTGTTTCACAGAAGGTGCCCTCAAGACAATGTTTTTGTAACTGCCTCACACTAGTGAGTCAGTGCCAGTAAAACGATGGTCACAACTAGCCTTTAAGATTGCACTATGAAAACCACTACCATCTCAAACCAAGACTCCCCCCCCCCCACCTCCCGACAAACAGAGCCTACCATCGGTTTCAGGAAGTTCCCGGTACCCAACTCCACTGGCATCGACAGGTACAACAATCCCTGCTCCATGGAATGTTTTGGTGACCACTTTTTTCTCTCTGATCTTCATGCCTTGAGTCTTGCTTTCCAGTGAGTGACCGCACTTCTTGGCCCAGTCGATCAGCGGCTTATGAAGAGACTGGATTTTGTTCTGTTCTGCCTTGTCTTTAGTAGCTTTGCTAAGTTGGTCCATGTATAATCTGTATATTGTAGAAAGACACAAAGATATCCACTGAAAATCTTTTTTATTGTTCTCGTTAAATGGTTAAGCTACAGCCTTAAATACACTAGATCCAAGTCAAATTCATCAGACTACATTATCATTGTATGTGTACTGGGATTTCTGAAAGATCTGTTGCTTCACTCCAAACCACCTCAGCACTCTATGGTTTTTATGGATTCATCGAGGAGTAAATACAATGTAGACCAATGTAATACTAGCGCTAAAGATCATGTGAAGACTGTCCACAAAGGCAGTTCATATTACTTATGAGTAATCTGCCATTTAAAATTGGCCCATTTCAACCCGATTTCATGCAGCAGTTGACTCTATAGCCAGATGACCATGTCATACTCACTTGACAGCAGCAAATATGTTGTCCCCCTGGGCAGAGAAGGAACAATTTTTCTTGGCTGAATTGGCCGCAACAAACACTGGCATTTCATTGGGCTCATCCCTGAAAGGAAACAAGAACAATTTAAGTGGAAAGGTTTGAGTGCAAGTTTTATTGAAAATAAGCCTTATTCTTGAATGAATGTACTTACAGTCGTGTTTGCACCCAGAAAATTTTATCCTTTCAGCACTTATTTGTTCAAATATACAGCTTTTGCATATGCATACCTGAAGTAGCCAAGATGATGCTGTGTTGTGTCATCTCCGCGTATGATTGTCTGGAACTCTGGTGGATCATAGTAATACCTCCAGTGAAGGCAATAAGATGATCTCTTAGACTGAGAGGTTCTCTTGAGGCCCCCAGCCAGCACATCATAAGGGCCCACTAGCTGCAGACCAAGAGATGCTTTGAGTGCATCTAAAAATTTGAGGGAAAAGGACCTATGCTTAGTTAAAATATATATACTGTCATCACATGAGGGTACAATTAAAGGTGAAAACTTTTATAATGAATAGGGGGCCTAATAGTCCTCTGTGGCTATGACAGAATGAATCAATTCCTGAGACTGATTGAGAGTGTTAAACCCTTCTTGCCTGTCAATCAAAACTGTATTGACCAATAAGATCACAACTGGAACAGTCCATTTAAGCAAGTCTGTGCATACCTTGTGGGTTTTTCTTGTTCACACTTTTACAAAATTCCCAAAAGTCGTAGAAATCTTCCGGCATTTCCATCGTGAATTTCCACTTGATTTCCTCTCTCGGGCCGAGATTTGGAGGCGTGGCTGGTCGGGCACTGTCTTGACTTTCTACGCTGCTATCTGGTATGATCACAACAGTCCAATGAAAACATAAAAAATTCATTGCTTATTGTAAGTTTGTCGGGGAATATGAATCACTCAAACATTTTTGGGATGTCCAATATCGTAAAAGAGAGTCACTCAATTTTTTAAAAGTCTTCAAACTTAACTGCATGCAGCCAAGGCAGAAAAAATGCATTAAAACAAACAATACACCAACAAAATTGACACAACCAATGATTCACCTATATCCTTGTCCTCTCCATCATCTATTTCTTCTACTTCATAATTTTCAGAGCTCTTTGTCTCAGCATCTCCAGATATGCCAGGCTCTGGCTCGGCAGCATCCGATCTTCTCTTCTTGGCAACACTTGCATCTTCATCGTCTGAATCCTGTAATGAAATTACCAAACAACAAATGCCAGTTATGCAAAGAAAACTGCATAAAATATAGTATTTTTATGACAAGGCCCAAATTTTGTGAGAGAAATAGGTCAGAAATTTAGCTCGTAATTTATCCTTAAAGTTTAAGTTTTATTTATCTCCATTTTGGTCCATATGGGCCCTAAGAACATGAAGAATAATGTCGTTACAATTTACATGATAAACTAGATAGGCCTACTTGTGAGCCTATTTCAGGTTTTACCTGGTTCTCTCCTTTCCTTTTCCCCTTCTTTGGATGCCAAAACCCCTCTAGATGCTGAGGATTGGTGCGGTAGCAGTCACCTCCATATTTACAAGTGGGTTTTCCGGAGTCGTTTTCTTCCATTTCTGTATTTCACAAACCCACTCTCAGCGTCAAGCAAGTCACGCTAACTGTAGCACTTTGCCGTTTTCCCGCGGTTCGGATGTGAACCATAACATTACAACCTCGTCCTCCAAGCTCGTATTCTCAAGCGCAGAATTTGTTTCTTTAATCTGGGGACGACTACGAAACCTTCATGACCTTTGAACTTTACTCGCACGGCGATAGCGAGAGGGCATTCCATCGAAAAACATATAAATCGCTCCGTTTTGCCACTTTAGATATCCTCATCTTTACTAGGGTGTCGTCAGATCAATGTACTTTAAGTATGGCATCCTTGAGATGGTTTAAAAGGCTTCCCAACGGCCGAGGTTTAGCCGTAAACATCCGAGAAAGTAGAACCGATGTTGCAACTCCGACTCCGAGTCGGACGGCTTCAGCGGGTGTAGCTGATCCGGGGCGTTTGTTGTCTTCGCTCCCGGTGTCACACGGGTGCCTCGCATCGCACCATCGTGGCTGTGCCGGAACAGAACGACCCTTGTTGACGTTTGCTTCCGCACTCGTAAGGTCAGTATAGATAAGCAAAAGAGTTGGCACCTTTTCTTCTTGTCAAATATTGGCATTTTAAATACTACATACATAGGGCCATTAGGGGGCCTAGTAATAGTATACAAATATTGAATGCTTCGAGTGGTGTAGTAAAACTAGCCTCCCGAGGTGATCCATGGACCATTCTATTTTCCCGAGGCGAAGCCGAGGGAAAATAGAATGGTCCATGGATCACCGAGGGAGGCTAGTTTTACTTCACCACGAGATAAAGCATTCAATATTTGTTTTATAACACTTCACCCACAGAGTCTGCTTGATTTTAATATTTTAAATTATTTAAATCTAAACACAGTTGAAATAAACTTCAATTTCAATACAAAATTGGTGGGAAATGTATTTCTCTCTTAAAAACTACCCCTTCACGAAATGTTTGAACCCCAGTCTGCGGCGCGCTCTCTTTGGAATAATACGCGCAACGCGCACACCAGCATGCATTTGCACACAAATACTGCGTCGTGGAAATAGTACTTTGGTTGCTATGCGCATAGTACTTTTGGCCGTGCACAGAAAGATAGCAAAATTAGAAAGTAACATGTGACTCGCTCTTGGCCAATCAAGACACAGAATCTGTGGGTGAGGTGTTATAATCAGTTCTGTGTCACTGTCAGTCATTGAATCAAACAAAACAAATTTTGCCTGCATTGCTTTTGCTGTTGATTTTAACTAATCTTGATTTGGGAAAACCTTGGAAAATGTTCATATTGAAATCAAATGGTTATTTAGGCCTAATCTGATGTTTCTGCAATAGAGCCATAAAAAAAAGATCTAGCTTTATCATTCAAGTGATACTTGATAAAGTGGTTGTTAAAAAAAGTAGAATCCTACCCGGCCTATTTAGAAAGTGCCTATCGGATCTTAGCATTTATAACAAATAAATTAAAGACAATTTTTTTCCACGATGTGAAGGGTAATAACTACGTTCATATACCTTCAGTGTAGTTCATTACATATTTTTAGCTAAAAAATGGCGTGATGTATTGTTTAGGAGTGGCATGTGTATTGAACGTTGTCTCCACACAAGCACTTCTTTGATGGGCTACAAATGGGAGAGACGAAACAAGAAAGTTTACCCTCCGCAGAAACCTGGAGAGCCCCCACGCATGGCGGTGAGTTCATTACAATATGTTATGAGACATACATCACATATGAATTCTGAGAAGGTGCAGAATCTTAAATTACAAAATGCATTCATTGTGACCTCTGTACTTTATTCTTATTATTTTCAGGAGGTGCACTACTCCAGAAGACAGATCAAGCACAGCATGAGAAAAATGTGGTACATTTCGAAATTTGTAAGTGAATTAATTGGTTGAATGATTTTAAAGGGGCCAGTGTATCTTGTATGAACAATCTTGTGTTTTTTTTAGTGTTTTGCTTTTCTTTAATTGGTTATTATATTTGTCAGTGATAATTTTAATTTTAAAATTTCTATTCACTTGCAGGTGGAAGGCATGATGATTGATGATGCACTCACTCAACTGCAATTTATCAAAAAGAAAAGTGCCCAGATTGCTAGAGAGGTAAAATCAATTCGAAATATACTGAATACATGTTCATCACAATTGAGACCTCCTTTAACCCCCTCTATCTTTGAATGTCTCCCTTCTTTCTCTGAGTGTATGTTCTGTAGCTCTAACACATAATTTGTTAACACACTGTTTTCTTGTTCTTGGCATTATTCTACAGGTTCTTCTTGAAGCTCAAGAAGAAGCAGTCAAAAACCACAATGTGGAATTCAAGTCCAATCTTCACATAGGTAAAAATGCTATTGTGGACTTTGCATAATGTGTTTTTTTTTAGTAGACCTTAGATGTCCAGTTTAGAAGTATTGATAAATGAAGTCATACTATTTGTATGAACTGATCGATGAAAAATCATACTTTTCTGATAAAGAATAAATAAACTGTACTTATTTGATTGTAAACAGGTCAAGGCGAGCCTAGTAAAGCTGGTCTCAGAGCCCACAAATGTTATTCAGTTGATTCAGAATCACTATTCACTGGAAGTCTTGCATCTGGTCTACACAATGGGCCAGCTTGAGCCTATTTATTGGCATAACGGTTAATCCAATATGATAGCACTGCCCGGCTGACAGTCAGTCAGTCTGTCTATGTGCCAGTCAGTTAGTGAAGTAGGTGCAAAAAGGACTCTACGTTGGCCCTCTGGGATTGGCAATAAATTGTCGGTCTAATATTCAATTTCAGGAATTTGTACATCATCCTTTGATTTCTGTATATTTTTTTCCAGCTAAATCCTTTGTAGCCAAAGGGGAGTATGACCATGCCATGCGCATCCATGCCAAGGGGCGCTTCGGTATCCTAGACCTTGTCTACTGCCACTTCTACGTCTGTCTCAAGGAAGGGCCGCCTCCCAAGAAGGTGGAGGCCACAGGATATGACCAGGCTCAGCATTACATGGACTCGCTTAGAAAGAGGACAATCATACACTCAATGTGAGAGGGAAGGACAATACTGCAGACATAACGTATGATGTACTGGATCATAACCTATGATATGGCTGGGAAAACTGGAGCAAGTTTTCACCATCTTTGAAGAAAATATCTCACCAATGTGCCGAGGTAAACTGGGCATAGGTCGAGAATGTGTAGAAGATGCTCAGAAACGTTTCGATATGTAAACACATTTGGATACATCATTTTAGAGGGACACTTTCAACAGGAATGCCCCCTTTTGGGCTCTAAAACATGCTTCTCACAAAATGATTACAGTAATAATTGGCAACATGACCTTGAAAGCAAATGTCTACAAACAGGGTTTTCAACATTTGTAACACATTCTTTGGATTTTCTGTGACCAAGATCTTTGAAAAATGGCAAGTAAACAACACAAAATCACAAAGGCAAAACTTTGATAGCCTTCAAGTGTTATTGTAGCCCAAATATCCATTGTACCTTATGTCTTACAAATCAATGAACGCATTTTTCACCGAGTTACATTTTTAATTTCTTTGTAAAGTGCTTTTAATTCGAAATTCAAGAGGTTAAAAAAAGGATTATTCCATCAACCCTAACCACCCCAACCCTTCAACATCCAACTGCATGTTTAGTTGGAATCTATTAGAGTGAGTACTACACTAGTATAAAACTGATAATGTTTTACATGGGGTAGAGTCCAACAGTTTGGGTGTATAGTTTACCATATGGTGTTGGAATATGGTGTTGGAAAGTGAGGAAGGTTCCTAGTAAATCACTCGAGGGATTAGGGTTAAGGAAGTAACAAAATGAAACTCAAACAATATAAAGATACCAATGAATTAAAGTTTTGTTGTTTTATCAAGTCATGTATTTGCAAACTCAGGAATCCTGAGTCTTGTATTCTGAGTTACTGTTGTGCTCATTGATGACCGAAAGTGCGAAACAAGTTTGCAAAAAAACTGAAATGAGTTTGCCAAAAAAAAAAAAACTTTTCCACTCGTGCGTTGGCAGATGTTGTGCATGTACGGTTTTCGAAAATGCAAAGGTTCGATTTGAATAGAAGTTCCCACATGACAAGAAAGCACTTTGTGTCTATGGACTGACGATGGCTATTTTTAATTGTGACGTTTTATTCTCTCGTTGAAAATCCATGTAAATCTAATGTAACGAGATATCTTGTTAAAGCCAGTACATTACATGTATATATCTTAAAAGACAGTAGGCCCTATGCTAACATTGTAGTTAGCGCTCATGGTGTTGAAGTCCACAGAATCCAATGGTCATTCCGCTGTTAGGCCTCCCCAAATTCAGCGGGGTGTGGTGATGGCATACCAGTGGATGGCAGCACTCCATTGGCAAATTGCACTGTAGAAAAAATAGAAACAAACGTTTATCTCAATCTGCTATTTTGAGGCTATAAATTAGGCCTCGCCAAGTGCGGCTTAAAATAAAATGCTTCCAGTTTTAGTTGGGGGATACTCACCGTCTCTCCAACTGCAGCACATTTACTCAAGCTTGCAAACGCACTCCCCCCGATGCCCTGTTCGTACGTTTGCTGCATCTCCAGTAGGCCTTGGAGTAGATCTCTCCACGCCTGCACACGCATGTTAAGCAGTCGGGTGACGTCTGCTGCTGGCTCTGGTTCGGCACGGGGAAGCCGACCGCTGACAGCGGCACCGCTGGTGGGCGGGGTCAGGAGACAGAGGAGGGCGACCGAGACACAGAGAGTCGTCAAAAAGGAGTGCATGATCATGATGTCCTTCAGATGTAGGCCTAGGCCTAAGTAATTTGGTCTCACTGCAAACTGGGAGATGAAAGAGAGAGTCTGCTGAACTTTTGCATTGCGCAAATAGGCCTACAACTTAAAAAGCAAGTGTAAAATTAAGTTGAACTTACTTTTCGTCGCCTTTTCGCCAGAAGAAAGATCAACGTTTATCGTAGGACACTGTTTGCGATGGGCTAGCCCTTTACACATAAGCGTGACGACTTTACGTTTTAAACTTTGCGCGTCTTGATGATGCAAGGCGTTACTTGGAATAAAAGATGCGGCAGGCTTTGTCAACGCGCGCGATCCCAGCGAGCAGCGTGCATACACCATAGATATAGAACTTTTTAAGTTCTATATCTATGGCATACACCCGCGAAACCTGCGCGCCGCGCGCGCTACTTTTATCATACCTCAAATCATTTCCAGTTCCATAAAAGTTAAATACTGCCCTCTCTTGACAGAGCCCCTTTCCCACAGAGTTTTTCAAAATTCCGATTTTTTTTGTTTTATGAAACATATGAAAATAAGCTTGTCTGCGGATGATTAATGTATTATGAAATTTGATTACCCTGAAGCGGCTGAAACAGAACATTGACCCATTATTGAGATTATTATTCACCCTAGTCGGTGCTAAAAATGTAACGAGCCGAGGTTTCGGGAAAAACCTCATAGCATGAATTTCGACCGGGTCCGAGGGAATGCCGCCGGGCAGGCGCGTACGCAGGGGGGTGTTTTGGCTGTTAAACACCCCCCTTTGCCATGTAAAAATATGGAGGGAAAAGAGAGTTATGTGACCGAGCGCGGAACAATTACAAATTATGTGCATGTTCTCAACTTTAAGCTTTGAATACAGAAGACACTTTATAAGGGCAAGAGTATATAGGCCTATATGTATTTGAAACAAATGAAACAAAATATCCCCTCATAATTTAAAAAACTTCTGCTAAAAAAAACAGGGGAAAGTGGCCAGGAAACGCCTCAGATTGCACCACAGAGCATCTTCGATCCAAAATTTCCCGGGGCCCTTAAGCGGGCCCCGGACCCCACGCCGTAAGTGCTTCGCGCTCCGCGCTCGCATTGGTCCTCCGGCCAAATTAATCCCGGGACATACCGTTATTTCGTTTTACTGTTTTGGATTTCCTCAAAAACAAAAACAGTAAACGAACCATTGACCGTTTTCTCGTTTTACAGTTTTGTAAAACGGTCAAACGGTATTAAGTCACACACACAAAATACTTTTTGTTGTTGTTTTTAATTGTAGAAAGCGTTAAACGGTTAGTTGCTTTATTTTTAGAGTGTTGTTTTACAAAATCATGACAATGACAAAACAGTCAATAGTCTTGCCGACCATTTTTTGATTTTAGGTTCGGCAATTAAGCAATGCACCGGAATGTTAATTAATGCGTCCTTGGGATCGAGTCATTGCCTGGGCCCCGCTCCTTACATTTCGTTCTCACGACAAAATTTGCGAATTGGCTATTGAAGAGCCGCGTCGACTTGAACCCCAGTTTCCTTCAAAATGTCTGCAACATCATCAAACGTCTTATTACCATCCTGTTTCCATTGTGAAAAGTAATGTCCTCCCTTGAAGTTTTCCAGCGCCATTTTGCTTGGAACTCTTTAAGCCCCACCAACTTGACTGAATCGCGCATGAGAAAGGGGTCAGGGTCCGCGCCAGGAATCACATCACGCATTAATTATGCCGAGGTAACACTTCTTCGTGTAAAACATGGTCCCCCTCCACCCCCCTTGCCCACCGCCACAAAATGCACCACGGACTGTTAACCATGACACTGGAATAAAAAAACAGTCTGTATTTGTGTAATCTGTAAAACAAAAATCATTGATCGTTATGCTATAATGAATTTTACTAAACTTATAAAACGGAGAAACCGTATTTATCTTAATACCGCTTGTCGTTTTATAACACTGTAAAACGACAAAACGGTCGATGATTCGTTTACTGTTTTTGTTTTTGAGGAAATCCAAAACGGTAAAACGAAATAACGGTATGTCACGGGATTCAAATTCCCTCTATGCTATAATTTCACCCTAGCGGTGCCCCCACCATTTTGTACCTTCAGCAGCGAATGGCTCTACAAGTGGCATAAATCCCTTTCCAAAATAGAAAATTGTGAAAAAATACGGAGATGGAACATGGTTCTCAACTTTGAGTACGTAACAAACTTTATAAACAACAAAAAAAAAATAACAAATTTAAATGGAATTTTCGATGTTTAAAACGTTTTCTAAACGGTGGAAGTGGCCAGGAATCGCCTCAGATTGCACCACAGAGCATCTAAAATCCAATTTTTTTCCGGGGCCCTTAAGCGGGCCCCGGACCCCACGCCGTAAGGGCTTCGCAGGTCCTGGACCCTTCATTACAATAATTCTAGGCCCCCCGGCAAATGGCAGTCTGAATCCGCTCCTGTGACCAGAGCGCATATGTATCCTGTATCTGAAGTTTGGCCTTAGGGGTGGGGGCGGTTTACACAAAGATTCCCAACGGATGAGAATCATGAGATCCAGGGGACGAAGCTGAGTGATTTTAGCCAATAACAAGAACAGATCCTAGCACTTCCGCAGCCCGTGTCACTTTTTTTCTTGAATTTCTTCTTTTTTTTGGTTTAAATGCTGTTGAGGGAGGGTACTGCCCACATTGACCCCTTTACTCATATGTTCATCATACTCTAAAGACACAGAACATTTTTTTTCCCGATTTACTATGCTTTAGCTCAAAAAGATAACTGATGGTCGTGGGTTCCCGGCCCTTCGAGTTTAACCCGTCCAAATATACCCTCTTTTATTTCTGGCGCCAACACAAACTCCTGACTTTTATTTTAGCGTAAAGTTTAGCCCACTGATACTATTTTTTATTTCTGGCGCCAACACAATTTACCATCTTCATTTCTAGCGTCATAAATGACGACATCCAATTTTGAAACACCCCCCTTGGAAAAAATCCTGCGTACGCCACTGCCGCCGGGCCTAGCAAAATTTTGAAATGTATACGATGTTCTCTAGCAGCCTGAAACTAAGGATCCAGAAGGGGAGGACCTTCAAATGACATTTGAATGTTATCTGCTCAGAGTGAATTTTGGACTTTGCTGGTGATCTTTTTGAACTATCTATAATGATTTTGGAGAACTAATTGCCTAACAAGCAAATTGAAAGTTATACTTTTTCAAAGAAACATCTGATATACCCAAGTTAAAAGAAATATTGTATAGTGGTATAAAACATATTAGCCAAGTTTATTAAGCATTTTTCATAAAAACCTTTCTAAAAAGTTGTTTTTGTCTCTCAAAGGTGGTTGCAATATCAACGTTTCCAAATAGTGAACGCCGTTAATAGATGTTTCAATTATTGGACACTTGTTAAGAGAACCCCCCCCCCCCCCCCCCCCCCCCCCCCCCCCAGTTAAATAGCCTCCGCGCGTTGCACTATGCACAAAATACCTTGCCGGTGCTCCAATTTCACAAATACAGATGTTATTAAGATTTTTATTATCGTTTATCTTTCTGTAATCTTTTTGATTATAAGTTTGCAGTGGGGGGGGGGGGGGGGGGGGGGGGCGGCACGTACTTGGTTCGGTCATTTTTAACATGATTTAACAACCGAACCTTGGAAGCAAAAGGATCAGTGACAGTGTATATTTCGTATGAACAGTGTCATAATTACAACATACAAATTCACAAAATATTGAAACAAATTAAGAGAAAAATTTCAATTAAAGGAATGTAAAATTACATCAACAGCTTTGATGATTATTCACGTATTTAATTTTGACGGGGAGGCAGTCAGCCAGTCACGTGCTTAAAAAGTCACAAGCTCTCATGATACAAATCACATGACATTAGTCTTGAACGTTATTGTACGTGAAACACTAGGCCTAGTTTAACCGCACAGAATGATCATGTACAAAAGACATAATCACATCTTTTCTGCTTTACTTTAAGGTCTTACCTCCATGGTTGAACGTATCTCTCCAAATCTTCTCGAATTTTGCCCCATCTAGACAGGATATCGTGTAGGGAAAATGCGTACTTTTCACCGTACTTTGCTGGCAGTCTGTGCCGTGTTGGCGGCGCTTTGCACGGTATCATGCACCGAGCAATTTCACAGTCGTCGTATACGTAGGCCTGTTGGTTTGGGACTAGGTCTTCGAGCCAAATCAACAGCTGGTATGCAGTGTCCAGACAATAAATGCCGTATATATGAGACGTATTACATTGAGCAAAAGGTGAGTGCGAAAATAAAGATACCGCTTTAATTTATAATTAAGTTAACAACTGTGAATTTCAGGATTTTGTTAACACTGATTGTTCAGTCCTTGCACTAATGTAACAGTAACTAACACGCCTCTAGTCATAAATCTTCCATACACGACAAACAATCCATCACGTCCCAAATTAGCTATATTTGCAATCAGTTATCTACATTTACAATAACAAGCATGAATTTTTATGTTAAGATGAAAATCAATATATATCACCATTTTTAATGACTTGTAAATTTTGTGTTCTTTAATGTATTTTCAAAGATTGACCATTATGGTTTCATAAATGATGACACATTCAAGATGCGATACCTCGTTGCCCAGCAGTACTGGGATAAAAACGGTGGACCGATATTCTTCTACACCGGCAATGAGGGCGACATAACCTGGTTCTGTGACAACACAGTAAGTATTAATCAGGATATTCCACATGAAGTTACAAGTAAACCGCCAATCATTTTAAGTATTGTCAGAATGTTTTGTTTATCTGTTGTACTCATACATATATTGATAGAAGCTTGGAATGTTTAATCCTGAAACCACTTTAGTTTTACCATGTTTATCACTATATAACATATTATAACCTCATTGATGGTCAGTCACTGGAGATATATTGAAATACCTTCTTTTTTTTCCGACCAAACTGTTGAAATATTATTTGTTATTTGCTCTGAAGAAGAGGACCAAAATCTCTTTCTCAGGTCATAACGTTTGAAAATTGATTAAAATAGGTGCATCTATCTATAGAAACTTCAAAAAACAAAAACCAAAACAACTTTGAAATGCTGCTATAACGAACACAGTGGGGTTCACAGAAACTGTTCGTTATAGAGATTGTGCATTATAATAGAATTTACTATTTCGGGAGCCCATGGGGATGTTCGTTATAGCCAAATGTTTATTATAGTGGTGTTCATTATAGCAGTGTTTCACTGTACATTTTTTTGCTTGTTTTCTTTCACCAGGGCTTCATGTGGGACATTGCTCCAGAATTCAAAGCAATGTTAGTGTTTGCTGAACACCGTTACTATGGTGAATCTCTACCCTATGGGAAAGAATCGTACATGGTGAGAACAAAAATAGTGGAAATATTTTCAAGCAAAGTAACAAAATTAAAGCCAGCCTAAGCCCACTCCACTCAGGATGTGGACTTGCACTTGGTGCTCATGCAAGTTCTCCCTGAATGGTGACAGCGCCGTTTGATATTTAAGTTTTTTAAGTGGTATTTTGACTTCCCCAGAAAGTTATAACTTGGTCTTCAAACTGTATACTCTCATGTATAACTTGTATTAAATATTGCATAATTATAGAATATAAGTAGAAACAAAAGATCAATCAAAAACCATCCCATTGGGCGACAACCCTCAGACTTTCAGGTTGTCTTACAATGAATGTTCTGGCGGAATTGCAGTCAAATCCATACCAGTCAGCCCCAAGTCAAGTAACAAGGTAAACTAGAGGTTCGCGTTTGTTGTTACAAACGCAGAGTGGTCGGGCAGGCAATTTGTTCATTAAACACTGCCGAATTGAGTATGAATATGTTTATGTAAGAACAAAGGATCACGAAGTAAATCCTTTCCAGTACAATCAATTATTTTGTTTCAAAAAATGCATATTTAACGGTGTGATAAATTTTAGTAAAGTGACATTTTCTGTACTCATACAAGTTATTTCCGGCTTGATGACGTCATAATTCAAAAACGGGAAGTGGATACCGATTTAGTTCGCAGTGGATAAATGTTCGTTGTGAAGTTAAATAACGTATGAAAATATGGCAAATATAACTGTATGTATTCATAACACGTAACTTCCGGTTTGATGACGTCACAGTATTTGGAAGCAAAACGTGAACATTGTAAGGGATATCGTTATATGGGCTACGAAGATATACGACATGAATCAAATGATAGAATTAAATCTAAAATATTATATTAATATTTTCAAATTCTCGTATAAGTAACTTCCGGTCCGATGACGTCAAGAATTTGGAACCTTGCCAAATTATCTGTGGCTAATCAAAGAATATCAAGGGGCGATTTGGAACTATTTGAACCGATCGTTTTCAAATTAAAAAAAACAAAACACTATTTTATGTGCCGCTCAAGGGCGCCCTTTCGAATGATGACGTCATCACACTGTTGTTGTTTTTGTGTCTGACATTCTTCACTTAACACTTTCATAATTTATATGTGTGTAGTAAAATGCTCCCGCTTTTGAGCTATATGCCGTTTTTATTGCACTTCCGGTAACACCGGAAGTAAAGGTCAAGCGGGTTTGTGTCCGGGGACAAGAACTGTTAGTCACGGCATAGTCTACAACCTCACGAAAAAACGAACACGATACTCTACTTAGTTCAAAAGATATAACGCAAACTATTTTGTCCAAATTTGCCTTTAAATCGCTTGTAATTTTATATCTGATGACGTCATGCTGACGTAACAAAATTTATAACATCTTCATAACGTGGTACAAGTTCACACAAGGTTTTGTGATCATACCGTGAAACGTTCGGAAGAAATGCTGTTTTTGTTTTGATGTCAGGCTAACGTCTTCATTTTGAATTCACCTAACTTTGACCTTCCGGTAGACCCGGAAGTAAAGGTCAAGTGAGTTCACGTACACGACAAAAACTGTTAAGCGATTAATGGTCTATCTGATTACAGAATACAAACATCATTGATTGTTTAGTTCAAGAGTTATAGGTGAAAGTAATTGGTCACTTTTTCAGATAAAATCACTTGTAATTTGACACCTGATGACGTAATCATGACGTCAGAGTAATATGCACCACTTCGGATGAGGGTCGATATATATTGTAAGTTATAAGTTCATACCATATACCGTTTAAGAGAAAACCCGCGGAGAAGTATTGTCCGGAAAAAAGAAAGAAAGAAAGAAAGAAAGAAAGATTAATCGTTACAGATCCAAAGAGTGGTCGGGTTGTGCCCGACCACTCAATAAATTGTGGGAACAAAAGTATTTCGTTACCATTGTCCATCTCCTTTAGGTAATGTAACCTTTCTTGTTGTGATTCAACTTGTGATTCAACTCGAATTTGACTTTTTGTGAATTGACAATGTGATAATCATGTGAATTGAATTGTGATTGGCTTGTGATTTGACCCATGATTGACTTATGATCAACTTGACCAAAAACCTCCTAAATGTTGGTGTGTTTTTCCACACTCTTCTAGGACAGGGAACATCTAGGTTATCTGACATCAGAGCAGGCTCTAGCTGACTATGCCGTTCTGATCAAGTATATTAAGTCGTCTATACCAGGGGCAGCTAGTAGCCCAGTGGTAGCATTTGGTGGCTCATACGGGGGTATGCTGGCTGCTTGGATGAGAATGAAATATCCTGATGCTGTTGTAGGGTAAGTTGGACTTGTAATCTTACATTATTTTTTGAAAATCAAAGATGAAAATCGATTGTCTGTGTAAAATGAGCCTTACTATTATTCTGTGTTGTAGTCAAGTCCATCATAAGTACCTCATCACATTTCATCATAAGTCCACCAAAACTGAAAAGGCAAGACACAAATTATTCAAATGAACTAGTACGGAAGCATTCTTTTGATGTTGTTCATCACCTGTAAGTTGTGGCTGGATATGTCAAAGGACTTGTGATTTACTTGTGACCAGACTTGTGATGGACTCAAACACAACTCTGTCATGATCACGTTTGAAGTCTTTCAGAAGAGTGAACTTGAGTACTCAGCCGTATACATGCATTTATTTGTTTATTCTCTTGTCTTATTACTGACTTATTTCAAACAGGTCCATTGCAGCCTCTGCACCTATCTGGTCGCTCAACAATCTCACAAACTGCAACACACAGTTCACAATCATAACAAAGGACTTCACTGAAGTCAGCCCCACCTGCAGCAAGACAATAAGAGCCAGCTGGGCTGTTATTGATAAGTTTGGGTTGACAGGTAAGTCAAATGAATCTGTAATGAAGTTTAGAATGCTGTACGGAGCTCTAGCTAAGGTTATACTTCTATAGTCGATATTGGGCTGACAATGTTTAGAAACAAGACATATACTTAAACAGAATTCAGTTTTGGGATTTGCCATCCACAGTAATTTCTTAACTTAGCACTGAATACTCGGTGCTTTCGGAGGGCTTGCAAGAAAAAAGTTCCCATCAAAAACCGAGATACTTTTTACTAAATAAGACTTTGGGAGAACTGACTGAGTGTCACTTGTGAGCCAGGTAGTGTCACCGTATAGGATTAGGCCTACTCCGTAATGCCAGTGAATGGGCTAAAATCGCCTCATTGAGTTAAGCAGATGCATCAAAGACTCCTAGTGAAGAGCCATTCTGAATCAAGTGAATAAAGGTGTGTGTGCCCAGGGATCAGCTTTTTTGTGTATTTTTTTACGTGTGGAATTTTCATGATGCGTTTGTTTTACCCATAACATGAAAAAAAAAAACAATCTTATAAAATTTTTGAATTTGGCTGCTTTAGCTGAAGGTAAAGAACAGTTGAGAACATCGCTGAGATTATGCAGCCCAGTGCTGACGGGTGATGATGTGGCCGTCATCAAAGATTGGCTGACGGAGACCTGGTTCAACCTGGCCATGGTAGACTACCCGTACAATGCCTCCTTCCTGGAACCACTTCCTGCTTTCCCCATTGAGGTCAGTGTAAATCTTTCTTTTCTTGGTTTTAACTTTGCATGCTCCGGACTCTTTGCATAAGTACCCCCTCAACAGTACAGTTACAAAGAGATAGTTAAGGTGGAACTCTTAAACGCATTGCTGCCATACACCTGATGCTCACGTGAGAAGATTATTCACATTCATCAGAGTAAATAAATATCGCGTACTGCACGCTAAACACTCCCTTGAAGTGTACCAAGCATAGGGTGCTATGGCTCTCATCAGCAGTCTTTATGAAGCATGAAATCCATGGCCAGCAACATGCTGTCATCATTACTGAAGGCCTCTGCGAATATACAAGTTTGTCTATGGCAGGAACAGATTGTTGGCTGGCTGATTAGCTTAGTTGGTCAATGATTGACATAAATATATTTGCATTAATCGTACAGGTTGTCTGCTCACACATCAAGAGTGCTAATGCCACAGGAGTGGCATTGCTTGAGGAACTGGCTGAGGCAGTGAATGTTTACTACAACTACACCGGCTCAGCCAAGTGTTTCAACACCTCACAGACAGCCACTGGATCCCTTGGAGATAAAGGCTGGGGATTTCAGGTCAGTTTATTAACTCAGGTCAAGAAATGGGCCTGTTTCAGCATTATCAATTATTCTCATGTAAAAAAACTTGTGTGAATTTCTTGCCTGGTGGAGAATTTTTTACATTTAAGTAGGGGGAGGGTGGCCAAGTGGTTTGGGTTTGTGACTCATGATCAGAGGGTCAGGGGTTCGAATCCAGCTGCTGGTCATGACTTGTGTCGCTGCGGGCAAGCCACTTCGTCCCCACTTGCACCTCTCCACCCAGGAGTATAGTGGGTACCAGCATAAGCTGGGGAGTAACCTGCGATAGACTGGCATCCCATCCAGGGGAAAAGACATATTCTCAGTTGTTTCATGCCAAGGAAACTGGAAATAAACGCCGGCCTGAAGGGCCATACTGGTTTTTGAAATGACTTGACTTTTTACTAAAGAAACCTGTTCAAGCACTGGTTTTTGCAAATTTAGTACGTATGGCCGGCCAGTTCCCCAATCTTTTGGACATTTTTGCTGGATCTGAAGAGCCAACTTTTTGCCCTCTGACTGACTGAGTCACTGATTGAATCACTTATTGACTGAATCACCGAGTATAAATGGTATCCTAAACTGAGACTTTTAGATACATGTGGACTAGGCATTCCCAGTCTTGTTTACAGCACTGTACAACAGTTGTTCCACATTTCAAACTTGTGTTTCACAAATGCCCACAACTTTTTCCCTGTCAACCTTCTCCATAGGCCTGCACAGAGATGGTCATGCCGTCTTGCATGGATGGTAAGCAGGACATGTTTGAGCCTTCACCGTGGGTATATGAGGCATACGTCAAGGAATGTCAGGCAGACTGGAATGTGACACCCAGACCAGACTGGCCCATCGTACAGTACTGGGGCAAGAACATATCGGCAGCCAGTAACATTGTTTTCAGGCGAGTACAAATAACATAACATGCTGAAACATATCCTGATAAATTAAATTACAGCCACAGTTACAGCCTGATAAATTCAGTTACAAGGAGTCTGTGGTTACCAGACCCATAATATTGGGCCCTGGTTTTGGCAAAACCCAATATTGAATGGAAAACAAGAAAACTATTGTGCATTAAATTGTTTGAAGTGCCCATTAAGCACAATCTTCATTGCTCTTATGTCGTGCATGTCTCGAAAATGTCTCTTGTCTCGACAATCTCAAACATTAAAATTCTTCCCTCTTCAGTAGTGAAAGAAATGATATCAGGATGTTTCTCCCCAATTTTTTCCCAGTCGTCTTCCCAGTTCCTTATCAGTAAATAAAATCAGACACACAAGCTGAAATTGTGCTCAAACTGTACTCCGTATTTCAAACACATATTCAAACTTGGCCTTCCTAGACACAATCTTGACTAATTTGAGTGCATATTCAACTATGTCATCCTGTATAATCTTTTTAATTATTTAATGCTTTCTACACAGTAATGGACTGCTAGACCCATGGTCAGCAGGTGGGGTGTTAAAGTCCATCTCGGATACCGTAGTGGCTGTCATTATTCCAGAGGGGGCGCACCACCTGGACCTGCGCTCACACAACAAGGATGATCCGCCGTCTGTAATTGCAGCTCGTAACACGGAGAAGGCCAACATCAAGAAATGGATTGCTAAAGCCCATGGCAACTTGTAGATTGGGTCTATGCAGGTCAAATTTGTGAATAAGCTGGTCATTTCCCTGATTGTTTGATTCGTGAAAATTAATAGTAATAATATTAATAATTATAACTCCTCATAAAGGGCTTTCCATCTTAATAAAAAAGACCCCAAAGCGCTGTACATTACAAGACATAACATTGCCCCAAATTGGAGAATATCTACTTGTTTACTGACAGAAGTTTAGGAATCAGTACTGTTTTCCGTCCATATTCTCGCTTGTGGTTCTGTACCTGCTGTAACAGTCTTAGTTCGTTGTCAGTGATGGTATAAACATGTTACTGATCAGTTTTCTATACATATAAGTTAACAGCTGTCCAGATTTCTGGAGTCCCACCTATGTGTACGAACAGAATGTGTACGAACAGAATGAGAGATCTAGAGAACAAGTGTGTGCTGAGTGTATAAAAATATAAAGTATAAAAAAGCTTTTAAAGTGGCATAACAATCTTGTTATATCTCTCTAATAAATTAAAGGGACACTGGGTCCTGGAACAGCCCAATTGGGCTACAAAACGCGCTTTTGAATATTTTTTATTCAAAGGCGATAAAATGAATGATGGATATCTTGTCTGTAGAAAGTGCATTATGTTGATTCAACCGATGTTGACCTCATTTAAACAAATTATAAAAAGCTTGCCAAGCGTGTAGTCTAGGAAAATTTGAATCAGCCAAGACATATTTATGGCAGCTTTGGAGTTTTAATGTAAAGTTTTAATATAACATTTTTATTCTTTTGAAATACTTTTTTTCTGTCTGCGTATACGTCATTTGAAACGGGCAATGTATGAAGTCCCAACCAGAATGGTTTAATATTTTGCTTTCTGTTAAAAAGAATTTATATTAGAACAAATATATTTTTAAAGATTGATAATAAAAATGAAGGAGACATTTCATGATTTCAGCGGATCACTTGTAGCTGTGTTGTTTATTGCATTAATATTACGTATCTGCAAAAGCGCTGTGTTCAAATCCACGCAAAAATGCTGCTAATAACACAACAGTCACCCTAAAAAACATTCATGCACACATTAACTTTCCAATAATTTAAACAATCGCGTTCAGGGTAAACAAAAAGTATTAAAACATGGCATAAGTCCAAGTTGAAGAGAAGAGGATGTTGAGCGAAAACATGAAAGTTCCCCACCCAAGGAAAAAAATCCAATTTGTTTGGAATAATATTCTGAAATGCGAAAAGGGGGGGGGGGGGGGGGGGAATTGGACGAGTACTCGTTTCAAACAGCCTTCTTTGACCTGCTAGCACCTGTGCTACATCATATGACATTGTACATACTCCCTGATGAATCATTAAAACCATACAGAACAGGTGTAGTTTACAGTGGGACAGGGATTAGAAGGCAGCGCACGTTGGGGCAGTACAAGGACCAATTGGCAACTACTATTGTGCCAGTGTACGTCCAATAGTGCAACAAATTATGTTGCACTCCAATTATGCCCAGGCTATAAAATATTGCAAAATAAAGAGCTCATAGAGTCAGGGTGGTTCAGTAACATGATATTTTTTAACTCTAGATTCATGCTTGAGTGGTGAGTACTATTGTCAACACTTAATAAAGAAGTGCAGTCTGTTAAAAACTCATTTCTTAATACTAAGGAACTTTTGGTTACACAGGCTGCAGATCTAAGTTTAAAATCACACAAGCTGGTATGCAGGAGTTGAACAGTAGCCAGCATCAAAAGGTTCGTTTGATGTAAATAACTCCAAACATTAATCAGCTAAATCAAGCACTGACTGATGTTGTGTTCAAGTGCTGGGGTTTAAGGTGTGTCCATTCTTTTTATATGTTAGATGCCGAGAATGTTGAAGGCGGACCTGCTCAAGTATCTGTATCTCTTTGACGAATGGACCGGCCTCCACCACCAAACTTCCTCTTCTTAAACGATGCCACTCCACTTCCCAGCGGCGAGGAGGACGACTGCGATGCAGAGGTTAGTGATGAGACTGTTCGCTCTTTGAATTTGACTTTCTCCCTGGGTTGGTGCTGGGCGGCCTGAGGTACGATGGGCTGGAAGTATGGCCTGTCTGGCTGAGGCAGCTGTAGATCAATGGGGGGTCTGCATCACCAAAGAAATAATGGCAGAAAAGAGAAATGTTTCTTTTCACTTTGTCTTTGAGAAAGATTCAGCTAGCATTGAATTCTCGGGCCCACCTAGCTTTTCTGCAACTTTGTTTAATGATGCCCCAAGAAGTAACATTGTGAACACAATGACTGCTAAATGCAGAAAATTAGGTTTTTCATTCATGTATTTGTCAGTTGTGTAGATATCCATTCCATTTTGCTCTTATCAATACTGAGATACTCCCCCACTAGCATTGGACTTTTTGGAAACACAGTATGTTCACAATTAAATGAGCTTTTGTTACTCACGTGTCATCGGGAACAATAGTAGTCCAACCACCATAGGGGTTGACCATCTTCCGCTTAACTGGTCTCAGTGCATCCTCATCTTTCTCATCATCATCTTCTTCTTCCACTTCCACTTCATCTTCATCATCCTCATTCCCACTATCATCTTCTTTCTGTTCTTCATCATTTTCTTCCGGTTTCTCATCTTCGGTTCCTGGAGGTTTGAGATCCTGAGAGGTCTTGGTTGTTTCTTCTGCAGGTTCTTGCTGTAGGATTGATGTGATATTCAAGGGTCAGTCTCAAGTATCATCAAGCCCCATGTAAGTAATACTCAAAGAGGTGGGGCTCTACTTCCCTGAATCCTAAATGGAATCTCCTGGGGGAGTTTGAAGCATCTTGGAGGATTTTGCCAGGCTTATGATCTCATGTAGCGCTTAATGGAATGAACAATTAATATCAAAAATTTCCTACGATATTTTTGCTGTCTCCTTATGCAAGATGGCATCATGTTGGTGCCAACAGCTGTCCTTTGAAAACTGACACATGACCATTCTGGACCAATGAAATTACAGTATCCAAAATGAGAAACACTGGTAAACCACAATGTTAAGTCAACTCACAATAAAACACAATATTTATTATTGCTCAGTAGACTCAGAGTACAAATATTGCAAGAAATATCTTACAAGAAACCAGATTTTCTTGATAGAGAAAGCCTGTCACTCATTGAAATGCCACGCTTATTATGATTATATCATGTTATGCTTTTGTCTAATTGTTTCATATAACTTTTTCTTTCGTAAATTTCACTCTAATCATCCTGTACATACGTCTTTGATTTCTGTTTTTGGCTTATGTCTGAATAGCAATAAATGTTGTTGAACAAACGCCATGAACTACATTTACCTGTTCCTGTGTCTGACTGGTCCCGTCCTCAGGATCTTGCTGTTTGTATATTGTAGACTCTTCTGTGGCTACATAGCCCTCAGGCTTCTCCCACTGGGACTCTGCAAATGAAATTCAAAACCACTGTATTCAAAAAAATGAAAATGATCACTGTCTCCGGCCAGGAACAATAGTTTCAGACTGGCATTCCAGAGTCACGCTATGCCAAATTATTAATAAGGTATGAATAATAAATAAATGAAGGATTTGACGTTTGTAGAAGCAACTACATTGAAAGATTTTTCTTTTTTAGTGACTCCACAGTCTTGTCAATTGGGTCCAATCATATGACGTCAAAGTATGATGTGACCACCTGGTTTCCCCTTGTTGTCCACCATTGCAGAAGTCAAGTGTTTAGTTAGAAACAACATAGATGGACCACAAACTAGACTGTACCTCCTGTCACTGTATTCCAGTAGTATGTATGCCCCTCTGGGCTGGTTCCTTCCAGCCAAACACATGTTGTCTTAGACCCTTCTGCTGCAGTGGTTGCTGCCGTGGATTCTGCAGTGTGACTTGATGCTTCAGTTGCTGGAGCTGTGCTTGATGTGCTGCTTGTCGCAGTAGTCTTGCCAGCTTGTTTAGTGGAAACTAGGCCTTGTTTGTGTAGTTTCCTTGCTGAGTTAAGAAGCTCTGTGATAGAGAACAGACTGTACATATGAATATCACAGTGGAGTTTTGAGTCACTTTAGTGAATAGATTCAGGTTGGTGTAGCGTTACTTTCCTCGCCTTCCACTGCTGTGACATGGGTTCGATTGTTATGGGCGTGGCCAACATGTGGATTGGGTTTTCAGTCCCTACCTGATTCTGTGGGTTTCCCAGAATAGTTTTCTGGGTTTTCCTTCCACCTCTGAAACCGTTAATTGTTTTCTCATTGTCTCCTCTCTACAGGTTTCTTCAGGCTTGCGAGCTACAGTGCCTAGGACGCTGTTGAGGAATTCTTGGTTTCATTACGAGAAATAAATTTTGACCAATCACAGCAGTGATTAATGTCCAACATGCATGCAAAAAGTCTGACATTTGTATTTTTCAGGTCAATCCAGTCAGTAAGAAGTTTCAATTAACATCCATAAATAAATGAATAATTCACTACAAAACTAGGGTCGGTTGGCTTCTACGTACCTTCTTTCTTTTTGGCTGTTGCAGCAGCACTAGCAGCAGCTGAAGCGGCCTGGGCCTTGTACTGAGCAGCGAGGGCTGGGTCATTCTCCAAGTCCTTCTTGAAAGCCTTAAGTGCTTCCTAGCAGAAGAAAATGAAGGTATACATTCATTACAACAAAGGATTTATTCTCAACTCTTTGACTACAGCGAGCTGCTATATCAAAGCAGTCTAGTCAGGAGTCTAGTTGCATGACTGTGGACACTACTGGACAGCAGCTGTAGAAATGAAGACTCGGCCCGGTACCAAATGTTTCTTATGGCACACTTCACATGTACAGTGCATAAGGAGTGCAAGGCCGGTAGTTTCATGCACAATTTTATTTTCTTGTTTTAGAACTTCCAGTTTACACAAGAGAGGAACTCTCAGTATACACAGTATGTTAGTCCCAAATTTGCAGACTAGGCTACAAGATCTGATTCATGGAACTTCTTTTTACCGTCTCCATCTTGATGAGATCACTGTCAAGGGTTTGCTGTATCTTGTACTGCTCATGGCCCTTCTTCCGCAACTCAGCAAGCTTCTTCTCCACATTCTCCTTGTGTCGTTTGCCTCGCTCATGGAAGTCAATACTCTGCCAGGAAGAAACAGATAGATTAGTTCAGACCAATTCCGGGTTGTACAATATAAAACAATGTTTGTAATGTTTTGATTAGAAATACAAAATTTTGCAATAATTCTGTAATATTTGTCAAGGTTCCATTATTACTATCACTTGGTTTACTAGTGTGTAAATATTTCCTGCTTGAGGCTCCTATAAAACACTGTTTAATTTTACAACTTATGCAGCAATTTTAACCACAGATGTGCCATCTACTCATACTGTTTCAGTCACTTGTGAAAATTCAAAGCCCCCCCCCACCCCTTTTTTTATTTGTTCAAACAAATAAGAAAAATACTTTCTCATACAGCTCTGTTGTCAGCTATCCAACACTTGCAGAAATCACAATGCTTCTTTGGTTGAGACTTCCAGTAGGTAGCCCTGTGGGAATTGACCAAATAAAAAGGAAAATTAAGTGAACAGTGAGCGCCGCAGTGAAGTAGAATCTTTCTCAATGGTAAACATGGTAAAATGGACTGGTAAAATTATGATTTCTCTAATGTCCTAAAAAACATTGTTCCCAAATTTGAAAGAGACATGGATCAGTCGGTGCTGGTTTTATTTTTTAAAATTTTTTTAGAGTGAGAAAATGGAATTCTAAAAACCCGCAGTCAAACTCAAAGGGGAGGCCATGCACTCCCCCCCCCCCCGAAAAATGGCCCTGTCTGTGCACCCTCTCCCCACCCCCCACCCCTGCCTCTCCCAGTACCAGTCGCACCTCTTCTTTGTCAGTTTGTGCCCCCCTGGGCCCTGCGAATACGAATACGAATTTGGGAACGCAAATCAGCCCCTCCATCCAGCCAGCATGTCAAAAAAGTGAGCCCCCGGCCCTCCCGGTATCCCCCCACGGCCAACGGCACCGGCTCCGCGGCCGGCCAGCCCACCCACCCACGTCCACCCACAATGCCCTACGAATGCTACCATCACGTCTACTACAAATGACGGTTAGTGTGATATATCCAGATATGATATTCTGCTGACTAAATAAATGGTTGAAAGCAAAGAGATGAAGATGACTTTTCTTACATTTTTCTTCCCCGGCGGTTTTTAATTCTCTATGTATGTGAGTGCGCCCTCAAGTGTTCTTCGATTGGTAAATTGACTGACCTTTAATAAGGTCAATGACCGCTTGATAGGGAACAAATCCAAATGCAAATCCAATGAAATGTGTCCACTTCCTTCATTTCGGTCCAAATCAAAATTGATGTACTTTATTACATAACATAACAGTCGTGATGTCTCTAATATCTGATAAAAGGATGAATTTTCACTGAAAAACATGATTTATAATTAACACGCAGGGAACCGATGTTCATTTATTGTATGACATGTTAAACAGCACTTGATTGGGCCACTTTTTATGACAGTAATTGCAGGTATACATTTTGTCCAAAAATGTTGGCAGAAAATAAAAACACACTTTCCTATTTTAATAAAGGTTGATTTAGTTTTATAATATCATTATTCAATATTAAATGTAGGTTAAAATTGTATTATCGACCCTTTAATGCCCAGAAAAATTAACCAATAGAAAAGAATTTCATATGTACGCTGGGGAAGAATGACGCATGCGCAGCAAGGGTTGTTGATTATTTTTTACTTCGCTCAAAACCCGAAATGTGGAGTAACTTTCGTCAATGTAGCGGGTGATTTGAGGGCGTTTTACGCCGCAAATGGCGCAAGAGAAGTGAATTTCAGAATACTGAAATGGTAAGGATATTATTCTTTTGTATTGAAGAGTTTCCTTTGTTAAAACAAGTTTCTGTTGTTATTTTAGCGTACTTAGAACTTGCTTCGCTTTCGGACATGTCGGACCGAAAACGCAAAAGCGCGCTACCCAAAATAAGTAAACGTTGCGTCGACATGGTCGAACTTTTTTCGATGGGATCGTTCAGGAAAGAAAGAATGCTATTATTTCACGCAAGCAAAAAATGTAATCAAATTAGTATTGGTAATTAAATTTTGTCAGACGTCCTCATGCTGTTGTGTGTTGTTAAATTTGAGAGCCGAAAGGATTAAAACATGAAATTAGAGTTTAGACTTTTTTACACTGTTTTTTAGTTTTCATTTTGTTCCCCTAATTAATTTCTTACCGGGTGAAATTTTTACCAGATAGCTAGGCATGCTACTTTTTTTGGCATTCGTGTAGTTATACGGGCCCGGTTCCCTATATAATAATAATAATAATAATAATAAAACAGCATTTATATAGCGCAATATCAATCAAAGATTCCTCAAAGTGCTTAACAATACTAAGAATCCCAATTTAAAACCTAACTTGGTTACAAACTTCGGCCGACCAGCTGTTGTCTGAATGGTTGATTAGGGCCCCCCCCCCCCCCCCCCCCATCGTAAAAAAAATTCTGTAAAATTCTGTAAACTGTTAAATACCGCAGTACCGCACATAGATAAAATCCCATTAAGATACTGTAAAAACTTCATTTGTATAAACCTACTAGGTTGAACCACCGCCACGGACATTGGTGGCGCTATTTTCATGCCCAAAATGACCTAATTTTTTGTGACCACCTTTTTAAAAAAGGTTTGACATGAAGTATCCCATACAGGGATACTTTCGCTTAGCTCCAAACATCAATAAAAGAGAAATGAAGGGTGTAAATGGCCATAGAAAGTTTGGTTTGTTATTAAATCTCGTTGCCAAAAAAGTTGTGGATTCCCCAAAAACAGCGATGCTGTTATTTGTGTAAATTTCCCATATGTTTGTACAATAATCAACTGACGAGGTCACATTTATTTCAGCCAAATCGAGCATCATTTTAATGCAAAAAAAGTAACTTTAAAATTGCAATAATGTCAGAACTGCTTGCCCTATGATAGGAGACCATTTGTTTAATTGCATTTTGAAAGCTCTTTAAGATAAAGTAAATTCTACAACTATCAAATCAACTTTGAAATTTGATGATTCTACCTACCTATAAGAAAGTTTCTCTATACTTGTAATTTAGGTTCCCCTAATACTTTTAATAATTTGACTTACCAAACTTGGCAACATTTAACATTACGAGCGTGCAGGTACAATGTATGTCATACATGTTATGTATAGAAAACAGGGTTTCTAATTTTTGATGGAAATTTGGGGGTAAAATGAAGATGACAATGACAAAACGCAACACAAAAATAAAGATGTCGATCACCACGATGTACCCTGAACTCGCAAGGCACGCTAACCAACTGTAAACCATTTATGAAAATTGTAATTTCTACCCCAAGAAACTGTTCAGAATTACATAAAAAAAGATGTCATAAGAATTGAGAGAAGTCGACTTTAGGTTTGAAAGGTCATGTTTGAATGATAAAAACACACCCTAGACTCTAATTTGATCGAAACTAAAGAGGGGCCCGGACGGACCTACACGGTTGCCTTTTTTTTTTGCAAGGCCTAGGCTCAAAAAATAATTTCCTAAAAAGAAGAATCATCTGAAGAAAAACAAGAAAAGCTGTTTTTTTTTAAATGTTCACAATGTTACATTGTAAATTAGAGAAATCCCCAAAATGTAAACCCTATTTAGCTCGAAAGGGACAGGCTTTTAGCTCTAGGTAAGGAAATATCCGGAGAGGAGAGAACTATTAATACATTGAATGTCTGTCCAGTCTGTGTTTAAACTAAAAAGAATTATAAAGGATATCTATGATTTCCAATAAGTAAAAAAGTCATTGTACTACTCTTCTGTGTGATTTCTCACTTTTCAGTTCAGTATGCCTGTGCGTCTAATTTCATATAATTCTCTTTCTCTTAAAACTTTTCGTGTGGTTTCCGTCATTGTAGTTCCCTGCAGTACAAAATTATAGCTTCCTACACTGTTGCTGCACAGGTTTTCAAATCTTTTTGATGTTGTTAAATGTGTTGTTATTGAATAGATGCTACAACTTTGTTTGTCTTATGTTTTTTTTCAGGAACTCATCTCCAGTGCCATGGAAGAGGGTGAGTACCATCCAGAATTCTAACTTTTGTGCCTGAAAATTTCATTGATATAATTATTGTTGAACATTTTAGCAAGAGCTTTCTGATTTCCAAATGAATGAAAACCATCAAGAGCTGGTTTTTAATCTTCAATGCTAAAATGTAAATACAGTGAACAAGTAACAGAAATTTGATTAAAAACTCAGTATATTCAAGAAGTGTGTTGTCATTGTCTATACAACTAGTTTGAGATTGTCACATAGATGCAGTCATTGTGATTTTATGAAAATTAGGCATATAAAAGTTGTACTAAACTAGTGACAGGTAAAAACAAGCGCATTAGAGATTGTTTTTCGTCTATTTTTTACAACAGGCTGGGGAAGCAGCTCAACACAGGAAAAATCGCACTTAAGCAGGCAATCCTCACTAGTGGATGAAGGCATGAAGGGCAGGGCAGACCCGTTGCTCAGCCAAGAGCCAGCCAGTGTACTGCCCTCATATGCCAGCCTGATGGACACAGATGTTGTACGTACATTAAGAGTTGTGTTTTTTTTAGAATGTGATGCTATAATTCAAGTCAAATGTACATGTATATCACCGTTTGAAATAGTTTACTTCCCCAGGGAACGCTGTTTTGAAAACATCCTGTAATTAATTCTAATTCTCTAGGCCGTTTTGCTAGGATACATTCTCAATCCTTTGAATTCTCCAACAATCACTGTTAACACGTTGAGGCAGTGCCAATGATATCCAGAAGCTGTGTGGATGATTTCAAGTATAATCTAGGCCTAACTTTATTATTAATCCAAACCATTTCAATTTTTTTCAGGAGTAAAGAAGGTACTGCCCAACCACTATACCTTGCATAAGGCTTGATGTCCGAACAAAAATTTTACAAAAAATTTGCAATTTTTTCCTTCACAGTGGAGGATCTTAAAGGATTCAAGAAGTTCTCTACAAAACAAAAGGAACAGAGGATTAGGGTTTGAGGTATTAACAAGTTTACTCATTTTCTTGAAGGGCCATGACTTCTCGGAGGACAAGCTGATGAAGTCAGGCAATCTGTACAGCCTCTACTTGCTGAACTCTGACTCTGGCAGTCGACAACTCAAGGCAAATGAGGGACTGACAGACACCTCATCAGTGACCAGCAAGGACAAGAAAGACAACAATGGTGATACAGACGAAGAGATAGACGTAGAGACGGATGGGGTGAAAGACCCCAGTCCAGAGAAGGTGGTAGAGAATGGTCACTATGATGCGCTGTTTGAGGGCATGCCGTTCACTGAACTCAAAGGCAAGGAAGTGGGTGAGTACTTTTTCCCTCTGTTTTTCGTAAAGGAGTCACAACAAAAAGGCTAAAGGCCAACAAAGGTGGTGTCTTCAAAGACAGAATTAAATTTTGATTAAGTCATACTTGAGTTTTCCACGGGATGCTCAGAAAGTATCAAATGGCAACATTTCTTTCCACCTTAGCCAATTTGAACATTCATGAGGGAAGAGCTGAATCTTGTTTCTGATAATCCCCTGTAATTTATAACAACTTTATGGGAAAATTAGCACTTTCGATCTGGCTGTGCTCCATGATCAGACAGGGGTCGTGTGGCGGCTGCCTAAGGCGCCTTTACATGCCTTCTGCTCGACCACGTAGCTGCGTCCTTCGCAATTCAGCGTCTCAGCTGTGAGTGAGGATGCCTAGCCCTCGAAAAATATTATTATCATTATAACGTAAAGTTTGAGATATAGTAAAGCCAAAGAATTTAAGGATATAGATACCAATACATTTGTCACATTTTCTGGCTGTTAAGGATGTCTTCCTTGAGGCCAATACTTGTATTTAGTGGAGGAGGGGGGCCTTTACAAACAAAAATACATGACTTCCTGATCAATGTTGAAAGCTTTTAGCATTACACATTTCATTCAGGATATTCCTTGCTATACATTCCAGCTATACATTCTACCACTTTGATAGATTTAGCATATTTTCAATGTAAATATTCAAAGTTTGTTTTTACTGATGTTGTTTTTCGCAGGACCTTGCTCATACTGTAACCTGTGGCGTACCATTCGCTTCATGTCCTACTGTGGCCGGTTCCCCTTCTGCAGTGTGTACTGCACCAAGAAGTTTGCTGTCTACAAACGGGAGAGGGGAGAGCTGTCTGAGAAGACACCGGAGGACATTAAAGCCATCAATAAACTCAAGGTATGTAGTACGGTGAGGAAGTGCCTCAAAATCGTAGATTTATATTAAATAAGTAGATCACAAACTTCTGATTCCGTCGTATAGAATACATTTGGATGAATTATGGGCACAGACACCTTGACTGAATGTGCGCAATTGTTGAACCTATTGAAATCAGACGGAATGGTGTGTCTTTTAAATGCCATGTGAGTGTACCACAACTTGGCTGCACATAAGTATGTGGCTGCATACACATTTTCGTAAATATGAAGAAGAAAAAACATCAGAAGTACATGTAAATGTAGTTGTTTGTTTCTCTTCTGTGCCAGGAGGGGTTTTTCTCCGGGGTTCTCTGATTTTCCTCCACGAATCACTCCAAACTCTAATGCTACATTCTTTTGGTTTTTGCCAACAGGTCCCCACGTTGTTTGAGAACCAGAAAGCCCGGCCGCTGTTCCCCTCCTCACAGATAATGGAAGTAGACAACAAACGCCCCAGAGTCTGCACTAATGGATCTGTGGACGGCCCAGAGAGCCTCAAGCAGTTCGATTGGCCATTGTATCTGGAAGGACTCAATGCAGAGGCAGCACCGGTGAAATGCTTCCACCATGTGAGAACATTATCAGCATTGTTTTTATCAGAATAAAGATACTGTTACATTGCCATTGCATAGGTACAAACAGTAGAATTATCTATCAAAGCAATTTCGTAACTTTGTATCAATGTAAAATTTGCAAAAAGTGTAATGTTTGAATGATGGCTGTATGTAATCTTACATTAATAAATTTGGATTCACATATGTTTGTACCCAAAAAAATGACATGTGCTTTACTAATTATCCAATCATATGAGTTGGGCTCCAATTTGTAAATAACAGGTTCTTGCTAAGTGTTGTTGAATCTTTTGTGTCTGTTCTCTCCATATTTTCAGGCTCCCCTTGCCAAGGAGTGGAAGGCTAATCTAATCGGTGCACTAGTAGAAGTGCAGAATCGCGAACCAGAGGACACTAAAGACTGCTTCTGGATTGCAAGAATCATCAAAGTTGCAGGTATTGTCTCAGTTGAAAATAGCGTCAATATATCACTACCGTTGAAGGCGTTTGAGCCCCAGCATTGCTCAGCGTACATATTTAAGCCATGGAACATTTACAACCGCCTGGAAATGTACCTACTGATTACATGACAGAAACCTTGCTCAAAGTGAAGATATTACTGGTGTCAAATAGGATGTGGGGATTTATAGCAGCGGAATCAAGTTACCAGATAAAAAAAATTGTGCGTTGTTTTCTCCGTTTTCTTAAATTTCATAGTAGCCACCATGCTAAAATTGTACAGGTTAGTTGCTGTGTACCCTACTTGGGATTTTTAGCACCGTTGTTACAAACACAAAAATGAAAATTGTCCTGTGTAACTTTAAACTTAAGGTGCACTCAGCTCACGCAAAGATGATGTGGATTTGTGCATATTTGGTCGACAGTTGGTTGCATGCGCTACAGCAAATTTTGTGTTTGCTGACTACTACCCTAGAGGAAAGCCTAGGTAAAACAAAATAGACAAAAACTTCAATATGCCATGCAGAATTCTAAAAACGCTCATTTGAGCTGTGCAAAAAAAGTCATGTGTGAGTGTACTATTATGGAACAAACTGCGACAGTGCCAAGGTGAGGTGATCCACTTTAGATAACTAATGTATTGGATCAAGACTATCAGCAGGGAAGTTAGACTAGTAAGCAGGTTGTGGGGTTGCGTTTCTACATTAACTTGTAAAGATCTATCTCATTTGTTTCTTGAAGAGGTTTTTAACTCTCTTTTTTTCCCTTCAGGGTATAAAGCAAAGTTGAGATTTGAGGGTTATGGTATGGACAGCTCCCATGATTTTTGGATCCATCTATGCAAAGCTGAGTGTTATCCAGTCAACGGTGCTGAGAAAGTTGGCAAGCAGTTGAAGCCCCCAAAAGGTAGGCACTGACAGTTCTATCTTTGAAAAAAAAATGAGTAGAAAGATTGGTGGCAAGATTATGTACGATCTAATCTTGCTAGTTTGAATTCTTCCAGTTTATTTTCCTTTGCTCAACCCAAACTAAGTTGGCCACATTTGAAAAAAAACAGGGCACCTTAACGATGCCATTTTTGGGCAGGAACAATAGAAAAAATCCTGTTTAAAAGCAGTAGCTTTACTTTAAACTAAAAATAAAAGATGGTAAAAAGACATTCAGTTGAAGCGACATATTTGTATATTTACGTCACTTGCATGTTTTCACATCCTTTTATACCCCCAAATGACATTGTTACAGCATCCTCATTCATTCAAGAATGGAACTTATTTCTTACAGACTTTATTTGCTTAGGCTTGTTATGTTCAAAACCTCTGTGCTCTTCTAAAATCGTCGGCTCATTATGCATGTAGAATACAACAGGATGCTATAATCAGAAAATACCCATAAAGTCTCTTCAAACCCTTTTCACAAAGTTCTACAAGCAAACAAATGAGCTCAAATGCATTTCATTTTCCTTACTTAAACAAATTTTCCACTTAAAGTTTGATATATTTTTTCTCCTGAAAATTAAATCATTGACTAGAAAAGGTTTATTTCACACAGATTGGAATGGAAAGATTAAAGATACAGTAACATCAATTTTAATATTTTGTTTTGGCTCTGTAGAAGTTCTGGATAAGCTTGGCTGTAACTGGCGTGAGCACACCACAAGAGTTGCTCACTCTGGAAGTCCGACATTCAGCATTGATAAAGAGAAGGTATGTTCATGTTAATAGACCATTCTTGATTGGCACGTACAGGTTTGGGTATAGATTTCAAACCCATGTACAAAATGCTTTGCGAGGGAAAAGCGTAAAATTACTGCGTCCATGTTGTTGGTGTTAATGCCCCTCTCACACCAATCCAAGACCAGTGCGAGGTCACTTCGGATGCCAGCACGTTTTTATTTTGTGGTACCCGTTTTTACTTCATGAGTAATCCGTGGCCACCTCAGAAACACCCGGGACCAACCCGTGCTCATGTCCGTTTCCTGGAATTCACGGACTGCACGCCGGTGACATCTCGTGGCCATCCCGATTGCATCCCGTGATGACTTTTACGCCAGCTCGAGACTACTACGTGGTGTCAGTGGTGACTACGGCACCAGCTCGAGAGTACTACGTGTAGTCCGTGAGCACTTCGTGGCCAACTCGTGGACACTTCGTGGACTCCGGAGCTCACTCTGATGTCCGTAATCCATAAATAAACATGGGGCTCACGGACAATCAATCCGGGGCCATCCCGTAAAATCCGATGTAACTTCAGCCCAACCTCGAGAACACTACGAGAGTACTTCGAATAAGCCGTATTGAACACGTTTTCAATTCGGCAATAAATTTCCAAAGTGCACACGTTTCAGTTTTTCAACATATCCAAAAACTTTTTGGGTGATCCGTGGAGCATCCGTGAGAATCGGCCCATGGAAGGAATCGACACGTCCTTAATTCGTGGTTAGTTCGTGGCAACCCGTGAGATCCGATTCCATTTCGTGGTTACTTCGATTTTATAACTTTTGCGTCCACGGACACCTCGAAGTGGCCACGAAATGGCTTCACGTATTGGTGTGAGAGGGGTCTAAGGAAGGTAGTCTAAATCACCCGACATCAAAAAGACGTGAGACGAATCATTACATGATTTTCACTACTTGAAGAATCTTACCGAAAGAGGCCATCTCTTTTATTAACACAGTTGAAAATGTTATTCTTTTATGTCCGATTTCTTCTAGTTTTAGCTGACATATAAATGGCATCTTCAATCAAATTAATCAGCTGCAAATTGTCAGGTATTCCTGGTGTCTGGTCTATATTGGCCGTTCTTCAAACCCAGCCTTTATACTTCATTAATGAATAAAACTGCTATTAATGTAGAAGCATTAAATGTCACATGCATAATTGGCCAAAAAATAATGAAAGCATCAATAATTTATCTAGGTCCAAAAAATGGGAATCTTACTTCTGTTTTCCCCAAACCAATTAATGTTAATTTCTAACTTCTCTGCAGCTTGATGAAAGCCTGACCTCCCCATTCAAGAAGGACACCCAACTGGAGGTGGTCTACAAGCGACAGGTGTCAAGCACCTGTGTGGCCACCATCAAGAAAGTGGTAGCCGACCGCATCTATGTGCAATATGAGAACTGCAAGGATACCAGCAAGGATTTCTGGTTCCATCAGACCTCCCCACTCATCCACCCAGTTGGATGGTCCCAGCGGGTCCACCACCCTCTGGTTGCAACCGCAGGTACTTCAACCATCCATTTGCTTCATGCTAAGTTTGGAAAGAAGTTTAATAACTGTTTAAGACTGGCATTCCAGAGTCAGACGAACCAAATTATTCCAAAGATTTGATTTTCGTATATGAAAAGTAAGATGTTTGAAACAGTTGGTCTAGTCATGGAAAATGAATACTGAGAAACTTTTAAAATTTTGTTAGAAAATACTTTTACAATGCACTCTACTCTCCATAGACTTTGTACAGAACCAAAGATTGGTATCTGGATGCTACATTCTTTCCCAGATTTGGAAGCTGTAATTTTGTTTACTTCTTCCCACAACAATAACACTTCTATATCAGTTTTCTTGGACCCAGAACTTTCAAAGACGGTAACAAATCAAAACGAAAAATTATCCAAGTTTCCAAGACATTGAAAGGTAACAAATCAAAACAAGTTTAACAGGACATCCAGTTTCGTAAGTGATATGTAAAGGTGTGTATCAATCATAGAAAACTGACTGTTTATTTATTTCTTAAAGCGTACAAGGCTGAAGCTCTAGACAAGGGACGGAAAAAGAAAGGAGGTCCTCGTGATGCACCCTGGGAAGTCTTTCAGTTGGTGAGTTCTGGCTTAAGTTATCAGCCAGGCTTTCTGTAATGCTTATCTGTAACACAAAGGTTTTCAAGTATTAGCACATTTTGGCTACGTTGTGTTTTTCACTTGCCCCTAATAGATCTGCATTAATTGTTGACAGTGGATGATGATTTGTTTAGTGTCTTTAAACAAACTGAATGTCATTATATTTCCAGAAATGTAATGCATTTCTACTGCCAAATGTGCCGAAATATCATAATGTTTTTCTGTGCCCAGTTACGTGGAGTAACTAAGCTGAATAGAGAAATTTGTTAAGCAATGTTTTCTTCTTAGTTGACGGTGGACAGTCGATAATTTAGTCCCTGAGTTATTGGAAGATGAAGTCAAGCTGAGGGAGATAGTGTGATAGTTCCATGAGGGTAACTTGTGCATGACATTTTCTTCCCTGAGTTTTGCTTGTCGCGTAAATGAAAAAATGTTAACAGTAAGAGCTCTATGTCCCACTCATTTTGCAGCCGAAGCCCATTCCCGAGGAGCAGAACTTCTGCGTGGGCATGAAACTCGAAGCCATTGACCCACTGAAGCTAGGCAGCGTCAGTGTGGCCACGGTGGTCCAGACACTGGGAGACGGCTACCTGATGATAGCCATTGATGGCTGCCTGCACGACGTGGCCAGCTGGTTCTGTTATCATGCCACCTCATCCTCCCTCCTACCCATCGGTTTCTGCGAGTATCACCAGATAGAGCTGGTCCCTCCAAGAGGTGAGTGAACGTCGTCTTTGTCATTGTACCATATGTTGGCTTTGTCTACGGCTTTGGTTGTATCTCTGCCTCTGGCATCATTTAGAAGCCTTTATCCCTAACTGCCTATGATCCATCCTCAATCCTTCAGAATCCTCCAACTGCAATCAGTAAAAATTAATACAGACTCAGGCCCCCGAAGTCCTCTGTTGTTTCTTGAATTTGTTCAGTGGAGGGGTGACCACTACCTCAGTCCTTATAAAATCCTGCAACAATCACTGTTAATATATTGAGGCAGTGTCAATGATATCCAGAAGCTGTGGGGATGACCTCCAGTGCATGGCTAAGCATAAACAGTGAAAGGTACAACTTGAGACCTTGACACAATGCATTCTCCAAAATAAACTTGACAGACACACAGCCTCAATCCTCCAAAAAAGTGCCTAGTTATTTTGGAGGATTAAGGAGGATTAGGGTTAATGAAACCGTGTCCCTCTTGGGTCTAATTGACAATCGGTTCATACAACTTATACCTGCTTCGTTGTTTCATTCTGTCTTGTTTGTTACAGGGTATGAAGGCAAGTTTGACTGGGACGACTACCTCAAAGCAACCAACTCAATAGCTGCACCAGTGGAGCTCTTTCATCAGGTAAGAACCAACAAGATCTGCTATTGTAACAGTAACCAGACCAGTAACATGAAGAACGCTGTTCATTTTAATGTAAATTTAAATGACCAACTATCTTGATCCTGTTTTATGAAAAAAAAAAACAAGTTGCAATTGAGTCAATCACAAGAAATCACAAGTCAATCACAAGTAGTCCAGTCTCAATTCAACTCACAAGCTGTTTAAATGAACTGTGACAAAGGCATTCCTTTGTCATTGTTCATCTCTTGTTACTTCACATCGGTAAAGGGCAACACCCACTTTTGAACTTCTGTCCTGACTCGCGAATTGACTTGCGATTGGCTTGTGATTGACAACATTACAACTCTGGAAAATAACCTATTCCGGACTTTTGTCAAAATGAAATCATAACTTCCTAACCATGCCTCACTTATTTTCATACCAGAAGAAAATCGATCCACCCTTCCGCGTGGGCCAGAAAGTGGAAGCTGTGGACCTGATTGAGTCTGGTTTCATCTGTGCTGCCACCATCCTGAAGATTGCTGGGCCGTTGCTGAGGGTCCACTTCGATGGGTGGGATCGCAGCTATGACCAGTGGCTGAACTGCCAGTCCCCGGACATCTATCCTGTGGGATGGTGTGAGATGGTGGGCTACCCGCTGCAACCTCCAAGAGTCCACGGTAGGTGGGAAAAACTGGGGCATCTCTGAGTCAGATGATTAATTTATAGACATTTAACCAGGACAGCCTACTAAAGTCTTTAGACTTATTTTCAGTGTGGTCCATTTGTTGACGATGAGAATAGAATTTAATTTTGAAGGTTGGAGGCAAATCCTGGAATGACATTTGAGGGAAAACACAATGAATCAAAGAGGGACTGAAACTCAATACACATGTTTTCATAAGGAGGAATTTGAACCGGGTCACAGCGGTGGATGGCAAGGATAGTACCGCTACGCCAACCTTATGTTTGTGTTATTTTAAGGGTTTGCTGTTTACTGATGTAATGTTAAATGAACTGAATTGCTCATTGCTTTCTGACTGCTTGTCCGAATAATTTCACAAGCTTACTCAGTTTGAGTGTGAACCCATCAGCCCTATGCTTACTAATGCAGCCGTCGCAACCACTCATCTACCAAGTTTGCAAGGTTCAAGGGGTTGATTCTGTTGCACTACATAGGATTTTACATTGGGTGAAGGGAGTAAGTACATCAGGTTTGGAAACCCTTGCATGAAAATGTCTGTTCTCCTGTTTTGTTTCAGATCCTGCAAATCATATTCTTCCAACACCAGTTTTGAAGAATGGAAAGAAGCACAAATCTACCTCATCACCGCCTTCTCATGAGAAACGAAGTAAGTAGTCTTCAATCTTGGGCAAAAAAGTTTGAATTACAGTCATATTCCTAGTTCCGGATTTTCCTAGTTCCGGATCGCTTCAAATAAAAACCTACCTCTTTTGGATAGTCTCAAATAATTTTTTTATTTGACGAAGTGCATTTTGAAAAGGAAAATGTAAGCTTCTTGATACACAAAGATTTTTTGATAAAATCTTTAGAAGAGGAATTTCGGCCAGATTTCTGACTCGCAATTTGACATGTTTGGACGGTTTGTAGAAAATCACGGGAGCTGCGATTCATCACTCGTACCATGTGATTTTGAATATTTTGTTCATACACTACAGTCGTATAAACTCTTCCATCGAATGTTTGTTGAATCAAAATAAGTTGTAGAGTCTCTAATTTTTGAAAAGTCGCCAATGAATGCCCGTATGTTTTTGCCTAGTTCCGGATCGCGCATAAATACCATCAAACTACACGCACGTTAATCGATTTTGTGTGACGTATTCTGTGCTGTGTCAAAATGTTTTCAGTCCATGTGTAAGTTCGTGCCGTTGCCCTGCCGACAAAAAAAATCATTTACGTTTTTCTCTTTTTAAAATTTGCTGGAATTCTCTTGAATGAACTATATTAGGAAAATTGAATAATACTTTATCAGAAATGTGCTTGATTCGAGTTTTTCTGGCTGAAAAATCGATTTTCTCGCGTGATTTGTTTTCGTCCGAAGCAGTGTTTGATCGATTCGGAACTGATTGAACCGATCCGGAACTAGGATAAAGGGCATCGGTACTTTTGACGTCGTAAAGTCAAAATAAACCGAGCTTAAATTTGGAAAATTATTGTGTAGTATATCCATCACTCAAGGTAAACTTTTTTAACCAATGTCACTTGAATTCGTGGAGTAGTTGAGCTGAAAGCTGCCTTAATGGTGTTTGCTATCCGGACCTACGAAAACGACTGCGTGATTATCAATGTCGTTATCCTGTTGTGCCCAAAAAGTATGATAAAGATATTTCACAGACAAACTTTCCTTTGGCTTTTTATAACTTCCTTTGCAAGTCTTTGTGAATGGAAAAAAGTTCATGACATTCTCGCACATTATGAACAAACTGAATTTTTTGTATAGATATTTTGAATTTGTTTAATATTTTAGATCCCTGAGAACTAGTGGTCAATGTCAAAACTCATTTAGCATTGACATTTTTCAGAACAGTTCAAAAATTTAAATTTTCTTCCCATTGTCTACACAGAACGGTCTTTCAGTGGCTCAGCAGGCTACTTTGACAAGAGTGAATCCGTCTCAAGCATGGTAGATGCAATCTACTCATTCTCAGACACTGAAGACCACGTCCCTCCCAAACCTCCAAAGGTCACCAAGAAGGAGAAAACAGACAAGCAGAGTAAGAAAGACCGCAAGTCTGCATCTTCGAAAGAAAAGAAGTCCAAGAGCAAAAGCCACTCAAAGTTAAAGCATAAGGAGTATGCCAAAAACAATGTACAGATGCTGCTTTCACAGTCAGCTCCAAATTTGGGCAGCTTGAAGACTGCTTCCTCCAAGAAGCTCAAAGATGCATTAACTCCCACTACTAGCAGTGGCAACTTTGATGGAACACCTTTTCTGGAGAGTCCCCTTTCAATGAGACTTCTCCCTGATTCACCTCTTTCATCCAGCGTGGACTCCTTCACTTCCTTGAGCAATGGAGGAGGTCCATCCACAAGTCTGACCCCTGTCACAGGCCTGCCTCTAGATCCACTCCAGATGTCACCATTGACTAGCGTGTCCGACTCCAGCTTCCAGTCTGTTCTGGCCAAGGCAAGCTGTAGCTCCTTAATGAGCCACTCAGAAAGAACACTCACAAGTGAAGATAAAATGAGAAATGGAAAGGTTTCCCCGAGTTGTCCCTCAGCCTCTTCAAGTCAGTTGCAAAGAGAATCTGCAGAGTTTACCAAAAAAATTCCCTTCCTGAGCTCCAAACACAGTGGCTCAAAGCACAAAAGTAAGAAGTCTAAGAAGTCCAAGAAGACGCGTGACAAAGATAAGAGTAAGAAAGAAAAAAAGTGCAAAAAGAAAGACAAGGAAAAGAAGAGAAAATACCAAGACAGAGAAAAAAATCCTTCAGAGAAGAAAAACGGTTCAGAGGGGAAAATTAGCAAATTGGCTGCACTCCTTAGTCTTCCAGGGCAAATCAACTTCCCAGACAACAAACCTTTAATCAATGGATTCCTAAATGCATCCAATGAGGTTACGCCTCCTGTACCTCCTGCACCTCCCAAACCCCCCAAAATCGAACTGCCAGATCATGATCCTTTTGCTTTTGAAACTGAGGAGGAAATTCAAGAGAGATTATCACTCAAAAAGAAAGTAGCACCTCCTGTGATTTCATCAACAGAGCAAAGTGTTGCAGCACTTCTGAATAGTGTCAAATCAGCAGTACCAATCAAGAAGGTGGCCACAGCCAAAAAACTCCATGCAAAGAAAGCCAAACAAAGCCACATGTCGGTGCCAAATACTTTCCAGCCTACTCCAGACATAGATGTCATTTCTCAGGAATCCAGTGACACCTCATTACCCAGTGGGAACTTTGCCTTAGCTCAGTCTACCAAGCAGAAAGACTTTGTCCAGTTGCCCAGCCACCCTTCTCCTCCAAATATGCTTGCAGGCTCCCCAGTGTCAGCCTTCCCAAAGCACCAGCAATCACCAGTCCCAAGTCCCATGAATGTCCCCAAGTCCATGGCAGACCCTCCTACAGTGCAAGCCCCTCAGTTGATGGAGTTGCGCAAGCCTCCTATTAACATCCATCCTCGGGATGCTCAGACTCTATTGAGAACTCTCCAGTTTCAGGACCCCAACCTATATCGTCGGTTCCTGAACCTCAATGCCTCATCAGCACCGTTTATCCCAAGCCGCAGCAGCTTGCCACCTTCCCAGGATAGAGATCCTCAGAATACCGTCCCCATAGTGCATACAGTGCCAGCACCCACCATAAGGAGAAACCCACAGTCTTTGCCTCGTTTGATAAATCCTCAGGGGAAACCTCCAGTACAAAACCCGGAGGATATGATAATGCTGCAACATGCAGTGCCTCTAAACAGGCTGCCATCAGGTAATCTAATGTCCAAAAAACAAAAAGTCGAACAGCTCTCAAGGCTCCAACTTCAGGACATGATTTCTGCAATGCCAAGAGACTGTTTCGTTGAAAATCTCCCCTTGAAAAAGATGGGTGAACACATTGGGCAAACTGTCCCACAATCTAGACCTAATGTGCCATCAGCCAAAAGACGAAGTCCAACAGTGTCTGTGACAACTACAGCAAAATCAAGGACCAGCCCAATTGAGCAACTCATTCTCAGTCAAGGGCCAAAGACAAACATTAACCCTCCAACTTTGGTCAGTCCAAGCACGATTCAAAGCCCGTGTGTAGCATCCAGTCCACACATGATGTCCAGTCCCTGTTCAGCTTCTAGCCCACAAACAATGCACAGCCCACAAACAGTATTTGCGCCAAGCCCACATGCAATGACCAGTCCACAGTTCCTTCCAAGAGGAGCAACTCGGACACTGCCAAGTCCTCAAGCGCAGACTCAAGGTGTTCCACCCCCAGGATATCCACTTCACGTGGCAAATTCACATGCCTCGCCAGTTATGTCCGGCATTGTCCGACCCAAACAGGATCCTCATTTAAACCGAACCATCCACAAACAACCATCACTGACTGGGGCTCCTCCTGGAACACACAGCATCATGCACAGACTTCCCCCACTAGAAACAATTTTGAAGAGTCTGAACTCTGCTGCCAATCCCATCAGTCCCACACTTGGATCAGATGCCATCATGAACAACCCCCATGGCATACAACCTGCATCTTTACGACCAAATCGGCCAAGGCTTGTTCGGCCTCATAGTTTTCCAGATGCATCAGTATTCCCCAGTGTCTCAGTGGCTGTCCAATCTGCATCTAGTAGTTTTCCTTCACCGACTTCCCCCAGTTTTCCATACCAGTCAGTTAATTTCCTGACATCGGTGCCAAAGTCGCACTCTGATCTTTCTACTGCTGCAATGGTTAATCAATCATCCAAAACAAAGACACAGACTTCCTCGATGGTAAATTTTCCTACATTGAACAGGTCCACTTCCACTCACTCTGCCCTCCACAAACCATTAATGCCCAATTTACCTACATCACCGACCAATTCCCAAGCATCCTGCTCTGCAAACTTCAAGCTGTCTGGCTTCCAACCGAACCCAGGAAGTTCTTCCTCGGCTAGCAGTAAGTCAGGTGGTCTCTCAGTCCCTTCAAGCCCTTCCTCACCAAGGAGTAATTCCAGTTTGTCCAAAGGTAACCCTCCCACCCCACGGAGTAAAGCTACCACGCCCAGCACCCCTACTGAGTCAGGACCAGGTTGCATTTTGGAGGAGTTTACACTTCAAAGGATGGTGCGACCAGAGATTGGGATAATGAACCCATGGAACTGGGGCATCTGTGAAGTCATTCAGTTCCTGATTGATGCAGGGGAGAGAGGATGTGTGGAGACCTTCAGCAAACAGGTCAGTCAGCCAGTTTCAGCCTTCCATATCTGAATTGTGACATCCTGAAATTTGCATGGGAATGGCGTGTTACAGTTTGGAACATATGGGGGGCATGGGAACTCACTGCATTCCCTTCAAACTTGTGAAAGGAGTGCTTAAAAAAAACCCAGTATTCTGAGGTGAAGGCCTTCCTAAAGAGGAAGATTTAAACCCAAACTTCATAAGTGCCATTAGTTTTGAAAATGTCTAAAAGATACTGCAACGAGTAAACTAAATCCATTGAATAAAAAACCTGGTGTACGAGTGTTTTGATAGATTTCAGACTTTGAAGCCTAATATTACATCACATGGGCTTTGTTATATCCAAATTTGTGCATAAAGTGTGCAATTAGTTTACACACAGTTTACGTTGGAAAATTTAGTTATGTTCCCAGTTTTAAAAAAAAGCACAAGGAGGTAGGGTTAAGTATATGTGAAAAGCTGAGAAAAATGTTTATTTTCTATTTTGCATTTCAGTGATGACATTTAATATGTCTGTGCAAAGATTAGTTCATTTCCATTTCATGTCTCCTTTTCCTCCCAGAACATTGACGGCAGGAAGTTCATGTCGCTAACCAAAGACCAGATTGCTAAGCTGACCGGAATGAAGGTTGCCCCCTCGCTCAAGATCTACCAGCAGATAGTCAGGCTGCGGTCTCTCTTTCCGACACCAGAGTGATCCCCAAAGGTTACATTCAAACTTCATTTATAACAGACTAGTGGCAGGCGGGTGGAGGACACAAACTTGTACAACTAATATTGCGTATATTTTTACAAAATTGACGATTGGATGTGGGAATAAAATATAGTAGTTCTGACACAAGTTTGTCGATGATAATTATGACACTGAAGAAACACTTCCTTGGAAGTCACCTTTTTTTTCGTTTCCCATAAGCTGTCATTTCTTGAGGTCTTTGCCCTTTTTCCTTGATAAAAACAACTGTTTACGAGAAGTTGAGGCTGACAACGGAGGCTTTGAAAGTATGCATATATCTGTACATGTAGATATGATTGTATTTATAGACTTTTGTAATATACCTTGTGTGGACCCTGTCGTGTTGCTGCCATCAAATTGTACATGTAACGCAAATTCATGTCAGCTTTTTTCGTTCGTCTGCCAATCTGAATCAGGATCAGTTTGCTGCATTAATATCAGATTATTTTTAGACAGAGTTTTGTGACTGTTCTGTATTTGGACTTGAACAAAACTATAATGGATGTGTAATTGAAGAAACATGCTGCCTGAACTACACTGTAATTACTCTGTAAACTCAACAACAAAAAAGTGTACATGAACGAGAGTATAATGTGATTTTTTGATTGATGTTAGCATATTGTATTCATTGATAGAGCAAGCATGAACATAGTTTGTGCCTAATGTAGAGTTTTGAAATCAGGTACGCAGTTCTTCGATTGTTTCTCGGAGTGCTATGAATGAAGATTATAAATAGTCATCATAAACTTTTGAATTAACATCTGAAATTTATCGCAAATTGATTAAATCAGTTAAGTTGTGGGCATTTTTAGAACAAGTCTTCATTTTTCACAGTGTAGTGGATGCTGAATATTGCAAAATAATGAGCATTTTTCCTTCAAACAAGGAGTTTATTCCAAAGGAATTTAAATTGATCAAATCTTTTTTTTTTCTATGTTGTTTTTTCTATTTGCTGAATAACTTCACTTTTAATTACTGACAGATGTCCAAGTCTGCAAAAATATTCAAATTGACAAATGTAATGGATAATTCGTGATAGACTTTCCTTTTTAAATGGAACTCAAGTGCAGTAGAATGCCAATTTAACGAACATGATGGGGTCCATAATAAAATGTTCATTGTAGTGGTTGTTTGTTATAGTGATTGTGCATTATAATAGAATTTAACATTTTGCCAATTTTTGGGAGTTAAACGGCATGTTCGTTATAGCCACAAGTTCATTATAGTGGCGTTTTACTGTACATGTATATATCATGTACAAATTTGGTTTTGTACAATTCATGTAAATATTTCTTTCAAGATTGGAAAAGAGTTCATACATGAGACTATTTTTGTAAAACCAGAGAAATTTACAGAGTGGGTATTATTTTATCAAGTAGCATTGCCTTTTTTTGGTACTGAAAGTGATAATGTGAAATGGAATTGGGAAATGTGAAATTATCATTCTCGTTGGTTTGTACGCACAGGGATACTTGCTACAGACTGTCTTAAAGATAGCACATAACACTAATGGAACATTATTTGTACATGTACTTCTGACAAAACAAAATAAAACTGCCATAGACCTGCATTTAGAGTATAAGTTAAGATCATTGAATTCTAAAACTTGCATCACAGACAAAAGGAAAAAAGACACTTGTGTAGTGTTCTTAATTTAATACGCCAGTTTGGTATTGCAATTGCGCTTGTGCACATCAAGATTTTAATGTTGAATGTACATACGTCTAAAGGAGAAATTAAAAGCAAATCTGCATTTTTTTTCATGCAAACAGTCAGAAGATGGAAACTTTTGTTTGCAAAATTGTTGGAGCATACAGAATACTTTTTAAAAAAAAAGCATGGTGCAGTCCACAGTTTTGGAGATTTTGTACTTACTTCAGGAGAGGAACTCTCCCTTTAGTTTTGTTGGCACCTGCATGTATTTTGATTGTTCATCTAGAAAAGAAAAATCATGCAATCTCAATTCACACATGAGCAGCTGGAATAACCAACTGGCTGAATGTTAAGTCGAATTCTTCAAGCTTTTTTATTTTCACAGAATATAAAGTGGCTAAGGCTTAACTAGGAAGGTATTGTCATGGAAACAAACAGTTAGATCGGAACATTAATAACAATGTGCAATTTTCCTGATGCCAGTTATGTCCAGCATCCTCTGTTGATTACGTCTTTAAACAAAATCGAATATTCAAGTTACTGCTGATCAAACAGTTGACTTCCACTAAAAAGTTGACTATGGTTTAATGAGATATTAGCAGATCTGCTTTTGGTTTAAAATCGTTAGCTTATATTTTATAAACTTAAAGATTTTCAGAAAGTCCTGGATATGGGACCTTGGAATATTCTACCACAGAGCTGAAATGGTGTTCTCTATCAGTAGAAACAAAATTGTAAGGGTAAATTGTTAATATGTAACAAAATATTTTCTATCAATAGAAAAGAAATTGGAATCTCTGTACAGTTGTATTTTTCAGTCTGTTTTGGAAAAGGCAGAAGCGTCTAGAAGTCTTCAAACTATTTAACTGGGAGTCATATCCAGCAAACAGAAAAGGTTTCTTTAATTTCTGTAAATAAATGAGTAATTAGTATTCATCCTTATTTTGGAATTAACTTGTATTTGTAGTTTTCTTTTAAGATGTGAGATGTACAAACAGTTGTGTAAATATTAACATCGGGTATGTAAAACAATTATATTGAATTTATAAGTCCAAATATTGAAATTAAAGTAACACAGAGTGGTGACTCTGAAATCTTGTCAAGTTGGTTTGTTATGATGTCTTGTGTTATTTAGGTTTGCGAACAAAACCTTTCAAGTTTGTATTAAAGTGGAATTTTGTTTTACGAAAATGACTTAAGAAAATGGATTAACATGCATAATTGAAATGATTTCGTTGGGATTAAAAGAAAATAGATTTTTTATTTCCAAAAATTGGAAAATGTTCAAATTTTCTGAAAAGTTTGATTTTCCAGGAGAACTTTAGATTAAACATTCAATTAATCATTCAATTAGGAAAGCTGACAAGATGCATAATTATTATTTTAAAGTTTTCTGGTTCAAAATTAATTTCAAAATGTAGGCCTACTGATATGCCGTAAATACGTTCGCTTCAACTTCTCATTTCTGAAGCATAATCCAATATGAGCCAAATTGCTGCTTAACAAAGTCATTTGAATAAACTTAGAAGTTGTCAGGGAAAAAACACTGTTTCCGGCTTTTAGTGAGTTACTTTTTTCTTTAAAGCTGTCGGATTGATAAATAACCAGTCCGAAATATCTGTCCAAGAATTATGAGAAAAATCAGACGAACCATTTTCTCCTAACTTTTAATTAATGATGAATATGCATTTATTTAAATCTTTGTTTTGGCGTCCAGGTTTTGCAAAACTCTGATTGGTCCACTCGGAGGTTTGAGCTCCGTGATTGGCTCAGCTGTGGGCGGACAATTTTCCCTTTGTCAGAAGAGCACGTGCGGGTTTTTTTGCACGGAGAAGCATTGTGCCTGAACCGACGGGACGCCATTTTGCAAGATGCAGACGAAAATTGCTGCTGAATTATGAATGCGTTGTTCTTGAAGATTTCTGCTTGAATTCATTTAGCTTCCTCAAGGTTTTAAGAAGAACGATAACTCGAACACAGTGGGAGCTCCGAGAAATGACAGTTTTCACCATATTATCTTGGTACGTTCCAGAAAGATAAAGAATGTTTTATTTATTCGTCTTTGAATGTTCGATACAATTCCTACATATGTACATGCACGGTAGGCCTATGTTGCACATTGCTACAGCACCAGTTTTTCCTTTTTGCTCCTTGCAGAACTGTAACTGTGTAAGGCTCTACTTTTCAAGCTTTTTGCCATCCTTACTTATTTATCCAATTTCCAAGTATTTTTTTTTTTTTTGCTTTTGAAATTGTAAAGCATTTAGCAGCTGTTTTTATTTGTTAATTAATTGTAATTGAAATGGCAAAAGTTTAAACAAGAATCTTACCAGGCATGTTTGTAGTTTTTTTGTACAAAAAAAATTGAAGAGTATTTCCCAACTTTATTTTCTTGAAATGATAATGCGCCTATCAAAATAATGTGTGAACATATTTTCTGGGGGGAGGGGGGGGGGGGTCGTATCTCACCAATGACTCGTGTGGAATTGGCAGCTTAAATTACACCCATTTTCATAAGAACTTTAATAAGGTGTGAAAACGTTTCATCCAAATTTATGTTGGGATCTGAAACTCTAGTAATAGAACAGTTGGCATGGCCCACAGTTAAAGAAATTCCAATCTATAAATAGTATATTTCAATTTCTTTTTGTTTTCTATTTTTTTTTTTATAGATGGAGGTGGATACCGGAGTGGCGTCATCCTATGAAAACATCTACTCCTTTGCACACCAGTTTTCAACTGTTGCAATGTGTTGCCATTCAGCACTCCAGATTTAAGAACCATTGAGGTTTCAAGCACATAGGTCTTTGAGCTAGATAAGCCAATGTACACAATTTCTGGATGTCCCCGCCCACGTACCTAAGTACAAATGGAGGTCAGCATTCAGCCTTCTGATACTGTCGAACCCCATAGTTCCCTGGCTGGACCTGCAACTGCAGAAGGTACCAGTATAACAGGTGAGTGTGCAATGCTTTGGTCAGTGTTACCTATCTTCATTCCATCAAAGGTAGACTAAGCATGCTCCCAACAATTTGTTTGTTGGTTGTTGTTTTTTAGCTGGTACTAAATACAGGGATGCCATGAATTGTAAGTTCAAAGTGAACATATAATTTTATGATGTGTTTGTTGGCAGTTGTTTTGTCTTTCAACTTGTCACAAGTTTTCAGGACCTGGGCAAAAAAACCACGGGCATCCCTGCAAATATTTTAGTGAAAAGGAGGCTCTAAAAATATTGACATGTGAGCTTGTTTCCCACTGTACCATTCTCGAGTGCAAAAATATACAAAAGGCTAATGCTCATGTTATTTATATTCAACACTGAAATTACTGTTGTCAAAACCTCAAATTCTTGACTTAGTATTCGTGTACATTTGCGCATATGACAAGGTATGAATATATCAAATGTATAAGAATGCAATTTTTTTCAGACACGGAATTAACACAGGCATATTGTTTACATGGGCTGAAATTGTTTTTTGGAGATTATGAGAAACCAAGTTTTGGAAAATTCTAAGCCAGGAAGGACGTTGGGAACCTTCTAGAGAGGACCCCATCAGATTTTTTGGGTACAGTAATATTGCATGCATGGACGGTCTGGTGTTTTGATGGAATGAGGATAAGATACATAATACTGTAATTCAAATCAATTAAATTTCTGTAAATAAGAGAACAAATCTAAAAGAAAAGTGTCCCATGGAACTCTTCTGTCTTTGCCTTGTCTACTCAATTCGCTTAAATACCCTTGGAAAAGAAGAAACATTTTTTCCTCTATTACTTATATACATGTACTGCCCTGTACACCCTCGCAATGATTATTCTTTCATATAACATCTCATATGTGGAAATAAAATCATACCCTAAGTTAAGCCATAGTATCATCTTGCAAAAACAAATACATTTGTTTTCTCTGCATCATTGAGATCCAGTTGGGTTTCATTACAGGAAATATTACACAATTGTTCTTCCTTTCAGTTCCACATTAATATACTCTATTCAAATTAAACTTTTACCTACATCACAGATTGCATTAATTTTTTTTTCATTTACGTTCTGATATGTTTCAAAAAAGTTCCCATATGACTGTTTCCAAAAAGTCCTATTATGAAAGCAGCAAAATCAAGCAAAATGTAATGCAGTAAATTGTGCAAATAAATGCGTGTGCTCAAGGTTTAGACATGAAATCAATACTTTTTAATCACATTTTCACAATTATACCCTCTTAAGTGTGGCTGCCCTTGGACAAATGTATCAATTATTTATATTTATATAAATAATGTATATCAGGAAAAATTCTTCCTTTTTGCTTTATTTCCATAATTTTTTCCATCGGCAATATGACTAGACATGTTTTTTTTTTCTTTGGTTGCATGTTCATTTGGATTCCTTTGCAAATTCACTTGGGAAGGAGCAACTTTCTCCCACGTAACTTGTCAAAATTTAAAAATTCAAGTATACTTTACAGACTTAGGCCACGTACATGTACTGTGATTAATTCATATGACACTTTTTGTTATGGTCATTGATTGAAAACAGTTGCACCTGGTTTAAATCCTTTGCAATGAAAGAATTAGATAAATGCTTTGAACCAATCATCAATTCCACATTACCAAACTTTTATCAATGTGATTATCTCATTGGTAATAATTTTTGAAACCATGTTCAATGCGAAAAACAAGTTTTCTATGCAATGACAGGAAAATTTCTATTCTTCCAATATCTTGCCGTGCTCTTTACCTATCAGTGTATACCCTTGTCGGAAAAAAATGTTGCAACCTGACTCCACTTTCGTGATTGTGTGCAAAGTCTATGAGTCAATAATAATATGAAGCCAAAAATACATGGTTTCAGCTTTGAAGTACACAGTAAGTTAAAATGTGTAAAAAAAACACCCAAAAAACATTCTTATCGTAAAAACTTGTGCTCAGATACATTGTAATTCAGGGGGAAAGGGGCCAATGACCAAAACAATCGGTTCTAGAGAGTGGACCAGCCAAAGTTTTAGGTAATAGCAGGCAACCATGTCAGATCAATCAGTCGAAGGATGGAGAAGAAAATGTAGGTGGATGCCACCCTTAAGTTTGACCCAGTGGTATATATATATTTATTCCCATATTTGGGTATATTCTTAAAAAAAAATGTTATGAAAAATATATTTTAGGCATTCTACTCACACACTCTTACTTCACCTCTGTTTGACAACTGAAAGTCACTTAGAATATGAATATGACATGAAATTTAAAGATTTAGAAAAATTTATTTCTTCCTTTAAATCCTTCAAACATTTTCTTCAATAGAAAGAATAGACTGTCAAACTTTGGCATCTACTGTAATTGATAACAAAATAGATTTCAAGGACAAAAGTGCTCGTTTATCTCATAATTAAAAAGTGCACTTACTCTTACATCAAATTTCCAATGCCAAAATCAGGGGAAAAAATGACTTGGGTTTTGATTGATATTGTATTATTTTGGAAATTTGTAATTTCCCCACCCCCTTATTATGAATAGTGTCCCGCCCCAAAAAGAGGGAGTTTGTCCAAATGTTGTGGTTTTCATGTAATTTGAACTTTAATTGTTTTTTTAGCTTACTGTAAGAAGTCTTGATAAATGACTCTGCTTTTGTGGTTTTTTTTGCCATTTCCAATATAAAACCCCACCCACAAAAAGGTAGGGGAATATGGCTATTCAGTTGTGTACTCTTGATTTATACCAAGTGCTAACTGACTATTAGTGAGCTTACAGTGACTTTTTGGTAGTAACCGTTTGCTTGAGTATATGGTCCCTCCATTTGCTGAGTTGCATCTCACCTGTGAAACGCTGGAGCTGGTCATTGCACTGCAGCCACAGTTGAGACAAGACTTTTCCCTTCCCTGGTGATTCCTGACCGGCTCATCACCGTTTATTCCTCCACCCTACCTTCCACCCCAACCTTCCATACCCTCCATCCCCACCCTCCATCCCCACCCTCCATCCCCACCCTCCATCCTCTTTCTATCATTACTTGCACGCACCGTTTCACGTCTACCTTTCCTCCATCCTCTTTTCCCCTCTTCTCCACCCCTTCTTTTGTCACTTGCACGCACTGCACGCACTGTTTCATTTCTTCCTTTCCTCCTCCCTGCTTCCTCTTTTCTCCACCCCTACCTTTCCATCTCTCGCACGCACCATCTAATTTCTGGCCCCCCCCCACTTTTCTTCCTCTCTCTACTAACATGGGATCATGACAGTTACCTTCCCGGTGGTGATCCTGTTAAGGGAAGCTTTCCTGTTTAAGGGAAATTTCCCAAACTAAAGCTGTCAAAAAGGGGATGTTTACACTGGATCATTTGAATGGTGATCAACTTTTAATATCCATAAGTCTTTATTTAAAAAATGGAGATCATAATGATAATTTAATTGGTTGATTATGCAATTTCATATCGAGTCAAAAGAAAGTTTCCAAATTTTTTCATTTTTTTTCCAAAATTCAGTCAGCCTCCAAACTGCAGTTTGACACCAGGACTACAATCACTTATTGTTGTCATGCACTCTTCAATGAGCACAATGCAGAGTGCTATTGTTTTTTAGTTGCACACTACTTCAGATCATTAGAGGACGCTATATCTGAAAACAAAATAATCCAATCAAACAAGTTGGGGCATTATATGAAATTTCTAGATGTACATGTGGAGCCTGATGTCATGGCTGGTATTAACGATTATGCTTAATTAAGTGCTCTTACTTTTGAATTGAGTCAAATGATGTAGCTAATTCACTACCGATTTTATTTTCATCAAGATTATCTTCCAATCCAGGACATAGTTTCTCAAAATTAGGGTGGGCCCACCTACTCGTTAGTGTAGCCATTGGTAGCTTGAGTGCCTCGATCTAGCCGTACACTGTTACAAGCTCTAGTAGTGCAGCCAGAAGTTCAGACATGCCCCAAATCATTTGAAAAAAATTATAGCGAATTTGCTGCCAATCTTGAATGAGATTATCTTCTCATCCAGTACAGAAATGTCAAGAGTTAGAGAACCTGGTCGTAGAGGGTCAAAAGATGGGAATCTTTCCGACTGTTTTCTTATTGCTTTAATGTGACTTATGCAATCTTATGTAATTTTCAAAATTTTCAACAGTGGCCAGTTGCCTTCATTTTTTGTGTTGTGTTTTGCCTTCATTTTCATAATTTTACCCCAAAATTTGTAATGTAGGTTCTTACTTCTTTTTCTTTTTTTAATTTGTTTTACCAACAGCTGTCTGCATCTTGCCTATACTGATAATGCCTCCAACATTCCATGGTTTTGGACCTCGAACTACACAAAGCAGCACTGTGGCAGGTGAGTTTGTAATACGTTTGTCAGTGTTATACCTATCCACATTCCATCAAAGCTAGTCTTTGTCCAAAAAAATTGGCGGTTGTGTAGGGCCCTGTTCCTTATAAGGAACACAAATCAGCTTTTAGGTTATCAAACTTACCAAACTAGTTTGTGACATTAGAAACCAACAGGTATGCCCTAGATAGAGGCCATGTTTTTTGTTTGAGATAATTGTTTGGTTAAAGCGTTGATAGAAGATGACAACACGCAATAAGACAATAAAATGGCGATCACCGCAAAGTACAGTGAGCATACAAAAGTGTGTTAATTTGCATGGTGCTTACTAAACTGTTCAATATTACAAAAAACGATGTCATGAGAATGAAGAGAAGTCTGCTTTAGACGGACAAAAGTCATTTTGGAATAATCAAAAACACCTTTGACTTAAATTTTATACAAAACTAAAGAGGGGCCTACTACACAATTGCCAAAAAAATGGGAAACTCCTGAAGGTTAAAGTAAACAAAAAATGTTGAGCTGATTCAATTGCATTTTAAAGAGTAAGGTCTCAATGTTTCAATGTCTAAATGGTTTTCAATGTGTACACCACTGAAATGTCTCAGTTATTCCAACAATGATGAGCAGTGATGTATCAAAACCTCAAATCCTTGACTTGGAAGGCGCATAAGATCATTTGCTCTTCATGCACTGCATTTGTTTCCAATAATAACACCACTCAAAATCCAAAGAAGTATGTTCAAAACCTAGCCTGCTGAAGTTTCAGCTGAGTGGAGAATTATGAGAATTTTTGTGTGTGGAAAACTCTAATTACTATTCACATTTTCTGGAGAGCCCCCCCCCCCCCCCATTTGTATTATACAGCAGCTGCTTATATTTGTAGATAGCGACAGTATTGGTTATCTTCCATGCGATGTCTAATGGTTTGATGGAGTGTGGATTGGATACAGTATCTTACCCTTAAAAATAACGGCCGTAAAACCTTCAGATATTAACCTTTAATAGTTTTCTTATGCTAGGGGTTAGGGTCAATCTAAACAAATTCAATTCATGTAAATATTGTGAAACTCTGAAACCAAAAGTGATGAATTAAACTCTGTCTTTGCCTTGTCTACTCACTTAATTTTTTTAAGTGCCCTCAGAAAAGAATTAACAAATTTCTCAGTCTTATTTTAACAAATCCCAAATCCTGAAAATGCACAAACTTTGAATTTGTGAAACTAGTTCATTTTTTAAACTAGTTCATTTTTTAAACTAGTTCATTTTTTTTAGTGGATGTATTTTGCCACTTGCCGTGAGTAATCCTCCATATATAAAATGTGGACATAAAGTGAAGCCCTATTTTCATTCGTCTCCTATCTAAATAAATAAAACAAAATCTGCATTGTTGAGATTCAGTTTGGGGTCTGTTAGGTTTGTTAAGCCATGTTCTTAAAGCTAGAGTCCATCATTTGCAGCTATCCCAAAAGTAACTGGCGTAATTATTGTTGAAAAATATTCTTGGTTGAAAGATAGTAAGGGGATTAAACTCCCTGTGAAATTACTCTTTCTGGCAAGCTCTCATTTTGAAGAAATCAACAAAACAAGGCCTTTCCAACGGTGCTTCTTAAGACGCACCGTAGGAAATTTAAATTGGTAGTTCGTTTTGTTATTCGGCAAAGCACGCGCAAGCATTGGCATGACGCACACGTGTGCACGGTTGCTATAATTCGTCGGATCAGTGCGCGACATCGCGTAGCTGCAATCGGCTCAGTGAGAACACATCTCAGACGCTGAATTCAGGTCCAATTCAAAACATGATTTAGCAACTTTTGATTTGAAATCGAGACCCTTGAATGTTGTTTTTCTCGAAATATACAGCTAAAGCTGGGCTGAAACTTCATCAGGTTAGTTGTCCAGCACCCTTCTTTGGATCTTGAGCACTTCTGTTGCTTCAAACAAACAAAATCCACAAATTACCAATGATGGACTGTACCTTTAATTCCTTGTGGTTTCAAAATTAACATGCTGAAATTCCAACCAACAATTTTACATACATAGAAGTTTGATTTAATTACTTTTCAAATAGTAGGTCAGGTTTTGATATGATTATATCTGAAAAGTTATATTACGAATACAAGATAATGTGAAATTATTGCTGTAAATTGTGCAAATGTGAAGGTCCTGCAATGCACGCCTAAGGGTTAGTCATGAGATTCATATTTCATAAAGTCACATGCTTACAATTGATCCTCTTAGCTAAAGTGTGTCTACCTTTGGACAAATGTATAGGGCTGTCCCGAATTCACCAAATATTCAAATATTTGATCGACAACTGAATATTGAAATATCTTTTTGCTGTTTTGAATAATTCAAAGAAAGAAAAAGTATTTTATAAAAATATTAGGTCAAACACCGTTTGGAGTAATCGAATACTAAATTATTCGTCAATGGACAGCCCTTCAAAATATCAGGAAAAAAAATTCTACCTTGACCCAAAATGTTTTGCTTTACCTAATTTTTTTCTATCAGCAGTATGGCATTGTTATTTTCTGTGTAGGTTAGCCGTTGATTTGGAATCCTTTGCAAATTCACTTTGGAAGAACGTTACCTCCTACGTTCTCTCATAAAATTGACAAATTCTTCAAATATACCTTAAATAAATGCCACTGTGTGATTGATTTATGAGACATTTTTGTTATAGTCAGTGAATGAAAACAGTTACACTGGGTTGAAATCCTTTGTAATTAAGACTTGGATAACTCCATTGAACCAATCATCGACTCTGCATTGCCAAGTTGTTATCAATTTGATTATCACATCAGTAACAATTCTTGAAATTATGTTCAGTGGGAAAAACAAGTCTACAATTGCAATGACAGGAACATTTCTACTCGTATCTTACATGTATCTTGCCATGCTCTTTACCTATCTAAATGCACTATTCATTCCTTTGAAATTACATGGGAAAGCAAACAAGCAAAATAGCCTTTCTTGCCTTTGTAAACTTGAGAGCCATGAGTGTAAATGCTTTTAATTGGATTCCAAAAGTTGGGTCTGAAGAAATACTAAAACAATAATAATTTTAAAAACAGGTAAGTATTGTCCCAGTTGTGGATGCCCATTAACATTTTGGAGTCCAGTTAAAATTAATCATTGAATTTTCTAAGAAATCACCAATTGCTTGGTCAAGACCTGTTAAGTTTTGTGTGTATCAATGTCAAATTGTTTAATCGGATGTTGTACCATGCCAGCTTTTCTAAACGTGAAGACAAACTTTTACTTATTTCTCTCGTTACTCATTTCTCAGAACACTCATTTCTCTCATTTGTTTATGACGTAGAAATGAATCAAGTTGATTGTATTGAATTTTAAATTGCATTTTAAAATTCGGTGCATAAATTATGCTAAGTATCTTTGATACAAAACCCAGATAATAATAATAATATCGATGTCTTATATAGCGCACGTATCTACCAACAATTAGGTACTCAAGGCGCTGGAAATTATGTCTATTATTGAAGAAAGGTAAATTTGGATCATATCCAAAAATGTATACTCAAGAAAACTTTCATTGCAAATGCACGAGGTGGCATTGTACGACATCTTTTTGTACCACGAACTGTTTCGAGTTGATCTTGAGTTCAGCATCTATTTTAGAAAAGGGTATTAGTACTAGCCAACAGCCAACACAAATATTAGATGGAGCAAAGTCGGCTGAATATGGCTTTGCAATTTTTTTCCGAGTATTTACTATTCGTCCCGCAAGCAGCTCTTCCATTAATTAATTAATTAATTAATTAATTAATTAAGGCCCTCGTCATTATTGGTTCTTTATTATTTTAAACCCTAGATGTAGTGTATATGTGATGCAATCAAGCTAAATGAGTCGTTTGTCGACCCTGGTAAATTTGTGGTTTTTTGTGTGTAATTTGAAAAGGGCATGATCTCAGCATTACTGCTGTGAAAACCACATGCTGATACCATCTTTAGTTCAAAAATTATGGAAGTCGGAACACCAAGAGATGTTATAAAGTGATGTGATGAAGTGGCCCTATTTTGGCCTGAATCTCCAAATGAAATTTCCCAACAAACAACTCATTTAGCTTGTTCGCATCACATATATCGGATAGAATCTTGTTGAATTGTGCTGTTGTGCATGGTTAAGGATTGCATGCTTTATATAGCAAATTTACTTAACTTTGTCCGCTAAAAGTTTGCTCCTTGGTGGCAGTAACAATCCCAGTGAGTTCTAAAAGAACGTTAATTGAAACTGTTGTTGAAATGCCCACAATTTTAAACTGAAAATAAACTTAAAACCACTTTGAAAAAACTATTCCCCTACAGATTTATGAACAAAAATTATGTACTATTATTTAGCTGACTGCAGTGGGCAAGTAATAAGTACATAATTCCCCCTCCCTTTTTTTGTATTGTGCTTTTTTTATATTTTGTATAAGGTTTTGCTGAGTATCATTTTGACATATTACCATGCACACATGGGAAAATATGCAAAAAAGCATACTCAAGAAAACTTTAATTGCTTATTATTGTGATGGCATTCTACAACAAAAACAAGATTCCTAGTTCAATAGAACACCTGCGTTAAGTTTGCTGCTGAAAATTGTAAAAAGAAATGAGACTTTTATTTTGCACTTATTTTGAATGGATGGTCTGCTTTGAATTTCAACTTAATTCTAGAATGAACTATGTTGTACATTAAAAAATTTTCTCTTTTTTTCAAATACTTTTTTGAAAGCAACGTACATTACATAAACGAGTTAGTTTCTTCTCTAAAAGCTGCTGCTGATATTTATGATTTAGGCCATCAGCCTCGAACCAAAATGTTGGCAACCGATATCAAATGAGGGGAATAATCGTCATAGCGATTTTTGGCAAGGTATACACCTCCAGAGTTGGAAAATAATTATGTGATAGCATTGCAGTGGTGGCAGCTTTTTGGGTGTTATGATCACCCTTTTTTTCAAAATGTCCATCCAAATGCTTGTTACCACTCTAGGGGC